TACTGTGTCAGTCCTGGGCCTGTTTACTCTGAGATGCATTCCTCATGCTTCCCTGCTCTTCCCTGTACTGTTTCCCAGGGTCTTAAGTTAGCTGGTTTCCAGCTGGGTTCCGTCAATGGAAGGTGCTGACTGCAGGCTTGGAGGCAGAAGCCAGGATATTTTTGCCTCAGGCTTCATCTGCTTCAGACAGGGATTCCATGATTCCCACTTGTCAAGTGACCAAGCCATAGACCCCAGAAACTCTACCTCCTCCTTTTATCCCCCAGCTTTCCGGTGGTTCCAGCCCCCTTTTCCTAATCTCTAGGGTGCTTTTCAGAGTCCTCGGTAAATTTTTCAGCTGTACCACCTCTATAATCCATTACTTGTATTGAGTTCCACCACTTAAAATACACGAATGGTCTGTTTTTCACTTTGCAACCTGACCGATGCTCTGGGCTTGAGAAGATTTTCATTAATATCTTCCTCAGATCATGAAAATGAACCCACTCAAATGAAAGCAGGGAGGAGGGGGTGTGATGCAGACCATTACCAGGTTAGGAAACCTAGCTATAGCTGTTTTTTCTTTTCAAAGTGCATCATAGAAAACTTGTGTCCAATGATGTTAGTAGATGGTCATTGCAAAAAAGGGTTCCTTGGCCCAATGTCTGGAACACATTGGGTTAAACAAAGTCAAGTGCAATTCTTCAATTTGAGGTTTGTCATGTAATGTTCTAGTATGTACTATAATTTCTCAAACAGGAGACTATCATACACAGAACTTCTCAAATGCATCTAACCAGAGAACCTAATTTTTCAAGGAATAGCTAACATTTCCCAGGACTATCATTTCACATAACAGTTTGGAAAATACTGAGCAACGATGACCTCAGCCACTTTTTTTTTGGGGGGGGGGGGGTTAGTACTGGGGATTTAGCCCAGGGGCGCTCAACCACTGAGGTACAACCTCAACCCTTTTTGAGACAGGGTCTTGCTAAGTTGCTGAGGCTGGCTTTGAACCTGTGCTCTTCCTGCCTCAGCCTTCTGAGTCACTGGGATTACAGGTGTGCACCACCATGCCTAACTTGGCCAGACTTTTAAAAAATATTTTTCATTGTCAATGGACCTTTTTATATTCAGTGCTGAGAATCGAACCCAGTGCCTCACACATGCTAGGCAAGCAGACTGATCCACCGCCCCAGCACCTTGGCCAGACTTTTGATATGAGTTGAATCATTTGGGATAGAAGAGTGCTGTCAATGTTCTTGCTTTTTTATCTACATACTTTAGATATCAGGGTTAAGTAGCTAATTTGATTCTCTTTATTAAGATTATAGAAATTTGTGTTCTTACTCAAAGCATAGGAAGAAGGGATAGGATATTAAAACTTGCATCTGCATCTGTAAAAGTACCAGTAATAAAAATGAATGAAGGGAAGGCCCAAGACTAGGCTATTGGAACAACTCATCTCAATCCTAAAGGCAACAGCATGAATCCAGCCTATGGTTTAATTTGGGGCAGGAATGACAGCATCCTGGTAAGCCCAAATGAAAATCACCACAGTAAGGTTAGTATTTTATTTATTTCAGAATCCAGCAGAAAATGCTTTAGAAGTCCTAGACAAAGTGTGGCAAAGCAGGAACAGGAAACAACATGGGTCATACCTAAGTTCTGTTAAGATAATTATCTTAGGCTGGGGTTGTGGCTCAGTGGTAGAGGGCTTGCCTAGCATGTGTGAGGCACTGGGTTTGATTTTCGGAACCACATATAAATAAATGAATAAAATAAAGGTCCATCAACGTCGAAAAGAATTTAAAAAAGATAATTAGGGCTGGGGTTGTGGCTCAGTGGTAGAGTGCTTGCCTTGAATGTGTGAGGCACTGGGTTCGATTCTTAGCACTACATATAAATAAAAAATAAAGGTCCATCAACAACTAAAATAAATAAAATAAAAAAATTTAAAAAGATAATTAACTTACCTGAGCATCATTTAAAAAAAATATTTTTAGTTGTCAATGGATCTTTTGTTTTATTTATATGCGGTGCTGGGGATCAAACTCAGGGCCTCATACATGCCAGGCAAGCACTCTATCACTGAGCCACTACTCCAGCCTCATGAGCATCAGTTTCTTTACCTGTAAGAATCTGGAGTTCAGTGATTTCTACATAAGAGATATAAAAACATAGCTGTAAAGTGCTATGCAGATGTTACCTAATAAACTATATTTTAGTCTTATGTGTTCAGCTTAATTGTATGTTCTTTTCCATTAATTTTTTGGGGGTGTACTGGGGATTGAACCCAGGGGTACTTTACCACTGAGCTACATCCTTAGTCCCTTTAAAACAAAAATCCCACATTTTTATTGGTGCATTATAGTTGTACACGATGATGGGATTTGTCACATATTCATACATGCAGGGTTTTTTTTTTTCTGAGACAGGGTCTCACCAAGATACTGGGGCTGGCCTTGAACTTGTTATCATCCTGCCTCAGTCTCCAGTGTCTTTGGGATTATAGGTATGTGCCATGGCCTCAGCTCCACATTTTCACGCTTCATTGTTTAAACATTTTTAACTTGTAATTGTGAAATAACTTCAGAGTTGTTGTAAAGATAGTACAAAGAATTCTCATTTAGTTTCCAGATTCCCCCAAATATAACACACAATCACAGCTCAATTTCAAATATCATAAACTTAACATTGAAATGCTACATATATAACCTTAAAGAATCTACATATTATAGTCAAATTTTGCTAATTATCCCAACAATGTTCAATATGGTCCAAGATCTGGTTGATGATCATATGGTGCATTACTGTCATCATGTCACTGTTGTTTTGGTTTCTGTTATCTGGGATAGTTCCTCAGTTTTGGTCTTTCATGGTGTTGATGAACTTGAAGATTGCAAACCAGTTAATGAGCAGAACACCCTTCAGTTTGGGTTTGTCTGATGTTTTCTCATGGTTTGTAACATTCTGGTGGTTTGTTTATTCATGCCATCAGGGGGTGGTATAATAATGGAAATATAGTGTCCCAGTTAAGTGTACAGATTCTACTCAGAATACCTGGGTTCCACGTTCCACCTTTGGTTCTACCAGTCTGTGTAACCTTGTTTTTTTATTTTTATTTTTTTGACTCAATTTCTTTACCTTTCAGATGGAAAGGTGTCAGTACCTATCTTCTAGGGCTGTTGAAATTATAAAAGGTGTGAACATACACACATAGTGGTTGGAACACAGAGAGTATAATAATTCCTGGCACACAGTGAGTATAATAATCTTAGCTAACATTTCTTCAGCACTTTCCTTTGCACATCAGATGCCGGGCAAAATGTATTCAATTAATTTAAAAAAAGTTACAAAATAATTAAACCCCCCTTTTTTTCTGACAACTATTCCTAGAACTCCAGCCCTCATTAGCATGCTTCTAGCACTTCACCCATAGATTCATTCACTGAATAACCATAGTGATAACCTCAGCCCTTAACCTTTCCATATGCTTCTTGTTGAAGGGGCCAAACCACTCAGACCCTCACAACATCCATTGTATTGGCCAATCCTGGGCAGACACAGCAGGGAGGCAGAGAGGGAGTTGCCTACAATGTTGGATAGGGGGGAGGGAAGGAAGCCTGAACAGATTCCAAGAAGCTAGAAAGCATGTAAAACACATCTGTGAACATTTGGTAAAAGACAACTGTTCATTAAAAAGTCAAAGCAACAACAACAAAATCCCTCAACAAAAAAATAACAATGCAAGGCTGGGGTTGAGGCTCACGGGTAGAGTGCTTGCCTAGCATGCTCAGGGCTCTGGGTTCAATACTCAGCACCACATAAAAATAAATAAATTAATTAAAAAATAACAATGCTTCCATCTGAGTAGCAAATGACATTTTACAAAGCAATTTTGATCCTTTACCTCATTTGATTCTTACCCCTCAAGATACCATTTGTATGGATAGGGGAATGGGTCTAAGTGGCAACCTGAAGCTTTAATTCAGGCTTTGCCTCTGAATGGGGGGGGGGGGAGAGGAGGGGGGGGAAGGGGGAGGGGGGAAGAGGTGGAGGAGAAAGAGAAAGAAGAAAGGAGGAGGAGGAAAAGGATGTAGTAAATAGAGCTCAAAGACAAACAGGATTAAAATCTAACAAAATGCAGAGACTGAAGTATAAAAATGCAATCAGCATCACTGTAACAACTTGGCAGTCAAGGACAGCAGGGTTTTCCAAGAAAAGGTACATTCATGAGGCCTTGGGTGCAGATTAAGCAATGTAAGGAGAGTGGGAAAAGTATATATGCATACTTAAAAAAAAAACAATTTTGTAGTTGTAGGTGGACAGCATGCCTTTATTTCATTTGTATATTTTTTATGTGGTGCCGAGAATCAAACCCAGTGCCTCACACATGCAAGGCAAGCGCTCTGCCACTGAGCTACAGCCCCAGCCCTATATATACTTTTTAAAAATAAAGTCTATTTCTGGCTATTTAAGAATCAAATAGTTTCAATAGGTTGGAGACAGACCATAGCAACAGCAGCATCAAGCACTGCTACGCACACAGTAGAGTCATTCCCTTATCAATATTTATTTCCTGATCAGATTGCACATTTCCCCCTTTTATTAGTGCATTACAGTTGTATATAATTGTTGGGTTCATTTTGACATAATCATCCATGCATGGAATTTTATTTAATCCATTTCCTGACTGGATTTTTTAAAAAGTTTTGGTACTAGGAATAAAACCCAGGACCTCCCCCCCATGCTAAGCATATACTCTACCATTGAGGAACACTTCCAGCCCCCTGGCTGGACTTTTATTTATGCAATAATAAGAAATGGTTTTTAAAAAACTCCCATGAATATCTTACCCTCTCCAAATTAGTTGTTACCACAAAATGCCAATTGAAATTATGTAGAAATGGTCAGCCTTGTGAACTATGTGAAAAGAGAAAACTTATTTCCCATCACCAAGTTGTTCCCATATTATTTTGATGTCAAACTGAGACCTTTCCAAAAAAGACACTAAAATATCAATCATATCATACCAAAGTTTATTGATTACACCAAAGAAAAATTCTGTAATGAAAAAGGCAAGTTGCATTGATAAAAAGATGGCATCACATTCGTTTTAGAAAGCAACATAGATGTAAAAAATTGCTTATGTGAAAAATGTAATATTGCAGTTCCACTTTGCAAGCTGAAAAATGATTTTTTGTCAACATTTGCATAAAATCTGAACATTTATATGCTGCCTGTTACTAAAAAATTTCATCACTAGATTATGAATTTTGCAAATTTTAGGCTTACATTTATACTGTTGCTGGTGTATATGTGGTAGATATGGAATGAATAGTTTCAGTTTAATAGGCAACAACCTCAAACAGTGTACAACAGTTGTGAAAATGATCAGGACATTTTGATAGCTCAAGATTATTCAAATTATAAATATGTGGTTCTGTTATTACATTTCCTCCCCTTCTGTCACAAAATAGGGTGGTCAGATTGTAGGAATACTAGATGGATTATTCCAAATTATTTCATCTGTTAACTTCACACTAGCCATTTTATAGCTCATTAATAAAAATACCTTTCAAAAAAAAGCCAGGTCCTTCTCAAGGGTCTAGGCCACGATCTTATATATCATTGCCATTCTAAATTTGACCTGTAGTGCTCAGTGTAATGTGTAGCTGAAACATGACTCTAAATCTCCTTTACTCTTTCTTGTTGGCAGCAACACATTTTACATGCAACCAATTTTATTTCTACTATGCTGAATATTCTAATTATGCCAACTCTTTAATGGTTCTGGCATTATACAAGCCTACTTTGGCTCTCTTATTTGTATTCAGTCCCTACAGTTCTTCTGAAAAACAACATAGCAACAACTATAAAAACAAGAACAACAACAATAACAAGAACAAAACATCAAAAGCTTTCCTGGGTTAGACATTTTAGCTCTTTGGGATAGGCAAAGAATTTAAAGACTTTGTCTTTAGCACATTACCTCAAATACAGGCTACCAGAAAACAGCACACTTAGGCAGTTGTGAATGACATCTAACAAAATACTCAAAAATAATATTGACAGAGGAAAACAAATTAAATAATAAAAGGGATAAGTAATGATGAAATGGTTTCTGATAATTAAAATTATGTCCTTTCTAGAATTAAAAAAAAAATACACCTAAACATTAACACAAAATACATGTGGAAGAAAACTACACCTAAACATTAACACAAAATATATGTGCCATATGGACTATATAAAGATATTGGTAGAGATTGAATCCAGTACTTTTCCAAATCAAGGTACAATCTACACATTAATAATAGTACAGGCATGCCAGAAAGAAAAAGGTAGAAATTGATATGAAAATATTTTAAAAGATCATTTTAATTTAGCAGTCAAATCTGAGACCATTTACATCCAAAATGTGTCTGATTTTACCAATGAATAAAGACATTTCATATTTAGTTTTAAGTGAACTCATTAGGAGCCTAAAGTCTTCTAAGTCCAGCAAGTTGAGGCCCTAACCAAGATCAATTTAACAGTTTAGAATTATACCACTTGCACTGGTCAAATTAGCTATGAGAGAGACACAGAGTCATACCTCTACAGGCAGAACCAGCTTGGGATGGATGTCTCCTCTTCCCCAAATTGGCAAGTTAAAAAAAAAAGGTGCTGCATTATATGCATGACTGCAACCTCTTTGAAATAAAAACCGTTTAAAATAAGTTGTTCTTTCTAGTCTCTTTACATAAAATGATAAAAGGCTAATGTTTAGAATGGCTTTATTTTTGTATAAAAATGATCTTACCCACTTTGCCTCAGTTTCCAGTAAAATAAACAATGGGAAAAAATCTGTTTATTCCCTATTTTGAGGGACTACTAAATGACTGAAATGTTTTATGCTTTATTTTCAAGTCTAGTAGCCTTACACCCATAAGTGGTACTTAATTCAGAAAAACAAAAACAAACATTTTTTTTCTGTTCTCACAATAACAACCAGAGTCAACACTTCCCACACAAGTGTTCAAGGTATTTTTGGGCAAAGATATTCTACTAAGACACAATTAGCATGTGGGTGAACAGAAAAGATGAACTCTCCCATCTGATGCATCGATACCATCTAGTCCTTCAGTATTCAAGTATTCCTTTTGTTTGAAAAAAAAAATAATTTAAGATGATCATTCAGCAGGAATGAGAAATGTGGTCCAAACAGTCTATGTCTTCTGCCAAGCAAAAAATGTAATACTGTATTTTAGTAAAATCTATTCATTCCCATTGCATGACTTCTACTTTATACTATTGTATTTAAATCCATTCACAAAGTCAATGGGTTAAAAGAGCACCCATTTGGTAGTTAAGATTATTCTAACTAAAGCCAGAATTTTAAATATTCTTGCTTTCAACTTCATATAATTCTTAACTTAGAACTTTGGCCATAATGGCTAATTATAATAACTGTAAATGCTTAGGAGAGTATTTTAATGGACATTTATTCTGAACCCTAAGACATAAGAGAGTGGTTTAGTTTTTGTTGCATATCGAGTATCCTGAGATGATAACTTTTTTGGTGGTTTCTTCATGTTTTCTTTTTTTTTTTAGCTGTAATCACTGTCAATATGCTTGTAGGACAATAACATAGGCAGTTCAAGATTCGGATTCTGAAAAATTTAAAATATACAGTTAAAAGATGTATTTTAATAATAATATAAAACCATCTGTTTAGCATTTTCAAAAATAAATCACATAGTAAATTTTGTTATGCAAGTAAAGCAACTGTCTCAACAAACTGTCAAGTTTTATTCACATGCAGGGGCAAAAAAAAAAAAAAAAAACAGTGGCACAATTACCAGATTTTAACCCTGTCTTCATTTGTCAGCTGAGTAGATTCAGGCTTGCTTTTTGCTTTTGGATTGCTCCAGGTTTCTCCTAATAATACTACAGCAGAGTTTTAACATACTTTGATCCCTTCCTGTAGGCTGGAAGCTTTTTGAAAACAGGTACATTTTATTTATCTTTTTATCTCTAGTATCTAGTACAATGTCTGGCACATAGTAGATGCTCAGGAAATGTTGAATGAATGAATGAATGGGTTACTTTTTTTGGATGTGTGAATTTTGACAGGAACTCTGAAGATATATTCAGTTTTAGAAGAGTTCTGAGAAAAATTTCTTCCTTTACTGAAGGAAACATGCTCCCCCCCCAAAAACTACTTAAGTTATTTTCCATTTTGGTAGATCATGGGCTATCAGTCAATTGACTCTTCTACTTTTCTTATGTATCATCTTTTTAGAAAATGAACCAAAGAAATTTCTGTAAGGAATCTGTAGATTCTTTTCTGTGCTTTATACATCATAAAATTCTATAATCAGAATGGAGTATAATGGACAAACTGATCAGTGAATGTATTTCAGGTATATTGAGAAGTAGAAGTCATATGCCTAACTTTGATTTTCCACTCAAACTCAAGCTTTTTCAACCTGAGTAGCGAAGGTCTTAAGGAAAATGCTATTTCTTTCCATTTTGGGATATCATTCTTGACATGGACATTACAAATCCATTAGAATAGAATATCTTTCATTTCTATTTATGTTCCATGTACTTCAGAACCACTACTTGGTATTCAGGCAGCTCTGCAGGGTCATGGTGACTCTAACTAAAATAAGGTTGCCAGTCGCATTGAGAGAATATCAAAGGAGTCAGCTGGTTCCCTTACAAACCAACTCAGTGGCTTTTTATCAGCCAAATATTCTCCTTGGAGGAGAAATAATGTTACATGAAAATCTATTCCTGGAAGAAATAACTACATTAAAATTATAACAATTATTAAAAAAAAAAAAAAAAAAACTTTCCTTGGTTCTATGTTAGCCATTGTAGGAGTTAAGGCCCTGGAGAAGCCAAAAGCTGTAGCAGTGTCTGCTACTCAGCCTAGTGCCCCAACCATAGACCAAACTAAAGAAAGCAATCCAGGGGGATACAAAATTAACTGGAAACAGTTCAGCTAAAATGCATCTTACAGTTTAGGACAAAGTAATCTGGGACAAAGGGGTCAAAGACTTTGAAGGTTACTGAGAAACAATTCATCACTGAGGGGAAACATACACATGAGTCATTACAAAATGGGTAAAAAGATGAACACAGCAAAAGGAGTCCACTTCCAAAATAACACTGCAGATGCAGACTGTGGTGAACTGCAGGAGGTAAAAGAACCAATGGATTCAATCCATTAGTTTAATTTTCATTCTTTTCCAGAGGGAGGGAGATTTGATAGCTGATGAAAAAAAAATGGGCATCTGAAGTAGACTCAATCATTAGCCTCAAAGTGAACTGACCCAGAATCTTATGATGATCATTAATTTTTTTGTGTGTGTGAAAGATGGCCCTGCTGTAAGCTGTACAGAGTTGTTTCCAAGCTGATATTGTAAGTCTCATTCATGAATTACTCTAAATTCCCATAGATGGATAAAAGACCTCTAAAGATGTGGGTGCAAAACCCCTGCAGTAGGAAATGTTGAGTGAACATAAAGAAATCACTCTGAGTTAAAGGGCTCATCCTATGGTATTTCAATTCCCCCCAAATATATATTTTGGGGTCAATGATATAATATGGTATAAAATAAATTTACACATTTTTGGAAATATGAACTGTGAGGCATTTTATATCATTAGGCATGCATCCCCCTGAATGGCTAGGAAAGATTTTACCTCTGAGAGTTGAAACATTTAGCTTGAATAAAACTTGACATTAAAAAAGTTATGATTAGAGTAGACTGGTTCATTAACATGTATTTGGGGATCAGACAGTTACAAGGACATTAAGTGTATACCTGCAAACACACAGACACAGCACATGAAGGTACAGACACATTTGATTATTTTTACAAAATTCCGAGAAAAACATGCAATGCTAAACTGACTTGATATTATACAGATGCAATTTTGGAATATTTATTTTTAATTTTCAAAATTGTCTTTATAAATCAGAATTATATTTCATAATGATTATCAATAAGCATTTTCACATGATGGAACAACCATGACAACTTTCCACTTACAAATTAAATATATTGTATCACTAATTCAGTTTTGAAATATGTCTAAAATTTTCTTAGGGGGTTTAGCAAATTTAAAATATATATTTCCTATATTCCAAGTAATGCATCTTTATATTTTTGCAAAGAATAGTATAAAGTTCACCACACCAACAGCAGAGACAATTTAGAGAGTGATATTTTCATTTTTTCTTTATAATGCTGTTAATCTGTTTCTTTAAAGCCAGCCCACTTGTTTAACACTAGGTACCTGTTACAATATATTAGATTCGTCTGAGAATGTTCGTAAAAGAAGAGGTCTGACTGAAGGTCTGGTGGATAATGAGTCAGATGCCCTTCTACAGCTCAGATTTCTCTGTAATAGTGAGGCAAAGATACTTAAAGCATTTGAAGATTGGTTAACCTACCTTGTGATAAAAATGTAAAAGAAAAAATCATTTCCTATAGACTACACTCTTGTGGCCAAAGGTACAAATGATTAATTACACTACATAGCAAATGAGTAACATTCAAATGAATACATTTAAAGGCCTAAGAAAGTCTTCAACTCATATTGTTTCTTGTGGAAGAAGTAAATAGAAATTAGTAGTATGTGGCAAACTTGGGTTTTTGAAATGGTACTGGTAGGTTATATGGTAAGATGAGTCAATATGGTTTGATTAGTAAACCTTACCATCCTTTTGGTGAACACCTCTGAGAGTTGTGCTGGTGCTGTATGTCAAAGAGAAATTTGTGCAAAACTCCTGTTCTGGTGAAAATACTAGCTTCTACATGCTATGGTTACTACTTTATACCCTGGATCAATGAAACTGTAGATTATAGTCAAAGCTTTTGAAGATTACTTCCTCTTTAGTGAGACAATTTGGAAGGTGAACAAATGATTCTAAAAAAATGACAAAATACTGAGTATCAATAGAAGATATAAAAATGAGTCATGAGAAGTAATTTTTCATAAAGAATCAGAAAATGATGTCAGGCAAATGAGAATGCAAGCAAGTTGGTACATTAAGAAAGGAAATCACCTTATTCACTCCAAGAGAAACTGTGATTGCTGGAAGTTTGAGAAAGCATGAAGATAGTAGATGTTCCTGAGGAAGGGAGGCGTTTCGTTACCTTGTTCACAATTGCACAAAAGGTGGAAAATTGCAGTAGAAAAGAGAGAAATGCAGAAACCAAGGGAAAAAAAAGAAAAGAAAAGTAAATATTCTCTTAGATGTAAGACATTTTAAAAGAAACCTTGAGAATTGGAAGCAGAAATGACATGTTAGTTTTGAAGACGTTACTTCCTGAAGTAAAAGTAGAGTTAAAATTAATCTATTATATGTGCCACCCACTATTTATCTATGTACCAATTTTAAATTATTTTGTTAATGGGAAGGTATTATTTTAAATAAAATATTCTAAAATGTTTCTCATTAAAATAAGGCTTATCTTTAATCATAATTCACTACCCTACATTTGTTCAGTTCATTGGTCACAGAGCTATGTCCAGGGTCCATCCTCAATTATCAATCTACCTTGAAGTTACTCTTACCCCTATCCAACTGCACAGATATATTATGAATGGACTGATTGCCCTTGGACAGCTGCAAGTCAAAAACCTCACCACAACTAACATAACGGGAAAACATTTGGTGGCACCATCGTCCCATCTGACTTGAACTTCCTTTGTTTTAACATAATTTTATTGGTTTCCCCATTTTTCCTTACAGAGATCTCTTTAGAAAGGTAGGTTAAATTTTACCTAGGTGAGATGTTTCCTTCAAAACCCAGAAGTTCAAAATTAATAAACTATCTAGAAAAATCTAATAGGTTATTTTTTCCTTCTAATTTTGTTTCTGAAATTATAAGGAAACATACAGACTTGGTTTTGGCTTTGCCCAAACAAAACAGAAGATGAGTGGTCAGCTATGAGGATAAGTTGAACAACTGTACTGATCAAGATTATCCATAATATCTTCTTAGTGACTAAGGAAAATAGGTTTAGGAAAAGATACCAGCTCAAGTAAAATATGTATCAGACAGAATCTAATAAGAAAAATTTTAAAGACAAATGCTTCTATTTACTCTTTTTTGACACAATTACACTTTTTCCTGTTCATATTTTACCTTAAACAAAGAAAGGTAGTCATATATTGGTAACATGCAAATCACCAACTGATAAAACTAGAGAAAAAAACATTTTTAGGTTCCAAGAAAAAAAAATTTAATTTCTTTTATATTCTATTTTGTGGGCAAAAACCTTGCAGCAAAACTAACATGATACCAAGTCCCCCATCAATGTGTTTAACACGTATAAGTCTATTTAAGATCGAAACTTAAGCACACTTGGTGTGCTTAAAAACTTGTATCCAACCATGAAAGATAAAAGTATTCTGGAAAAGCACAGCCTTTGAGATAGAAGTCCCCTGCTTTTCTCCTTTGCTAGCAAAGCAATAAACCATCTTTTCCCTGTTTCTCAATTTAAAAAAGTATTCTGTGAAGCAGAATTTTAGGAGTTTAACATATTAGGTGTTAAGGTTAATTTATAAGGGGAAAAAGGAACTATGAAAGTACAGGAAGCAGTAGAAAGCATGAAAAGAGTATCTAAAGCAACTGGTAGTAGGGTACGATAAGGATGACAGGAGATAATGAGCTGAAACAGTATGAAATTTCCACATTTCTTTGCAGTCATCTAGAGACCTTTCACACCAGCTCAATTAGCAGCATGTCAAAGAGGCCAATGGATAAAGGCCCATCTTAACAGCCACAACATTAGGATTCAATTTCATTATTACCATTATTATTAAAATGATAAATTGTATTCTCCAATATTTCCAAAGTGCTTTCTTGGGGAATTTTGTTCAGAAAGCTGACATTCTTGTTTTTCCTGTGTTCTACTCAGAAAGAGCTCACTACACAATGAGATATTTCTTCCTATTTGTGCAGATGTCCCATGTTAGGCATGGTTATGTTCCTAGATCCATTCCCATTTGACCATTCTTCCCATGTTTGGCAGGCAAAGTCAATCCTCTTTCTTCTGGCTGTAGTGGTTTACATGAGAACATATTAAATAAGGACATGTGGAAATATCAAGTGATATTGGCTAGAAGGTCCAGGTGTATTTCAATAATTTACAGATAGGCAATGACTATGGTTACTTAGATAGAACAACTTTGTGAAATACCAAAAATCCTTAACTTTAAACTACCTTTGAAGTGTTATCTTGCTGTTTCACTGTTCAAAGCTCAATGGTAGTTCCATCATACACTGTCAGTAGCAGTACGGTTATGCAGCTTTGTCACTTTATATGCTAAAGAAAAGCTCTATGGTTCTTAAAAATGGGATTTTCGGGACAAAAATTAACCTCACTGCTGAAATTTCAGCTGAAGGTTATGTCCTGAAATATAATCCTTGGGTTAGCTACTTTTGAAGATATAATTCTTTTTTAAAAAATATTTATTTTTCAGTTTTCAGTGGATACAACATCTTTATTTTTTATTTTTATGTGGTGCTAAGGATCTAACCCATAGCCCCGTGCATGCCAGGCGAGTGCGTTACCGCTTGAGCCACATCCCCAGCCCGAAGATATAATTCTTTATAATGCAAACATCATGACAGATCTTGGCAGTGTTGGAGGCTGCCATTTTTTTATGGAGGCTTCAAAACTTGAATAACTCAGTTTTGTTATAAAAAGTCTTATATATATATATAATTGATTCTCCTATTCTGTTTTATACCTGCTTCCTGAAAAGAGTTCAATAAGAATGTCCTTTATAACTTGACTAGAGTGAGAGCCTTGTTTGATTCATTCCAGAATTACTAGCATCTACTACAGGAGCTAACTCACAGTGGGCCCTCAGGCAATGTATGCTGAATTGAATGGAATTCAACATAAGGCTTATTCTATAACTGTTAAATATAAATGGCTTAGCCTCTTTCTCAAATGCCATAGAGACATTTTCACTATCCATTTCCAAGTCCCGTTTTTAAAGCAGCTGCCAAGAGCCACATGTGGATAGCTTTGGCACCCCAATTTCCATAAGCATTTCTGAATGTGTACCCAGGATGCCTAATGATTGAAGTCAGGGCTACCTTCTACTCTAGATAAGGACACAAATCCCATTACAGAGCCTATCAGGATATGAAGAAGACCCAGTATAAGAGAATCTTTTGCCTCCCTTTAAAATGGAGCCAATGCCTTAGCAAGGAATACTGAACAAAGTAGGAAGCCTCTCAAAAATGTTAGACTCTTGATCACTAAGCATAAAGACTAATACATTTTAGGGAAAGTAAGATACCCATTTTCCTTTATTTAGAAGTTGGCCTCTCCTTTTTTGATATGGTCAAACAGGGCATTATGCAAATAGATGTGACTTATCAGAATCTCTGTGGCTGCCATGATTCAGTTGGCCTTTATCCATTCATAGGCAATACAATGCTCTTGCATTTTTTCATGAAAAAAGAGGCAGCACTGCTGAGTGCCCACAACTATTTTGCCTCTATGCAACTCTCAAAATCCCACAGAGTCTGAAAAACCATTTAGCCTTTCAGACATAGGATATAAAGAGAGATGTTCATCAGTAGGTGGTTCAACAAATGTTGATTCGTTCAGTGAGCATATGAATGAGTGAATGAATGAATGAATGAATGAAAATGATTATGGAAAATTTCCTGATTCTTCTAACACATTAGCATGCCAAGCTATAGCACAGATACTAGAATTCCTCCCATCATGGATATAACCCATGGTAAATTTGATCTTAAATCCTTGGCAACATTGTATGCTGCTAAATAAAAAGGGCTGCAGTCCCAGAATTTCATACTTTCAACAGAAGTTTGGAATCTGCTGTTTGCATGGAAAGAAAATGCTCTAAGTCTTTATCTGTGATTTCTTAGTAGCATCCCTCCAATGGCCTATATAGATATCACCTCCAGCCAGTGTCTATTTTTTTAAAAAAAGAAGACCTAAGTAAGAGGATAAGATGATATGCTAAAAATTTTTGATTTCAGAGATTTTGTACCATCTTTAGAACATGAAGCTGGATGTGAGCCATTATTTAACATAGCTCCATTATCCCAAATAAGAAAAACTTCTAGAAGTACCCCCAAAAGTATATTATCAAATAAGGATAATGAAAGAGCAACTCAGAGATCCTCCTTTACAAATTCTTCATTATACAAATAGGCACTAAACCATTACTGCATTTTTTATTTGGCTTCATGCAAATTGCCACTTACACCAGTCTGGGAGGAACCTGTTGTATTGACCTGTTCAATTGATATTAAGGTATAATCAGATAATGAGAAAACCACTTTTCCATCCTAAAACTAAAAGCCAGGCTGGAGGGAGTTAGCTAGAGGGCTACTGGAAGGATTAAAGAGTGAACTAACATAGTCTTATCTAGACTAACATTACTGTGTCCAGTTTCAACCTATAAGGCATACAAAATCAGAGAGTTCAGGGCAATTCTGACCACCTAACTATACAGACTGGCCTTAAATAGGAAGAATCAGTGTAGATTATGCCACTGACAGTTCCCTTTTAATTGGGGCTGACACTGACTTGTTACATGAAGTTCCTCTTTTGTACTTCTAACCAATGAAGATTTTCCCACTGTATTAATTTTAGATCTTCATGTCTACCTAATGTCAACCACTGGATTCTATCAACAACAACAATAATGCTCCATGATCTATCAGTTTCGTGGCCTGGTTGGCAAATTTGATCAAATACCTTAGGTAGTTATAGCTTCGAATATTTCCTGAAAATACTGTGTTGAGGAGCTATAAGACCTAGGTGATGTCAACATAACAGAAACAGGGTTTTATTATAGCAAAGCTAGCATTGGCAGAAATATGACATATTTGGTCAAAATCTACCAGAGGTTTTATTTGCTAGGCTAATCTATCCTTTTCACCTTAAAGGCTTTTTAAAAAATGTTCAAAAGATATCAGATAATGTGACGGAAGAAAATAATTTCTCATTCCCAATAGGAAATTTGCAATTTAATAGGAAAAAAAATAAAAACACACTCATAAAACAATCTTGAATTTTTATAAGTGTGTTTGGAAGGATAAGGATGTAGAAACCATATCCAGGGAATTTTCTTTGGTTTAAGTATACTGCTGGGAAGACAGGGCTAGAAGCAACACAGAGATTAAGCAGCACTATAATTAAAGGAAGGGGAAAGGTTTAAAAGAGGCAAATTGGGATTATCAACTTAAAAAATCTGCAAACAACCCACAGGGAAATTTCTAAAGTTAAAGCTGAAATGTTGGTGTGGAAATTCCTGATGGGAAAATTCTGGGATAAATAAAAATGAAACCATGTTTTCCTTTTTAAATTCCATATGGAGCATATGAGATACTCCATATGGATTGCTAAAGGTCACATAGAACACTATTAAGGAATCTACTTACCACCTGCATTGGATAACGAAGTTTTTACTATACTTTTTATGCAGAAGAGGAAATTAAGTGATGAACCTGCAAGGAGGGGTTTAACATGCTGTAACTAATGCAATTCTCTAAATACAGTTTTTAGTTCATGGCAGATATTGAAGCCCCTTCCAAAAATTAGGTTAAATTTTAAACAGTTCTTACCCTGGCACTTCTTCTTTTTACATTCTTTAATACTATCAGGAGAATCTCAGGGAAAAGGCTGATAAATATTAGAAGAATTATGGCCAGCCATGTGGATACAGAAGATAGCATGTGAGCAAATACGAAATACATTCTCTGTTGTTTGAGAAAAGGCCTGGAGTGGAAAGAAAATACATAATGGAAAAACAAATGAGTTCCTGTCAAGTGAAAACAGAAGTTTAATTGAAACTGTCTTTTGTATTTAAAAGAAATCTTCCTTATACACATTAATAAAAGAAATTTCTCTAGAATGTCCCCAAAGTGGTAAACATATTTCATTTACCAAATGTTTGGAAAGAAAAGGAATGAGAATCAAAGGGGAAAAATAATAAAATTCATCTGACTTGAAAACAATCAGGCAATCAACTATAAAGCTGCCAACTGGTGAATATTTATGTGCATTACAAAATGCTTGAGCTTCAAAAATATTCAAGAGAAATGATGGTTAATTTTTATCCTAACAGGCATTTTATTTCCTCAGCTGTCTTATTAATATGAGAATGAATTTATGTTCCTCATTTAGTGCTCTTCATTTAGAAGTTTAAAAGACATTTTTATACCACTCCCCTTGAAAATCCTATGTAAATTCAAAAAGGATTGTAAAGCTTACAGTCTCTCACAAATGAGAGTAATCTGTCATTATCATCTGCAAATGTACATTCGGCAAAAGGTTTCTAGACAGTAAAATACCACTAATAGGTCAGTAAGCCTTGAAATCCAGAAATCCAGAGGACCCCTCATTCTGAAGTTAGACTTCATTCCAATTCATTCACTGAACTGTTAAGTGGCCATTGAGAAGCCTGGTCTCCCTTCTCCTGTCTAGAGCTGAGCCATAGAGAACCTCAACAGGCTAACTTAATTTTGTTCTAATTTGAGGGGGAGGAAGAGGCTCCTTAAGATCAGAATGCACATCATATACTATCTTCGGATTAGGAGCTCTAGGTAGATAACCAGTTGGTCCCATTTACTAGATCACAGATTATATACCGTATGTGCTGAAGGTAAATTGGTTTCTTATTTAAAAACTTACACTTGTGCTCCCTTATACATCTCAGTAGAAATCAAGCTTGTGGCTCTACATATATAAGGACTAGATTGTGGAATAAAAGTTGGTAGATTAGTAAGGTAGAGAAATTCCTGAAGCCTAAATAGGCCTAAGAGGCTAAACAGGCTTTCTAGGAAAATTCTATCATACAGAAAAAAGACTGTTGCAAAACACCACCCTACACTTAATTCTACAAAGTGGCCTGAATTAAAATTTTAGGTAATTAATTGAGCCATACCAAAGGTCCAACAGACAAGTAAGAGCTAGCCATAGGGTGTTCCTTTGCAACATACTCCCGATACTCTGATTAATATCTGTAGTTTTTTTTTCTACTTTGATGTCATCTGTGGGGCTTTGCAGGAAGGATTGGATTTGGGGTTCAGAAATCATCATTCTCACTGCATAACCCCAAAGAGGGAATCTCAGTGCTTCAGGGTAAAACATGTCCAGGGACATTAACTGCAATTAACATTCAGCTGAAGTTTTGCATAATTTCATACAGTAGCATAATATGGCTAGCTCTGTAAAAGGACAGCATTGCAGGCAACAAAATATACATTTGCTCCTCCTTTATTCATGGGGAAGAAGTCCTAAGACCCCCCTGTACATGCCAGAAACCATAGATACTACCAAACTCTCTCTTCCTACATATTATTTTTTCCTAGAATGAATGCCTATGATTAAGTTTAATGTATAAAGTAGGCACAGTAAAAGATTAACAATAATAAAACAATCATAACAATATACTGTAATAAAAGTGCCAGTATCATTATTCTTGTGTTTTGGGTCATTATTAAATAAGTGTTACTTGATACCATGAGAGCTGATAGAATAAGTGAATAATGGGCAGGCAGGTGGTATATACAGCCTGGATACACTGTAAACTCATATATTTGGCAGAATGGAGCTGGGTGGAATGAGAGTTCATCATACTACTCTGAACAGTGTTCAATTTAAAACTTATGATGTTTATTTTTAGAGTTTTCCATTTATGATTTTTGAGCTGTGGTTGACCATAGAAAAACTGAAACCTCAAAAAGTAAACCTGTAGCTGGGTGCCAAGGTGCATGCCCGTAATCCTAGTGGCTGGAGAGGCTGAGGCAGGAGGATCATGAGTTCAGAGCCAACCTCAGTAACAGAGAGGTGCTAAGAAACTCAGTAAGACCCTGTCTCTAAATAAAATACAGAATAAGGCTGGGGATGTGACTCAGTGGTTGAGTGCCCCTGAGTTCAATCCCTAGTACCAAGAAAAAAAAAAAAGTAAACCTGTGGATTAGGAAGAACTACTGTATTTAATTTTTATTAAGTATCACTAATGATTAAACAGGTATGACAATGTCTTAATCACTTAAATTATTTACTTTAATCAATAAGGAATAGTCTGTGGAAAGGATTCGAAACTTGTTAAGGTTGCTAGAAACATTTTAATCTTGTGGAAATTTTGCATAATTTTCAGATGTTAATTATACATTTCATAGAATTATGATACTCTAGGCAGATCTACAATTGCATATTGCCTTTGCTTAATCAGCTTTGATTCATTTGTATATTAAAGAAAATAGACTTTCTTCAGTTTTGATGTTCTCAGTCATTACCTATAGAGGTGCCAAATATATATACTTTCTTAAGTGATTAGGTTGTTCATATTTTCATTTTTTAAGGCTTTTATAAGAAAAGCTTTTCAAAACAGAGTTTAATTAATCCTCAAGGAATATAAACATAGTCTTCACATCTCTGTGATAAAAATGTTTTATATGTATATAAGATTTTGCACAAAGCCGTCAAAATATGTAATCTTGGAATCTCATCCCATGGCTTACTCCAGCTTTGCTCCTTGTTGCTGGCATCCTTACCAGAAGAAGCCATTGATTAATGGAAACAAATTTGATATTTAAAAAACAAATTATGGGCCTTGGGGAGTAAGGAATGGAGACATAAACACAACTTATTTTCATTCCTTATCCCTCCCCTTATCACAAGTTATGGGTCTATCACTGGACTCATCTGAGGTAGGATACACTCTATTTATCTCTGTCCTATAGAGTACTAAGCACAAAATGGATTCTGAATAAACACCTTCTGAATTAGGATGAACTAAATGAATTCTGAGGCTAAGCTGTAGAGTCTGCCTACCTCTATCCCAAAATAGTGAGATGATGATTAAGATAAAACTGAGTATTAAGTGGAATACATCCTATACCCTTGAGCACATACGTTGTGACATGAATGACAGGTATAGAGTCAGCACTCATATCTATGGGTTCTGAATCTGGCTTCAAACAACTTTGGATCAAAAATACCTGAAAAATAATATTTGTCTATACTAAACATATGCAGACTTTTTCCTGTCATTATTCCCTAAACCACATAGTCTAACAACTATTTACATAGCATTTTCACAGTATTAGGTACTATAAATCATCTAGAGATGATATAAAGTATATAGGAAGAGATAAATAGGTTATATGCAAATACTGTGCTATTTTAAATATATAAGGGACTTGAGCATCTGAGGATTTTTGTAAACACAGGGAGATCCTAGAACCAAACCTCCACAGATACTGAGGGACAACTATACACTTTAAAGAGAAAATAGGGTCCAGATGGATTAACAGTATATAAGGCCAAATTATCAGGCAGAAAATTCAGAGGATTTCTACTGGAGATCACATGGGAGGTCTTGGTAGAAATTAGTTTCATTTTAAAGATTTGGACAGGGGCTACCAAAGGGAAGTCCTTTTTGAGTGACTATGTACTCCATAGACTTGTATTTGAAATTTTACCTGAAATTAGTAGCATTACAAACTGTAAGTAACCTCTATTCCATTAATATTAAAGACTTGCTATCATATATAATCAAAACTTTAATAAAAGTATAATGTTTACATAATATACATATAGTTATTTATATACTGCTCACAGTTGTATAGCTGCTTACCAAATAATTCCTCCCCAGAAGAATGAGAAAAATACATAAAAGGCTAAAGAACCCCAAATCACAAAGTGATTTATCCATGTCCAGAATCGAGTATCCAAGGCGAGCTGAAAAGATGGAGCACAAGGGATTTTATGATGAGTACAAATTATACTAGGCAATAAACAATGATATCTGATATCCTGCACACAATATGATAACTATGACAAAATCTAGCTTTGGCTAGAGATTCAAGAGAAAGTTAAACTAAAAGAATAGAATGCAAGCCTTTTAAAGAACTAAGGTGAAACAGTTGAACACTATACTAACACCTCTCAATTCTACACTGTGAGCACAGAGGTGTGGGTCAAGTCATATAGCTAGTAGGTGTGGGGCTGCAGATGCCTCAGAATTCTGCAATGGGTGAGAAATAAAGTAATGGTAGTATCCAGGAAGCTGGAGCCCCAAGTCTTCAGGTAGCAGTGGTAAGGGAAATTAATGAGAAAAGGAGGCCTAGTTGGTAGAGACCGGTATGCTATAAAGCAACAGGAGTGGGAAGGGGCTGCTAAGAAGGGGAGACATATTATATAAGGAGTCATGAAAGCTCAAATAACAGAGTTGTCATTAAATGTAAAGACAACTAGCTGTATGCATTTTACATCATGTAGCAATGGATCATGGGCCTGATTATATTGCATGCCTTTCCAATTGTAAAACGTGTATCTATTCTATTAAATTAACAGAATGTTCAGTTGCTTTGGATTTTAAGTTCTTCATGTTTTTGTGAGGAATGATTGTAGTATCTAAGGTTTTCAAATATTATCTAAAAACAAAGTATGTTCTGGTCTGCTTGCTTAAAACTTCTGGTTCATATATCCAGAGCATTTATTTCTTGTAGAGAAGGTGGTGTTTCCACTTTGTTACTTGCTGTGACACCATGGCCCTCATCCCTCTGTTAGTTTCTCATTTGTACACAGGATGTTGATAACATTGTTAAGGCAGTCTCATCTTGAATTCTTACCCTTTCACACTGCTAGAGAAAATGTCACAATAGTATTCATCCAAAGGAAGAGGAAACGGATATCTTTTGAGTTACACATGAAAGATGCTGCAGTAAGGTTGACTTTAACTATGAAGGGTGCTGGGAAGCCCTGAGGCCATATTCAAGGTGGGGGGGGGGGAGTCAATTTAAAATCATGATCGTGTGAAGCATAACAACAAATAACAACCAATATTTGTTAAAATGAGCACACTCAATGTGCCAGATGTCATTCTAAATTCTTTAAATGCATTTATTAGTTGACTCCTAAGAAAGGAAGGTGCTACTTTTGACTCCATTTTACAGAAGAGGACACTGAAGCACAGTAGTGAAGTTACTTGTCCAACGACACAAAGCTATTAAGCAGCCAAACTGAGATAAATTTTAACATTTCCTTTTAAAGTCAACAATCTGAAAGAAGTGATAAGCAATGTAAACATGTTAGTTATATTGGGTATGAAAAATGAACCAGGATAAAAATTTAGACAAAATGACTAGAGAGGTCCTATGACAATTATACTTCTCGATGTTGGTTCTGACCACTGGACATGTTCACTTTAAGGTATTTGTTCTTGGGCCCTAAAGGTGTTTATTATTAGAATGATCAAAATAATTTAATTAAGTGTTCAACTATAAAAGAGTTTCTACTCATAAGCTTCATGGTTGCATGTAAATACCAATGATTTTGCCAAAATTAACCTTCTTATATGTAATCTTATCTGCTATCTGCTATATGTACTTATGCACTTTTATCACTAACATGGATAAATTTCAGTGGTGAATACGTTTTGTAAAATTTCTTTACTACTAAACCCTTTTTATACATACCATGCTCATGGACACCTATTTAAGTGTTTTAAATATTCAATTTCTTCTTAGGCCAGGGGTTCTTAAACAAAAGTCTCAAATACTTAATATAAAAATATACACACATACACTCAGAAAAATCACAGCCTGTTTATATGCCACTAATCATAATGTCTTAAAAACAGCAATTAAGAAACATATTTTCAACATAAAACAAAATATAGAGGATAGATAATACACTAGAAAAATGGATGACAAATATATAGAAATGCCCAAATCCTCAGCATCATGTACTTTTTAGTAAGCATTCAAAAGGCTGAATAACAAGCAGCAACAAAAATAAAGATCAGGAGACAAAAATGATATTAGAATTAGACCAGACCTTATTACAAAAATAGTCTCAATGTACTTGAATAAATAAAAATCTAACCTTCAGAGTTACAGTGAATACTAAAACTGTAAAGACAATAGTCCCAAAAGTCCAGTTTCCGTATACCTGAAAAACATTAAATAATTATATGTACCATAAATATACAAGCCTGTTTTAAAAAATTAAAAAGTCAACTTTAATCCTGCATGTATCTGACACAGATTTTTATATGAATTTTGTTTAAGAAAACAACTCATCAATAAGATCAAGTCACAATGCTGGATTTTCTTGTGCCCTAAATTTTCATGAACAGGTATAACACTGTGGCTGTTAGGGTTTATTTCCATTATTCCATGTAGCATAAAACATGGAACTCACTGGTTTGATAAAGACGAGAGAGAGAGAGAGAGAGAGAGAGAGAGAGAGAGAGAGAGAGAGAGAGAGAGAGAGAACGAGAACCTATTCCATTAACAGTAATATCCATCAAAACAAGTCATTTAGATGACTTATATCTCTAAAGAGTTTGATATTGGCCTTTCTTATAATATCACTAAAGTTCTCACATTAGCAATAATTTGCAGACAAATGGACTCACATTTTTTTAAATTAGTAATTTTTTGGCTATAAATACTAGAGCTGTCAGCATATGCACATTAAAGAAAAGCAAATACCACGTATAAATCCAAACGATGGCAATGAATGGCACATATGCTTACCAAATGCTGTCAAGATCTGAATGCATAACATTAAAACAGAAAATGAGATGTAAAAGGTTTTTAAAAAAATAAAAACAAAACCTTAAGGTTAATAGAAGCAAAAAATGGATTCAATCAAATCATACATGGATGTTAATGTTTAGTTGCTGATAGCAGTTCTTACCATTATTGTAATTTTAACAAACACTTAGCAGGATGGTAACATATACAGTAAAACCTTATTACATTGGACTTTGTGAACTCAAAATGGATAATGAATCAGAAAGAGGCTGAGTTGATGCTTCTTATGTCACTGCCCAAAAAATTTTCTGGGCAAATGAATCGTGTCAACAGGCCTGGAGAGTGGAAAGTATGTGCCTAATTTGGAGCAAATTCTTTTTTTGGTGGGGGTGAGGGGAGAATACTGGGGATGAACCGAGGGGTGCTTACTACTGAGCTACATACCTAGCCCTTTGTATTATTATTTGTTCTAAAAACGAGACAGGGTCTCACTAAGTTGCTGAGGCTGGTTTCGATCCTCCTGCCTTAGCCTCCCAAGCCACTGGGATTATAGGCATGTACCACTGTGTCCAGTGGGAGTAAATTCTTCTTAAGCAGTAGTCATCTATATATAATTTATGTGCCAAAGAAAAGTGAAAGTCACAGAATCAGTCATAAAGCTGAAGGGACCTGAGAAATCACAAAACTGATTTGTTCTTATTGACGGGCAAAGTTTACTTGGAAAGCTGATGTAACTTTACTAAGATTTAGCAGGACACTTTCCTTGGCAAGGGCTACATGTATCTACTCTAAAGCAGAACTGCATTTCCCCAACAATTACTTTAGAATTAATAATTTTCATGGATTCATACTACATTGATTTCTGCTAAACTAGAGAGGACTTGCCTAATTTCAAAGTATGATACAAATTCACTGAGTCCATCATTTTTGTAATAGATGTTAATTGTGTAGGTTCCAGACACAGTTATTATAGTCTGTAAATTATTTTTGAACCTTACCTTTTGCTTTTAATTATGATTATAAAGAATGACCAAAAGGGGCTGGGGTTGTGGTTCAGTGGTAGAGCTCTAGCCTAGCACATGCAAGGAGCTGGGTTTTATCCTCAGTACCACATAAAAATAAATAAATAAAATAGAGGTATTGTGTCCAACAACAACAACAACACCATAAAAGAGGAATACCAGAAATGGGAAAGAAGAACATAGTGAAAGCAGCATGCAAGGCAGTATGCTCAGTTTCCCCCTCTGTAGCTGCCATGAAAAAGGCATCCTCTGTCCCCCACAAGTAATTCTCTCCTAGAGTACAGCCAGGGCAAAATCATTCTAATGCAGCTGCTGACTGATATAGTCATTTGTGAAGAAGGCACTGGCAGGACCAGTGTAGCCTTTCTGGGAGAACACTAGGCTCCCAATTAGAAGGAAAGAACGGAAAGAAAAGAACTCTCTCTCTTCACTGCTTGGTGCAACACTCCATAGATATTGCAGAGGTCCAAAGTCTGAAGTTCCAAGAACTCTGTTCACCTAACAAAAATCATAGCCAAGTTAAGCTTCTAGAGGGTTTGTACATAAGCTCTCTAGTTAGCACAAAAAGTGATTTCTTATTGTAACACTTCCATTACTTTAAAGACATGTGAAAATAAATATTGTATTTTGAGAAAAATAGTTTCCAAAATGATTATAGCAAGGTATAAAGACAGAACCAATGCCTAAGGAAAAAAGAAAAGCCATGCTTATAATACTTAAAGATGTAATGACATTTCTTTTTACCTTTCCATTATCTTCTAGGGATGCAGTCTGAAAAAGAAAGTAAGTCCCAAAGAAGAACACTGTCCCTTCAAAGGCAGCCAGAAATGTCCAATACAAGAAGGGGACCAACTGTAGCATAGCATTACCAGAAATTTTCCTATTGAGAAATGGGGGAAAAAACAGGTTAATCAATCTCTGTAGGTTGTTTGTTTAAAGATGAAGTGAAACACCAAAGGTGGGCACAGGATTTGATCCTTTTATAATAAAGAGAGCTACCCCAATGGATTAAAAGTTTTTTGGTAAACACCCAGACTAAGCTGAAGGTTGATCTTCATGTAATCACTCCCTGACAACTAGACACTACAGTAAACTGTCAAAGTGCTTCTAAAATTCTGGCTGTCAACAACAATAACATCATCAATAATAATTACCTCACATTTAATGATTTATATATTATATGCTAAGAACTGGGTTAAATGTTTACATACATATTAACTATTTTTATCCACATAAAAAAAAGGGGGCGCTGGGGTTGTGGCTCAGTGGTAGAGCACTTACATAGCATGTGTGAGGCACTGGGTTTGATTCTCAGCATCCAATATAAGTAAAAAAAAAAAAAAAAAAAAGGTCCATCAACAACTAATTTAAAAAAAAAAACTATGTGAGATAGGTATTATTATTACTTCCATTTGTAAACAATAAGGAGCCTCAGAAAGGTGTAACATAATGGTTCCTAAACTTTGATGTAACTTATAATTACCTATGGATCTTTGAATGAGAACTATAGTAGAGATCATGAGAGGATAGAAAAGGTTGGGGAAAGGAGAAGAGTGAGAGGGTAGATAATGGGTTCAAAAACACAGAAGGGGAGAAGTAATTCTTATGTCCACAGCACAGTATGGTAACTAAGTCCAATTAATTAGATATTTCACAATAAGTAGAGGAGAAAAGTCTCAAGGGTCCCAGAACAAAGAAATGATAACATTTGAGGAGAGAGAAATGCTAATTACCTGATTTTATCATTATACATTTTATATATATGGATTATAATAACCCCACAAATAATTACAAATACATGTCCATTTGAAAATAAACACTGATGCCTGGCTCCCATTCTCATTATAATTGATCATTTATTTATTTATTTATTTTTGTAGTACTGGGCATCTTAGTGAAATCCTGTCTGTAGGATTTCACTGCTGAGCTACATCCCCAGCCCTTTTATCTTTTATTTTGAGAAAGGGTCTTGCTAAATTGCCAGGATGGCCTTGAACTTGTGATCCTCTGCCTCAGCCCCTGGAGTCACTGGGATTATAGGCATGTACCATCATACTTGGCTTTATTCTTATTTTGACACAGGGTCTTAGTAAATTGCCCAGACTGGCCTTGAATTTGTAATCTTGGTGCTCTTAACCTACCAAATGGCTGGGATTATCAAGCATGCACCACTGCGCCCAACTTTCATTCTGATTTAATTGGCATGATCTTAACCACCAGGATCTTTTTAAAGCTCTCAAAGTAATTCTATTTTATTTTATTTTTGGTGACTCTGGGGGTCAAACCCAGGGCCTTGTATATGCGAGGCAAATGTTCTACCACTGAACTACACCCTAGCCCTCCCAAATTAATTCTAATGTGCAGTAGAATCTGGGAATCATTAGTAGGAGCAAGCCAAAGTTCACTCAGTAAGAAACAAGAGCTATATATACTGTCATGATCTTAACTGCTACTAAGCTTTCTAACTATAGTTGTTAAAATGTTTCTTTTAATCGAGTTTTCTTCCTTGAAATTTAATCCTTAAATCTTAGTTTTCCATCAAGTAAAATAACATGTTTGAACTGTATAATGATGTTTTATAAATGGCAGGTGAACAGATCAAAGTTTAAATCTGTCAAGAAAAATAGCACATTCTAGTCGGGCATGGTGGTGCATGACTGTAATTCCAGCAGCTTGGAACGCTAAGGAAGGAGGATCATGAGTTCAAAGTTAGCCTCAGCAACCAAGTAAGGCCCAAGCAACTTAGTGAGATCCTGTCTCTAGTCTCTAAATGAAATTTTAAAAAAGTCTGGGGATGTGGTTAAGCGCCCTTGGGTTCAATCTCTAGTACCAAACATACAGGAAGAAAAAAAAAACACAACAAAAACCAAGCAAGCAAACAAACAAAACACATTCTAGCTGCGTGCACATGTGCACACCTGATAATCCTAGCAACTCAGGAGGCTGAGGCAGGAGAATCTCAAGTTCAAGGCCAGCCTCAGCAACTTAGCAAGAGCCTGTTTCAAGAATAATAATAAAAAAAAAAAGTGGAAGGGGCTATTTCCAGTACAAGTCAGAATGTGAAATAATGCAACTTTTATCTATTACATTTCCCAGGTGCATACAGTAATCTGCAATTCTGCAGGTGCTGTTGAACTAAAAAAAATGTCATGAGAAAGAAGTGGCCACTTCACAAAAACAAGCTCTCCCCACAGCCAGTAGTCATGTTTCCAAGGCAACCAGGAACCAAGGGAAAGGGGCCTTCCCTAAAGATCCTTGCAGGGAGTTCCCAGCAACTAACTGCCACCAATGTGGCTTTTAATAGTCACTAACTTGACTGAGGCAAAGAGGGCAAAAGCAGGAAATGGTTTCTGTCTTTACAGACCATCTGTGGGAGTTACATTACAAACATTGGGAAAAACAGCAGGGATATCATAATATGTTGGATAATAGATCAGGCTTTCTTGCTGCACTCTGATGAGTGAAGAAACTCTTGAAAATACAATAGGGCAGTCAACACAAAGGAAAACATGAATGAGAATGAAGATTCTGGCAAAGGCTGACCAGCAGCACTGCCCAAGCACTCTTGTACAGTGACATGTAGCAGATGTACCTTTTAAAGCTGCAGAAGAAACAAATTACACCTGTTCCTTTCACAGAAAATTTATGGTTTACTTTCACAATTTCTCTTAATATGAAAATATCCAATTATGTATTATTTCACATCAAAGTGTTTGGAAGGGCTGGGGATGTGGCTCAAGCGGTAGCGCGCTCGCCTGCCATGCGTGCGGCCCGGGTTCGATCCTCAGCACCACATACAAACAAAGATGTTGTGTCCGCCGAAAACTAAAAAATAAATATTAAAAAAAATTCTTTAAAAAAAAAAAAGTGTTTGGAAATGCCTGAGTCACTAAATCCACAAAGGTGATATGTATACTATGCTATGTAGTACTACCATAAAAATTAAGTGGTTCACTAAAAAGAGCATCACATGCAGATAGACCAGTACTTCATGTTCACAAAGTAATAATCAGAGTAACTGAACAATCCACAATCCAGTGATAAGTTGAGAGCACTGTTTGATCAAAGCAGGCACTTACTACTTACAAGTAACAAGGTTAGGAAGGAAAATTGCACTTTGGTCTGGGCAATAGGTATACCATAATCTTCATTTTTGCCTAATTCATAACTTATAGCTGCAATGCAATAATTAAAATTTCATGGAAATCCTTTTAATATTTGCACCCAACAGCTTTTTTCAGGCTCTCAAGATTTTTTAAAATATATTTTTAGTTGTAGATGGACACAATAACTTTATTTATTTATTTATTTTTATGTGGTGCTGAGGATCAAACCCAGTATCTGACATGTGCAAGGCAAGTACTCTACCACTGAGCCACAACCCCAGCCCTCAACATTTTTAATTTATAAAAACACTCAGCATAGTCCAGAAAGTATGTGGAGGAAGGCATTAGAATAATGAGATTAACAGCTATACCAACTGAAAAATGATTATGTGTTACTGCTTTTAAAGTTCTTTTATATGTAGTAACTCATTTAATCTTCACAAACCCATTGTTACTACTGCTGCCCATGTTTTACTAGAGATAAAATTAAGACACATTCTGGGTAAGTAACCCATATAAGGTCACACAGTAAGTGACAGAGGCAGGATTTGAGCCCAGGTTATTAACCTGAGTTCTGAGTGGCACTGAATGGGAGGGATTCTGTTCACTGCATCCAAATCCTACTTCAATCAGAAATGGGTACACTACTGGATTTCACTCTAGTGATTGAAGACAACTGTAGTTCAAACAATGTTTGAAAACCTCTGGCCTGTTGGAAAGAACAAAGGGCTGGTCATCAGGACTGAATTTTGATCTTCATTTTACCTCTGGTTATACCTGTGTCCTTAGGAAAGTCATTTCTGGGCCAACGTTCCTCATTTTCTGAGGGTGTGATAGTTGAACTCTATATATCAAGGTTCCTTTTTTCCTTTTGTGGTACTGGAGATCTACCTCACGCAGGCTAGGTGTGTGCTCCACCATGAGATAAGTCCCTAGACCTTCAGCAAGGTTTCTACCATTCCCCTCTAGATCTAATCATCCATTTACAACAAATACAGGAATCAGCAGAACAATTAAACAATGCTGTTAAGATGCAATCAGCAAACTCTAGATTGGCAGAACTTTACAACATAAAGGATCTGATTTTGTCAACAAATTATGAGGTTAACCTACAGATTAAGAGAGATTCAAGAAGCATATTAACAATTGCAATGTGTGGAACTTATTTGGACCTGATTCAAATAAGAATAGTGTTAAAAAAATGAGCCAACTGAATAAATTTGAATGACTGGATATTTGATATTAAGTGCTTAAATTTAAGTGATAAGGTATTGTTATTTTAAGTCCTTATCTTTATGAGATACATACTAAAATAACCTTTATATAATATTTGCTTCAAAATAAACCTGGGATAGAATAGATAAGGTTATTAGTGGAATAGGCTTATTGATAAATTGACAGCTATTGAAAGTGAATGGTAAGGTCAGGGAAGTTCATTATATAATATTACTCTCCATAGGGTAAATGCTTTAGGACATTGGAAAGGATGACGATTTTTTTTTTTTTTTTGGTACAAGACCTAAAAAGCATAGGAAACAAAAGCAAAAATAAACAAATGGGATTGAAACAAAATAAAAATACTTCTGCACAGCAAAGGAAATAACACAGTGCAGAGACATCCCATGAAATGGGAGAAAATATTTACAAATTATACATGTGACAAGGGATTTATATTCAGAAAATATAAGAAACTCCAAAAACTCAATAGCAAAGATAGAACAAAACAACCCAAGTAACCTGATTTAGCAACAGATCTAAACAGAGATTTCTCAAAAGAAGACATACAAGTCAACAGGTATATGAAAAATGCTCAACATCACCAGCCATCAGGGAAATGCAAATCAAAACTATAAAGATACCACCTCACTCCAGCGAGAATGGCTGCCATCAAAATAAATAAATAAATAAATAACAAGTGCTGGTGAGGATGTGGAGAAAAGTGAATCCTTGCACATGTTTGGTAGGAAAGCATATTAGTAGAGCTATTATGAAAAACAAAATGAAGTTTCTTCAAAAAAATAAAAATAGAACCACTAAATGATCCAGTAATCCCACTCCTGGGTATATATCCAAAGGAAATAAAATTGGTATGTTGAAGAGATAGCTGCACTACCATGTTTACTGCACCACTATTCACAATTGCCAAGATTTGGAATCAATGTAAATGTCCATCAAGGGATGAATGGATAAAGAGAATGTGCTACATATACATGATTTAATATTCATCCATAAAAAGAATAAAATTCTGTCATTTGTGATAACATAGATGAAAGTGGATGTGATTATAAGCCAGGCACAGAAAGGCAAGCACCATATGATCTCACTAATATGTGGAAAAAAGTTGATCTCATAGAAGTTGAGAGTTAAATGATGCTTACCAGAGGCTAGAGAGAAGAGGGGGAAGGGAAGGATATAGAAAGGTGGTTAATCAATGCCTAAGTTATAATGTAATAACAGTAAGAATCTCTGGTGTGTTATTACATAGTAGGGTCACTATAGATAACACCTATGCATTGTATATGTCAAAAAACACTAGAAGAAAGAATATTGCATGTTTTTACCATGAAAAAAATGATAGGTAATTGAGGAGACAGATATCTTTAGCCTGATTTAAACATTATATAGTATATGCATGTGAGAAATAGCAATTAGTATGTACGATTTTTATGTCTGATGTATAAAACAGAGTTCTGCATACTTTTGTATATATTTGAATTGTTCCTTAATACTTTTAAAATTATAAATCATGTAATTCTAACAATTAATAAATTATAAATTTTATGAGTCATAATGTTTAAAGAAATATCTTAAATCTGCATTTTCATTTCATACAAATAAACCACCTAAGTCTCTCTACTGCACTTGGTATCCATTATTTAGCAATGTTTATAATCTGCTGTAAATTAACATCTTTATCTTAAGCTGTAGGCTTAATTCCTAAAAATCCAATTAAATCACAGGTTAAACAACTGGGGCAAGCGCCAAGCTCCCCATTCATACAGAAAAGCATCCATTTCCAACCGACACAGAAAGAATATAAGGGCTTCATGAGTTAACTATTTCTTTCCACAAAACAGTTTTAAAATGTAGCTAATGAAGAGTGGCAGTTAACATTTTATATGCAGTTTATAAGAGAAAGGGTAATATAACCTCAGGTCAATCTATTAAATGTAGGAATTGGTATTCTGAACTACCAAAAATCTTTGTGTGCTTTTCTTTGGGCAGGTAAAAATTAAAATATTGTGTCTTTCTATAAGGCTCTGGGGATGCTATGACAATATAGGCTCAAACAACAGGAATTAGTGATTCCAGATTAAAAGTATGCTTCACATGCACTCAAGCATAGGACCTACACATAGGAAATATGTTGTTTTCCTGTTGAACAATCTAGTTTCATCACTAGAATTCAAAACAGAACCACGTAATCAAACCACATGAACAGTTCTGTCTATCCAACCTGCAAATTGAATGAAACCCATAACTTAGAAAGTCTGAGGGGGTTTTAGCTATATCTTCAACTTACATATACAATCGCGGGTCTGCGGTCAGAGTGTCAATGTTGATGTGCTGTTCCAGGAGACTGTAGGCCAGAATAGGCAGGGATGTGAAGCAGATATTGTACATTGTAAGATAAGTAGCATCATACAGTGGCTGAAATGACAAATATTACAGAAAAGAAACATACTATAACAATTATCTATAAGATCATACTTATTACTTTGGAAAAATCACTAACTAAAAACAAGACAGTTTCCTTTCATGATTTTTGGGACAGCAAAGGAAACTGTGGAAATAAGGTCCTTAACTGGTAATTGTAAAAAATAAACTAATACTTTGTGATTTGTTGTATTAATATGATATCTTCCCCTCATTAGGATCTGATTCAGAATGTTTATATGTTATAAGCTCTATTTCTACTAGACATTAATAATTTTTCACTTGCTAAAATTACAGGTATTCAGTAGCTATTTCAGCAAAGACTAAATAAGTCCTTAGAGAAACTAAATACAGGTAGTAGCACTAGCCTGTGTCACAGGTTTTTTTTTTGTTGTTGTTAATATTTTATAAGGTTGAATCCGACAATAAACCATTTCTAACACCCTCTTCCTGAGAAGCCCTATAGTTCCTCTGGTGTGTGTTCTTCCTCCCTGCACTGAGTAATAAAACCTAATTTGATCAATTACAAATATGCTCCTGGTGGTCTTTGGCTGTGTGCTTTGACAATCTTCAGCTCCCAAAACAAAACTTGGCATATAGGAAGCATTCAATAAATATTGGACGAGTGAAGGGGTACAAACTGAGAGCTATGACACATTTGTAAAGAACTGATCTGATATTATAAATCTTCTTTTTTTGAAAAAAGTAAGGTATTTTATGAACATTCTTATGAAAGTATTTATTGAGTTCCATATCTACAGTGCTAGATATTGCCATATAACTATTTTCTGTGGCCTAAATAAAAAGCAACCCATCTCATATGTATTTTTCACACATATAAATGTAGTTTGATTAATAAAATGCATTTAAACATGACACCAATGAATACAATTATGTATTTTTTAATATTTATTTTTAGTTATAGTTGGACACAATATCTTTATTTCACTTATTTATTTTTATGTGATGCTGAGGATTGAACCCAGAGCCTCGTGCATGCAAAGTGAACGCTCTACCGCTGAGCCACAACCCCAGCCCAACAATTATGTATTTTAATTAATAAAGATACGATTACTATTAAAACGGAGATTGACTCAAAAAGGTTGACAACAACTCGAATAGAGCTTTAGTTTATTCATGAGATGACTTCAGAACACTTATTGAATGCCTACTAAGTACCAAATACCAGGACAGAGATGATCCATCCCTATCCACCAAAGAGTTCAAGAGAGGGGGATGCACAAGTAGCTACCAAACCCAAAGGAGCCCTGGCCTGCAACTGAGAAAAACCAAGAGATAATCTGTACAACATTCTCAATGAAATTTTTAAAAAATGGCTCCATATAGACCATATGTATGTAGACCAGGTACTATGTAGACCAGGTACTTCTCTGTTGAGAGCCACAGCCTGAGGGGCCCCAGCAAACTTCCAGCTGCCAGCAAACTTCCAGCTGCCGGCTGATGATTGGCTCACAGCAGCCCCAGCAACATCTAGCTGATTGGCTCCTCGGCCCCAGCAACATCTAGCTGATTGGCTCCTCTGCGGTGATGCTCATTGGACTGTTTCCCTGCCCTTTCAGACCACGGAGCTGCTCATTGGGGGACTTTTTTGGCTCCGCCCACGTGACCCAGCCAATCGGCCTCAAGAGCAGGAGGATTGTGGGAGGGAGAGAGAAGCTTGTGTGGGAGAGAGAGGCTTGTGGAAAGCCGGTGGTGGCAGTTGAGGCTCTGAGGGTTTTTCCTGAGAGACTATTTTGTTTGTCGTGTGTGGTTCTAAAAATAAAGTTAGTTTCTTTTGACAAGTGGCTCCTGATTGTGCCCAGCCAGACTGCGGCATTTGGTGGCTCGCACGGGGAGCGACTGAGGGTAAGTGAACTGCTCGCCCCTGAGGGCAGGGCGAGAGGATGGGTAGCCATTTTAAGATTCTTCTTTTGTTATTTTGTTTCACTTTTGTTTTAAGTTGCCTGTCCCTGGAGATGTGTAAGATGGAAGAAAAACCGCTCACATCTGAGGAACAGATAGGGAGAAAGGACGGATGGACATTTCAGGAGGCTATTATAATGATTTTGTGTTGTTCCAATTTTGTTTCACTCAGTTTCAGTTTTGTTAGGCGTTATCTTGTTGGGTTGTATTATAGTAGAAATACGGGATCAGAAATTAGTAAAAAACAAACTGAAAGAGTGTTAAGTAAATTGTTAGAGGAAGGAGGCATCTCAGTAAAATCAAGAACAATCAGGGCATACGTTGATACAATACAAAAATGTAGCCCATGGCTTTTTAAGGAGGAGTTGTTAAATATATCACAATGGAACCATCATGGTGAAGATTTAAAAAGAATAGAAAAGAAAAGCCCAGGGACTCTGCCAGTTGGCACAATTGTGTGACCTTTTTACCACAAGTTAATCTTGGAGTCAAGAGGATTGATACCTAACCATATTTGGCAGATGGACGTCACACACTTGCCAGAATTTGGAAAATTAAAATATTTGCATGTTACAGTTGATACTTCTTCTGGATTTTTGATGGGCTCCCTTCATGCCGGAGAAAAAACTAAAGATGTTATAGCTCATTGCTTACAAAATTTTGCCACTGTGGGTGTTCCAAAACAGTTAAAAACAGATAATGCCCCTGGTTATACTTCTACCTCTTTTAAACAATTTTGCTCAACATTTGGCATTACTCATATAACAGGAATCCCATACAATCCACAGGGACAAGGCATAGTTGAAAGAGCTCATCAAACTATTAAAATGTACTTATTAAAGCAAAAAGAAGGAATTGGGAAGGGGTATATATTCCCCAAAGATAAACTTAAAATAACCCTTTTTACTCTAAACTTTTTTAAATTTGGATTCATCAGGACTTAGTGCTGCGGAAAGGCATATGTGTCCAAAAAATGTACATAAGCCCAAGGTACTTTGGAAGGATATTCTAACAGGACAATGGAAAGGTCCTGACCCAGTAATTGTCTGGAGTCGGGCGTCTGTTTATGTGTTTCCACAGGGAGAACAGCAGCCGATTTGGATTCCAGAAAGATTAACTAAAGCGATTTCTACAGACCAAAAAGAAGATGATTTGGCTCAAATCCATAACAACTGATATCCAAAACTCCAGTTTGGCTATTCTTACATCTGCAACAGAACCAGGATGCTTTTTTCAATATCTATTTTATTATTGCCCTTTGCCATATCATGAAGTTCTATTTTGTTTTTTGAGCTCATACAGACCTAGGTTAATGTTTTGCTGATCAGTTCTATTTTTTGACTATAGAGTTTTTAAACATTGCAATGGAGATTTCACCTGTAAAAAGTTATAAGGCCTTTACTATAATGTTATGTGTTGTATGTATTATATTATGTGTGCACACTTGTGTTTTGTGTTATATGTTTGAATGTACGTATGTCCATATATCATATATGATGAGCGCTCATGATAAAATGGATCCAAATATTTTTTTTTCACGTGATTTATATGGTTTAATTTAAATTGGGTAAACAACTGTTGAGGATTGTTTTAATATGTAAACAAAAAAGAAGGTTAACAGATCTGTTTGTTTACTTTCACCTTTCCTTTTCATTATATTTAATAATTCTCTTAAAGACAATGTAAATTGTTAAGAAAATTGTTTTCTTTTAGTGCCTTCTGTAATGTTACATAATTTTTTCTTTAGCCATTATTGCCAGAATTCCTATCTTCATCCCAGTGCCGGTGAAGACAATGTAAATTGTTAAGAAAATTGTTTTCTTTTAGTGCCTTCTGTAGTGTTACATAATTTTTTCTTTAGCCATTATTGCCAGAATTCCTATCTTCATCCCAGTGCCGGTGAAGACAATGTAAATTGTTAAGAAAATTGTTTTCTTTTAGTGCCTTCTGGAATGTTACATAATTTTTTCTTTAGCCATTATTGCCAGAATTCCTATTTTCATCCCAGTGCTGGTGAAGTCAAAGATAAAACCAATCTACAGCTTCTACAATAGCCATCACTGAACTGCTTGCAGAACTTGCCTGGACACATTGTGAGCTCACCTGTATGCATTGTGAACTATCTGTTGGTGCAGCGACTTATGGTAGTGTTGGGGTATTTTTGCTGATGATGTCACCGGTGGTACAATTTTTCAAAGGAGCCCTCAATTGGCTTAATGTCATGGCATTTTGCATCCTCCTCTACTAGTGATGGTCTAAAATTTGGGGGCCAACAGAGGTGAGGCAAAGAACCTCACCCCCCCACAGGTGCAAAGGCCTATCCACAAGTATGGCTGTATGCTGGACCGGTAGTCAGTGACGGGTATGATCCAATTGCAGTGGTACCAACCTAAGACAGGAGGCTGACGCCTAGAGGTCAGTTCATCCGATGACGGGTAAGGACCATATGTTGAATTGGACTGCCTAACAGGCACGGTCCCTAAGCCACATGCTTGTTGTTTAAACAGAGAGGGGGAGATGTTGAGAGCCACAGCCTGAGGGGCCCCAGCAAACTTCCAGCTGCCAGCAAACTTCCAGCTGCCGGCTGATGATTGGCTCACAGCAGCCCCAGCAACATCTAGCTGATTGGCTCCTCGGCCCCAGCAACATCTAGCTGATTGGCTCCTCTGCGGTGATGCTCATTGGACTGTTTCCCTGCCCTTTCAGACCACGGAGCTGCTCATTGGGGGACTTTTTTGGCTCCGCCCACGTGACCCAGCCAATCGGCCTCAAGAGCAGGAGGATTGTGGGAGGTGGAGAGAAGCTTGTGTGGGAGAGAGAGGCTTGTGGAAAGCCGGTGGTGGCAGTTGAGGCTCTGAGGGTTTTTCCTGAGAGACTATTTTGTTTGTCGTGTGTGGTTCTAAAAATAAAGTTAGTTTCTTTTGACAAGTGGCTCCTGATTGTGCCCAGCCAGACTGCGGCACTTCTCAGATTCCATAAACAAAGACTGAAGCTCAGCAAAAATATTCCAGTGGATTAAAAAGTACATAAAAGGTGTTACATTCCTATTAATTATCAAGTGTGAGGACTAGTCTGGAGCACCAACACTATATTTGTTTTGGAAACTACCCATTTTCACTAATGAGTAAATGAAAACAACAACAATTCAGATTGACTGGTGTGTAATTTAGTCTTACATTTCATTCAAACAAAAGAAGCATCAATCTACTTTTGTTTTATTATGGTGCTTTAAGGTAACATGAGAGATAATTGCAATTCTTAGATGCAGTAATTAGAGGAGATAGAATGTCCCCCAAACAAACAGGTTTAGTTGATAATACTGTTTCTTGTTAAACCTGTTAGAAATGTTTCCTTTTCATGGAAGAAAAAAAAAAAAAGACAAGTACTATCTTAGTTTTTCTAAAGAAAGAGAGGCTTTTGCTTAAAGAACATGAACCCTGGACACATTTCTGCATTCTTCATAGCCTGCTCTCCAAGTTTCAGAGAACATTTCATGTGGCTCTGGATTGAAAAAAGCTGACCACCCATGTGTCCAAAAGATACTTTGTAAGTGTCCAAAGATACTTACAATAAAGGCTGCTATTTTCAGCACTAGCACAAGGCCAAAATCAAAAATAATGATTTCACACTTCATGTCACCTCCTCAGACCTTCCTTTTACCTGTACACTTTTCCTCAAAGACATCTGCACAGTTCCTCCCCTCAGCTGCTCGGATCTCTACCCAAATGCTACCTCCTTATAGACAACTTTCCAGATGATCTTCTATAAAGCAGCAGTCCTTTCCCCTAGTTGCACACTATCTCTTTATTATGCTTTCTATCAGCACTTATCAATATTCCACATCATATATTTGATTGTTACATCTTTCCTCCATTACTACACTGCAATTTCCAGGAAGATAAGGGAGTTTTGTCTAATCACTGCTATATCCTCAGCACTTAGCCTAGCACAAAGCAGGGATTCAAGAAATATTTGTCAAATAAATGAACCCACAAGCTCAGTGAATGAGGAGGGAGCTAAATATAAACTCCTGTGGAAATCTAAGCTATTAGGTAATCTAAGCAGACCAAAGACAATCCAGGGTCTGAATTTCAGTTGACTTTAATTAACAGTCCTTTCTTTCTTCATACAACTTGTACTTGGTAAGCATGTTTTAAAAAGGTAATAAAACAAGACCCCTTTCAAAATAAAAACAAACAAAAAAACCACAAGATCAAACAAATTTTAAGTCTGCTAAAAGTAGTTAAGAAAGGAAATTTGAAATATTTTTTTAATACCTGTACCCATCTAAGGAAGTGAGCAGCAATTAGCAGTATTTTGATTAATAGAAATATGAACATTCAAGAAAAGCAAATTAAAGAATTTGTAAAACTATTTTAACTAATTATATTAGTTTTTAATATAAGAAGGCTTACAGCACTTCCTACAACTGAAAGATGCTTAGTTTATAACATGATCTACTTTATTGGTACTACCATGCTAATGACATGGCACTGATGTCACAGACAGCATACCAGGAATGCATTCTCTTAAAAATACTGCCAATGAATAAGAAAAACATTACTTTTACTGTGAGCAACCAAAAAAAAAAAAAAAAAAAGAAAGAAAGAAAAAGAAAGGAAGCTTGCTTTTGAAATTTAGAAACTCAGTCTTTAATACCCATGAAAAAGTGGTAACCAGCATGGAAAAATCATTGAAGTGCACAAAATCCCTGTATTTGGCTATACTGCCACTGGAAGCAATGTAAAATCCATTTCAGTTATTAAAACAAAGGTGCCTTTCCACCCCACCACTTGTGTCCAAGTAATATGTAGCATGTATTTTTATGTAATAACTGTTCAGAAAACAAGAAGGAAAAACAAGGAAAAACATTTACAGTTGATTTCAGTAATTTAAGGCTTTATATAAGAATCACAGCTTTCAGACCAGCTTCAAAATCAATGTTCTTCTATTAAATAAAACCAACCTGAGAAACTGCAAAGGTGTAAGGTTTTATATGATGAAAGCCTATAACATTTCAGAACCACTGGAACACATTTTATACATTGATACAAAGGAAAAAAATACTTTTTTTTTTACAAAAGCAATATAGTTATTCCAATAAATCAAGATGCTCTTTTAAAATGCTTTTTTCAACTCTGACAGGATGTATCAAATATCTTTTATAAAAAATTCTGCAATGACGCAGCCACATCAGTATTTATTAGCAGCTCAATTCACAATAGCTAAACTATGGAAGCAACCAAGGTGCCCTTCAACAGATGAATAGATAAAGAAACTGTGGTATATATACACAATGGAATATTACTCAGCCATAAAAAAGAATGAGATTATGGCATTTGCCAATAAATGTATAGAACTGGAGAATATCATGCTAAGTGAAATAAGACAGTCCCCCAAAACCAAAGGTCAGATGATATGCAGATGCTAACTCACAATAAGCAGGGGTGGATAAGGGAAGAATAGAAGTACTCTGGATTAGACAAATGGGAATGAAAGAAAGGGAGGGGTAATACAAATAGGAAAGATAATAGAATGAATTGCACATTATTATCCTATGTGCATATATTATTACATGACCAATGTAATTCTACACCATGTACAGCCAGAAGAATGAGATGTTATACTCCATATATGTATAATGTCAAAATATATTCCACTATCATGTATAACTAATAAGAACAGATAAAAAGAAAAACCCAAATGTCATAGAACAGGTGAAATGAAATGCGGTATGTCAATCCAGTAGAGTACTTCTCAGCAACAATTCACACAATAACATGAAAGAGTATAAATACAGGTTGAGCAAAAGAAGTCAGACACTGAAGATTGTAAGAATCCATTATGGGGCTGGGGTTTTAACTCAGTGGTAGAGCACTTGCCTAGCACACGTGAGGCACTGAGTTGAAACCTCGGCACCACATAAAAATAAACATTCTGTCCATCCATAACTAAAAAAAATATTTTTTTTAAAAAGAATCCATTCATATGAAATTCTAGAATATAGGTCTATAGTGAAAGAATGTAAATCCAAGGTATTTGGGTAGGAGGACTAGAGAGAGGAATAGGGAAACCTTTTCGTGGTATATACATCAATACATTCTCAACAATCAAGGAAAAATGCACTGAAGTGGGAATATTTTATAGTTGTACCCATAATAAATAACCTCCAATAACACTGATTTAAATACTTAAAAAAGAAAGAAAAAAAGAAAGAAAGTTAGCAAAATGATTTGTTAGTATAAAACCAGGTCAAGGGGATCAACTTTTGAATCCAAAAAGAAATCTTTTTACTTTGGACACACCTCTCTAATGCTTCTAATCTAATACCTAAAAGGTAACATACTAACAGCAAATGTAAACTATATTATAATAAACAACACAAGACACAAACCTGTTGTGAGAATCCACAGAAGAACTGGTACAAAAACTGTGGCAAAATGAAACAAAGGTTCTGGAAAAAAAATTAAAACAAGGGTTAATATTATCATTTGACCAACTTTCTATACGAAAGCAGGAAACTGCACCCCAATGGTTTATAGTTATTCTCAAATCCTTCTAATGTCAAATGAATGAACCTACAAGCTCAGTGAATGAGGAGGGAGCTAAATATCAACTCCTGTGGAAATCTAAGCTATTAGGTAATCTAAGTAGACCAAAGACAATTCACTGATGTGGCTGCGTCATTGTAGTATTTTTTATAAAAGATATTTGGTACATCCTGTCAGAGTTGAAAAAAGCATTTTAAAAGAGCATTTTGATTTATTGGAATAAACACAACTACTACTATACTGCTCTAGCAAAAAAAAGTATTTTGATTTTTTTTTCCTTTGTATCAATGTATAAAATGTGTTCCAGTGGTTCTGAAATGTTACAGGCTTTCATCATATAAAACCTTACACCTTTGCAGTTTGTCAGTGATGTAAAGAAACTAAAAACTTTTTTTGTGTCGTACTGGGGATTGAACCCAGGGCCTTGTACATGGGAGGTAAGTACTCTACCACTGAGCTAAACCCCCAGCCCTAGGAAACCAAAACAAAAGATGAAGTCAGATTAAGACAAACGTCTGTCCCCCATCAAACTTACTTTATGAGAATCTCTTCCTAGTCTCCTTCCAAGGAAGAAATGAGCTCATCCAGTATGAACACTTAATGATACTATACCCAAATACCAATTTAAGAATCACCGCAGACTTATATAATAATACATGTATATTTTAAAGTTAATACCAATAAATAGTTAAGAAATTGTTGTAGATTATACTGACACTAACAGTTATCAACTAATGCTTTACCCTGCCTCTATTACTCCCTCATCAATTGACATAGGGTTGTTGAGAACCTACTAAATGCTTCTTGGGCTTGGGTTGTGGCTCAGTGGCAGAGCGCTTACTTAGTATGTGTGAGGCACTGGGTTTGATTCTCAGCACCACATATAAATAAATAGAATAAAGGTCCATCAACAACTAAAAAAAAATATTTTTAAAAAAGTAAACTTTTCTCTCCTAAGGGACTTATCATTTAACTGGAAGAATTAAAACATACAGATGCACACTGGGAATTTATAAGGCAGTTAAAAGGTACCAAGTATGACTATAAAACACTGGAATTAATGTCTTTGGTCAAAAGCTCCAGACTTTTGACCCAAAAGACTGCTATCTTTCAAAGTAGGCAGTAAACTTATTTATGTGCTACTGTCACTAGTTCACCACATCTCTGAACTTCTTCTTTGGGAAGCACTTTTAAGAGCCTTTTTTGTGGGGAATACTGGGGATTGAAGTCAGGGGCAAAGGCAATTGACCACTGAGCCACATCCCTAGCCCTATTTTGTATTTTATTTAGACACAGGATCTCACTGAGTTGCTTAGTACCTTGCTTTTGCTGAGGCTAGTTTTGAACTTGAGATCCTCCTGCCTCAGCTTCCCAAGCCTCTGGGATTACAGGCGTGCACCACTGCGCCTGGCTTAAGAGCCATTTTTGAACCATGTCAGAAAATCAGTGTCATTTCTTCTGGTACATATTATCAGTAGTTAATTCACCAGATTAGCTCTGGGAGACTTGAGGCTGTTCTGAAAGATGAAATGTATCCTCAATGAATAAGCTTCTGCCACAATGAGGTGATTTAGATAAATATACTACAGGTTCTAGAGGATATACCTAAAGAAACATGATCTACATGTTTTGGATCATCCCTGCAGCATGAGAATAAATGTCATAGCCCACAATGTCATCATCTGGAAAAGCAATACTCATTAGTATGTATCAGTTCTAACACAATGCAAAATACTGCCAGCAGCATTTCCAGAGTCATACTTTACAAAAATTTAAAGTTATCTGAGTTTGGATGAATTAAAGTTGAGTGGGGATCAGCAGAGTGTGGGGGGGGGGTCTTCATGAGGAGGACTCTGCCTCCCCCACCAGAATGTAAACTCCATGAGAATAGGGACATTGCCTGTCTTACTCCATGGTGAATTCCCAGGGCCTAAAACAGTGTTTGGCACATAGAAATACATTCAAAATATATTTGTTGATGGATAGAATAAAGAAGGTAGAATTTGAACTAGGTCTTAAAGATAAATAAGATATGTAGAGGGCTGGGGTTATAGTTCAGCGGTAGAGCACTCGCTTAGCACATGCAAGGCCCTGGGTTCAATCCTCAGCACTAGCACCACGTAAAAATAAATAAAATAAAGGTACTGTGTCCAACTACAACTAAAAAATAAATATTTAAAAAGATACATAGATGGCAAGAAACGGCAAGACAGTATGTATTTTAAGTATAAATGGTAAGAAAGGGTCAGATGGGGGAGTGCCTTAAAAGACAGACTAACACAAAACAAAAGTAAAGTTTCTGAGGGACAAGATGAAGAGTAGAATTTTCTAAACTTTGGTTGGATTATGTGAGAATTTAATGGGAAAACAGAAGGCAGGAAGGCCTATTATTGAAGTACTCTAGGATACATCAGGACAATTTGAAGATGTAATAAGAAAAGAGGAAGTAAATATCTGACTTTACCAAAGAGGGTTGAAAATATTAGAAACCCCTTGGGATAAAAGACTGCAATATAAAATAAATAGTGCTGTCAGTAACCAAGATGATAATGGACATACAAATACAAATGAAGGCAGAGGGCATTATCTACAAAAATAATCATCAATCCCCTATGTTGGCAACAGGGATGTGTCAATTTCTGATCACTGGCCAACATTTGCCAAGCTAATTCTTGTTTTATTTCCCTTAACAGAGCATTCCTTCCATCTAGTGGCAGTTATTTGAATTGCAAGCCAAAATCCTAGAGGCAAACCAATTTTCTGGAATAGGATCAGATTACTAGGCAGATCTGCATGACAAATTTTAACAGGGCCTCCTACTAGGGGGAGGTTAAGAGAAAATAATGTGAGGCTATTAATTATTGAGTGCAAGGCCCAATACATCCTAACTATGATGTAGAAGGAGTCCTAGACTTAAATAAATCTATAGTAGATATACACTAAGCCCCACTTTCTACATATGCTAAATTATGTTTGAGGCCAGCCTGGGAAACTTGGTCTGATCCATCTTAAAAAAAAAAAAAAAGAAAAGAAAAGAAAGAAGTGAACAACAAATTCCTATTAACAATGAACTTGATTGTAATGGAAATAAACTAACCACACTGTAGTGGTAGAAAAGAGAAAAAAGGGAAGCTTTATTTTTAATTTTTTATGGATGAATTATAATTTTATATAATAGCAGGCTTCATTGTAAAATATTTGCACATGCATATAGCATAACTTGGTTAACTTCATTTCCTAGTTCTTCCCCTTTCTTTCCTCTCCTCCCTTTCTTAATCCCCACCCTCTGCCTACTGGTCTCCCTTCTATTTTCATGAAATCCCTTTCTTTCCTCCTTGTCTTTCTGGCTTCTATATATGAGAGAAAACAAACAACTCTTATGCTAAGTGAAATAAGCCAGACTTTCTGAGTCTGGCTTATTTCACTTAGCATAATGTTCTCCAGTTCTATCCAGTTTTTTTGCAAGTGACATAATTTCATTTTTCTTTTTGCTGAGAAAAACTCCATTGTATATATTTACCACATTTTCTTTATCCATTCATCTGCTGACAAGCACCGGGGCTGATTCCATAACTTGGCTATTGTGAATTGTGCTGCTATGAACACTGTGTGACTGTATCACTATAGTATGCTGATCTTAGTTCTTTTGGATAAATACCAAAGAGTAGAGTAAGTGGGTCTTATACTGGGTCCATTCTCAGTCTATTGAGGAATCTCCATACAGATTTTCAAGGTGGTTGTACTAATTTACAATCCCACTAACAATGTGTAAATGTTCAAAAAAGAAACTACTTTCTAAATAGTATTTTGATATACATATTTTAAGGCTAAAAAGAAATGCACCAACATGTATGACAACATGGAGAACCCAGAGGACATTATGTCAAGTGAAAAAAAATCAGATACAGGTAAAAAAAATACTGCATGATCTCACTTATATGTAGAACCTAAAAATGCAGAGAGTAGAATGGTGGTTCCTAGGGGATGGGGGTCAGGTGGGCTGGGGAGATGCTGTTTAAAAGGTGAGAAACTGCTGGGTGTGGTGCACATGCCTATAATTCCAGCAACTCAGGAGGCTGAGACAGGAGGATTGCAAGTTTGAGGCCAGCTGCAGAAAATTAGTGACATCTTGTCTCAAAATAAAAAGCAAAAAAAGGATGGAGGTAGGGGAGGAGAAGAGTGGTGGGGAGAGGGAGAATATCTAGAATGAACTCTGTGGTTCTGGTATCAAAGGTATTAGTATGAACTGAATTCATACACTGATTCATATTGGTACTTTTGATTCTGGTCCAACATATATGCATATGTACACACACACACACACACACACACACACACACACACACACACACATATATATATATATATATATATATATATATATATACAGATATAAATAGTTTTTTTGTCTCTATGTATTTCCTAGTTCTGTTCACTGAGAAGGCATAAAACCAAGGTTTAGCTCAGTAGTAATGAATATAACCAGCACTGAAATTTAACTTTCTAAATACTATTTGCAAATAAAAGAAATCAGTGTTCCCTGAAGAAAAGTCTGAATCCAGGGCTGGGGCAGGAAAAATACAAGATGAACCTGGAATAGTATGTAGAACTAGAAAACAAAGACATCTTCAAAAAATTATGAGGCTATGCTGGAAGGACCACACTGCTCCCAATGGTCAAATATGAGTCAATTTGAGTAACAAAACAAATGATGAGAATGAAATTTAATTCATAGAATAAAATAGTTGATTTAGTAGCAGAATCATATTTTCAAATGACATTTTACAAAGCAAGGTTGAGGGATCTTGAAACCTTCCAAAACTTTATTTGAATCAAGTTATCAAACTTAACATCAACAGTAAGGAGACATATTGACAACATGTGTCTCGTAATAAAATGTAATAACAAGGTCATAATATGACTTTTGTAGTGTTTTTTAAAAATTTTTTCTTTAGCTGTCAATGGACTTTATTTATATATGGTGCTGAGAATTAAACCCAATGCCTCACACATGCTAGGCAAGCGCTCTACCACTGAGCCACAACCCCAGCCCAACTTCTGTAGAGGTTATACCAAAAATGTATAACCTGAATTTAATAATAAGCAGATGTTAAACTAGTCCAAGTAGAGAGACAGCCTACAAACTAAATTAAATGGCTGGTACTTTTCAAAAATGTTAAAATCATAAAGACAAAGACAGGAACTGCTCTAAATTACAGAAGCTTAAGGAGACATAATAGCTTAAATGAAAGGGTGATCCTAAAAAGAAATAGATTACAAAAAGGACATTAATGGAAACTGATTACAGTATATAGACTTGCTAATAATTATGTGCTAATTAAATCAAATTGTTGATTTTGATAACTGTTGTGGGTTTGTCTAAGGCAATAACAGTTGACAAAGCTGGGCAGAATACGTGAGTATCTTGTTTTGCAACTTTTTTAAGAGTCGAAAATTATTTTAAAAAAAAGGTAAAAAAAATTAAAATCCTATTGCATAGAATACAGAACAGGACATCAAATTCTGGTCCATATAAATGACAATTATTTGCTTACTTTAACTGTTTCATCTTCATGCATGCCAAGTTCGTTATGCATAAAATAAGTGACTTAAACTAAATTCATTGATTCTATATTCTGAGGAACCTTTAGGACAGGACAGGGGAGCTGAATAAGGAATTGTCCTGGCCCTACCTCCTTCATTCAATGTAGTCCTGCTTCAGTCTGCTTTATGTGTGTAATTTCACATGAGGATTCTGCTATTAAAAAGTGTAGTTTGAAATACTACTTAGCATAAAAGGGAACTAACTATTAATACATGAAGCTCAAAAACATACTAAGTAAAACAGGCCAGACACAAAAATATACAAATATTCCATTTATATCAAGCCCCAGAGGCAAAACTAGTGTGCATAATATTATTAATATTATTAGATATCATATTTTACATCTATATCTACAGGTTCTATATCATACATATTAATATGTATGGTATAATAATATAAGTCAGTTTACTTGTTGGGGGAGGGATAGAGGACACTGAGAGAGAGCACATGAGAACTTTTGGGGGAAATGGGAATGTCTATTTTTTTATTGGGGTAATAGTTGCATGGATGTATACATTTGTCAAAACTATATACATTTAATAGGTAAACTTTATTATACTTAATTTGCCAATAAAAATAATTTAAAAAATTAATTTCAAATCTCTTATATCTAATGGAATATCTTGTTTTGGATTCATTAAATAGACAACCTTTGCTTCACTGTGTACAAATTTTAGTATCAGAAAAGCAAAAGAAACATAAAAATGGGGGAACAAAACCGTGACTAAGCTAAGCCCATGCTAGATTAAACAATTATTAAATTACAAATACTTTATCACATACCTTATAGAAGAAATACTGTACAAGATGTGCTATTCTCACATAGTATAGATGTCCGTGAGCCAATAATAGTTTCTTTAAATGTTTAAACTTGGGTACAGAATAATCACTGTTCCGGGCTGCTTGGCGGCCTTCTTTGCCTTTAATACCTAAAAAGAGAATATATAGTGTGAGTATTTCAAAGAATAAGCAATCCTGTGATCTATTTTCACATTTTCTAATTGTTGAAATGTTATAGATCAATTGTATAGTTTATCTTTTCTTTTTTAACTAAAAAGGGCTTTCTTTAACTGTGATACTGAGAGTTACCAAATAAAATTATCACTAAATTTAATTGGAAACTATCAATTTGTAATACAGCATGAAACAAAAACAATCGTTATTTCAATTTTTGCAAGGCCAAAAATTATCTGAAAGAAAAAAGTCCACCTGAAAATTATTTTTAAGTCACTCAGTAAGTGCTTGATTGTTCATGACATTAAACTAGGTGCTATATATTAAGGCAACTCAAAGACCTGGATTTTGTAGTGTGGTTTAGATGCTCAATTACAAGATAAAATTCTTCATGAAATACTGACAAGCTACCGAAGAAGTCTATAAAACCTCAAGAAATTTTAGATAGGCTGGGGATATAGCGCACTTGGTAGAGTGCTTGCCTTGCATGCACAAGGCCCTGGGTTTAATCCCCAGCATCACCAAAAAAAAAAGTGGACACAACATCTTTATTTTATTTTTTATTTTTATGTGGGGCTGAGGATCAAACCCAGCGCCCCGCACATGCCAGGCGAGCGCGCTACTGCTTGAGCCACATCCCCAGCCCCTTTAGACAATTTCTATATTGGATAATCAATGAACAGAACTTAAGAGTTCCATATTAAGCATGTCTACTTCCAAATGGGAAGAAGAATTTGGGAAACTAAACTGCGGTACAGCAATTCCAAAGATACTAATTACACATGTACCTCAAACCTTTTGCCAAAAAATAAAAAAGGTCAGGGTGTTAGGTGCATTGCCTAAGAGCAACCTGACAAGGAAAAAAATGGTACAGGTAGGTAGAAAAGCTGTTGTTACATGTCGACATATAAATTCAACACTATTCAACACTATAACCCAAACCACCCATAAATACTACTATACAAAATATGAGCCAAACAATGATAATTTCTTAGCCTCCAAAAGTCAATAATCTCAGAAGATATAGTGCAGCAACATAAACAGGCAGTCTTGTCAGGGGCAGGAAATCAATAAAATTTCATGCATGCTGTCAAAATGAGAGCTAAACAATCTATTGTATTGCCAGTAGGTTTGGGAAATTCAATTTACTTGGCTAATACAAAAATATCCTATAACTTTGTTTTGCCACCTTCCCACAAGAGGTGGGACCTTGATCAGATGAGGCCCTTCATTCTATTAATGATCATCATTCTCAAATTCAAGATGAATAACTAAAACAATCTTTCTAGAATGTAAGAAAATTGTACCTAAAAGCAATACTGATACCATCTCATTAGATGTTTCTTACCTATTCCCACATGGGATTCCAAGATCATGCTAACATCATTGGCACCATCACCAATTGACAGTGTTATTGGGCTGCCTTTTAAATTCTTCACCATTCTGACAATCTAAACAATTTCAAAAGAGACATAGAAAAGATCAAAGCAGAATGTTAGAATGGAATATATTAGGGGTTTTATGCTTAATTCACACTTGCAAATGGAGGCTTTGCTAACAGAAAGGTAGTGTGTGTATGTGTGTGTGTGTGTGCAGGTGCGCACGCCTGCACACGCGCACACACATACATATGCAAACACACACATTTTGAATTCCCACATGCAGAATATAGTGATTCAAAACGTAACACTGGCACCCACCTGATTTTTGGTTCTGTGCATACATGGACTCTCAGAAACTTCTGCCTTCTATGCAGATTAGAGGTAAACGTGTTTCCCTCTTTTTACCATTATTCATATGTCTTTTCAGATCATTAGGTCAGAAAGCTAATTTAGAGTAATTTATATAAGGCCAGCAGAACAAAAGTGGAAAGTCGGAGAACAATGTTATGGTTATGTCTTACTCTCTCCTTCCTGGTGACACTCCTATCTCCCCTAGTAGCATCCTAACACTTATTCCCAGGAATTTGTATAAAATTCTTGTACCCATCTAGCTGCCAACTAAACTTCACTAAAATCTTCCACTGGTTTGCCCTCTCCCTATAGGTAGTTACATTTTAAAAGGGGCATCTTAAAGGAGGTGAGATTTGCAGAAAGGTGCCCAAGATATACAGTACAGTCTGTCACTATTCCCTGTGTATATCTTCTAGCTGTGAAAATAATACTGTGTAGCTCAGTGTCGCTTTCATGGATGGTGCTGAATAAAATGTTCATCCCTGGTGTTAAAACACTTCTGTTTTGGGCTGCTCCAAAACCTTCTCCTGCTGTTACTTGTGGAAAGTGTACTGGGTAAGCAGCTGCCCTACCCCTCTAGGTTTTAATCTCTACTCATTAAGTCAATTCACAAAACTCCTTGGAAGTTAGCAGCCTTAAAAATGCTTAAATACTTCAGTAACTAAAAAATGCTTTACAAAAATCCTTTATTCACAATTGTTCTGACTAGCTAACATAAATAAAATCCATTTCAACATAACTGACATGATTATAAATAATTTATATGAGGCTAAGACACCCCACAGTCTTTTAAAGAAGATCCAGTCAGGTTTTAGTAGTATTGAATAGCACAAACTGCCCCACCCATATACTCAACTCCATCTAACACAAAAATTATGTTACCTAAAACGCCAACTTTCTCCTAACCCCTTGCCTCTCTATGGTTCTTCTTAAAAACTTTTTGAAAGACTATTAGAAATAATCTGTAAGTAAAAGTGTCAAGGACAAACTTTTCAAAACCCAAACTAAATTTATTTTTGATGGGCTACAATAATGGTTAACTCATTGTACCTTTTACACTACGCACAGCAATGATTTGCACCTCAGGGATTAAAAACTGCAGCCAGGGAAGGTCTCCAAAAGGGCAATAAAATTATAAAGGATGACAGTCTTTGCATGAGAATATAGATTAGATTAAAAGACTAAAATCTGTCTTCATGGAAAGATAAAAGGATATGTGGTCATGAACTATAAAATCAGGGAGGATTTAGTTAAGTACACATATAGAGTTTTTCACTGATTCCCAGGTCACCCAGATTAAGAGATTCTCTTCAAATCTCTATGATAGCTTTCACAAAAAAATAATTTCACCAAAAATCTATTTATCCATCAACTATAACTGCATGTAATAATACATTTTTCAAAGAAATAAACTATGATCCAAAAAAGATACAAGGCCTGGTCACATACCTTAAGAAGAATTTATTTAAGAAGTAAAGATCTGTTCATGAACATAAGTACTAGGCAACCAGATAAATAAAACTTAAATAATGAAATATACTATCTGTGCAAGAATACATGACATTGTCATTAAAGTTGTTCACATAAGAAGGCCTATCATATCAGAATGGAGAGGACCCTATATGCCAAAATGATTGAGCACTGTTTTACAGAGTGGTTTAAATCATGAAGTATTAATAAGATTTACATGGATGGGAAGAAGGAAGCATTGCAGAGTAAAGGAATGTCATACCCAAAGGCAAACAGCCAGGTAAGTATAGTATATGCCCAGAAAATTGATCTGGTATGTCCAGATAGATCAATGAGTTTTCATATAGAGAATATGGACAGATGTATATGGAGCCAGATCAACTGGGAGTGATATTATGAAAGTAGGAGCAGGATACAGGAGGAAGTGAAGGAAAGAAAGACTATGGGCAAAGAGAGATGTTGGGTGACTAGTTATAGGTAGAGTTTAATGAGCTATTAAAGGTCTGGCCTTGGAAGGTAATGGAAAGGAAGGAATAGAAGGAAAAGAGAATGTACTAGAAAGTGAAAATTTGGTAACTGACACCACATGAAAGAGTAAAGCCTGGGCTGGGGATATGGCTCAAGTGGTAGCGCGCTCGCCTGGTGTGTGTGCGGCCCGGGTTCAATCCTCAGTACCACATACAAACAAAGATGTTGTGTCCACCGAAAAAACTAAAAAATAAATATTAAAAAATTCTCTCTCTCTCACTCTTTAAAAAAAGAAAAGAGTAAAGCCTGGGAGAAATTAACACAGATTTCAAGTTTCTGAGTCTAGAAACCGGGAAGAACAATGAACTTAGTCACAGAAATAAAAGATGCTGAAGTTGGAGAAGATAATGCTAAGTGAAGTTAGCCAATCCCAATAAACCAAATGCTGAATGTTTTCTCTGACATAAGGAGGCTGATTCATAGTGGGGTTGGGAGGGGGAGCATGGGAGGATTAGATGAACTTCAGATAGGGCAAATGGGAGAGAAGAGAAGGAAGGGGGCATGGGGGTAGGAAAGATGGTGGAATGAGATGAACATTGTTACCCTAAGTACATGTATGAAGACACGAATGGTGTGATTCTACTTTGTGTACAACTAGAGATATGAAAAATTGTGCTCTATATGTGTAATAAGAAGTGTAATGCATTCTGCTGTCATATATAACAAATTAGAATAAAAAATAAAAATAAAAAAAGAAATAAAAGATGCCAAGAAAATTGATGATTGGGCTGTAGAGAATTCTAAGAGTGAAAAAGATACATCTCCAAGAAGACGGGTTTGGTAAGCAGATGGAAGAAATAAAGTAGAATCCCAAAGGTCTGGACTACAGACATTAAAAGTGTCTGAAAAAAAGAGCATGATAGGAGTATAGAGGGAAAGATTGCAGGAAGAAGGTGAAAGCAAAAGGGACCAGTGAGGACACAAAATCAAATAGTCTATGTGTAAACTTTTGAGGGTTTGAACTAGGCTGTCAGTAAATGGTTTCAAAAGATGGCACGAAAAGTAGAACTAAGACAAAAAGCAGGTAGAATCAACAGAACATGGCATCTATATAGAGGGAGAAGATAAGATCAAAGGTAGTTTTGAGACTTAGGGAGCAAAAGAAAAATGGCACTGGTAACAGGAAAGGTAAAAAACAAACTGGTCTGAAGAAGAATATCATAAGATCTGTCTTAGACGCTAGAATTTAATGTGATGGTAGGAAATCCATATGGGGCTGTCTAGCAGACAGCTAGAAATAGATTAAAATCAAGAAAAACTCAGGACCAGCAAAACGTCACGGAGAGTCACAGAAGTGCTAATCCAGAAAAAGAGTTCATAAAGTAAAAAGCAGAGGAGAATTTATTAGAAGCAACTGATAATCAGGGAGAATATAGACAATAAAGGAAACTAGATGTCCAAAGAGGGAAGAAAATGTCAGGACTACGGACCATCACAGAAATCAAGGAAGGAGAATTTTGAGGAGGATATAATTGATAGTATCAAATGCAGTAAAGAAATGAGGAAGAGAATGAACACAGCACACGAAATTGGGTCAGGTTTGCCAGCAAGCAAGTCAGTAGAGTATTAAAAGCAGAAGAAGCTGGGCACATGCCTGTGATCTCAATAGCTAGGAAGGCTGAAGCAGGAAGATCCCAAGTTTAAAGCCAGCCTCAGTAACTCAGTGAGGCCCTAAGCAACTCAGTGAGGCCCTGTCTCAAAATAAAAAAAATTAAAAAAAATGACTGGGGATATGGCTCAGTGGTTGAGTGCCCCTGGTACCAAAAAAGAGCAAAAGAAACAGGATGCATGAGGCTAATGTCATAGGGGAGAGCAAGGAGCAGTGGAATGGAGGCAACATAGAAGTCCAGCAAACTTTAAATCAATTTGGGGGAAAGAATCTTTCTTGATTTTGACCCCAAAAGGAAAAAAGTTAAGGTTGAAAAAAATTAGATGATAACAGTGAAATGATTTAAAAGTAAATTTCTAATTAATTTGTTTAATTAGAAGCAAATTAAAAGTAGATCAAACATTTGCACATATGTATATATAGAAACCCAGAATAGAATATTAATATCCACAGTTACCTGGGCTTTCTGTAATGGTGCCATCCGGCAGCAAAGCACTGCAGTGCACTTCATACAAATTTGTAGGAAAATGCTTTTGTAATTATTTGAACTAGAGTCCTGACTAGAATTTAGTATGAGTGACAATGTGGAGCCATCGATGATTAATCCATATTCTTGATGTTCTGTCCATGCTCTGAAAAAGAAAAAAAAAACAATGTTGTTTTTGAAATTATCATACCTTTGTATTTAGGGTACTGATTTTTTAACTATAGAAGATGAGTCATCAATCTGGTTACTTGACGTATTCATTCCAAAGAAGCAATTGCCTCTAATAATAGCACAACAGTGACTTTAAGTAACACCTCAGAGACCTAAGTTGCTCATATAATTGACTATAAGTTCTAAAAAGTACAAAATAAAGGAGGTTTCACAATCTGCCTCTGTTTAAGAAATTCAAGATAAATTTTGGGAATTATAGATGAATTGAACAAGTATAAAATAACATTAGTTCTGACATGAATACAAATTATCAGTGAATTCGATATTCCTTAAAGACTGAGAAAAAACAAAATGGCTTTAGGGTAAAGAAATCATAGAAGACTTCTCTCTAATATCTTTATCTGAATGACAAAACCTATGCATAAAACATGGCTTCTCAAATATGACAGAGCATCTAAAAGACATGGTTCTCATTAAAGAATGTAATAATATAAAATATTTCTTAAATAAGTATCATGCTTTACTACCAGGGGTTCTCAATCCTAGCCTTCCCATTAGAATCATTTGTGTAACTTTAAAAAGTTGCCCAAACCTGAGGCCCATCCTTAGACCAAATAAATGAGAATATTTTGGTTGGGGGCTTGATTATGTTTTAAAAGCTCCCTAGTTTGCTCTCATGTATGGCCAGGACTAAGAGGTATTCTAAGTGCCAAGGAAAACAAATGTAACAAGGTGTCAAGTTTTTAAGAAAACAAATGGGGGCTGGGTTTGGTGGTGCATACATATAGCTATATGGGAGGCTGCAACTTAGCAAGATCCTGTCCCAAAATGAAAAATAAAAAGGGCTCGGGATGTGGCTCAGTAGTAAAGCATCCGTGGGTTCCAGAAAGAAAGAAAGGAAGAAAGGAAAAAAAGAAAACTACATGGGGGAAATTTGCAACTGAGAAAATCCTACCAATTAGACTTTTTTTTTTCCTTGCAATACAGGAACAAAACAGTGGTTATTCAGTTTTTGCTCAGGGAATTGGGTGCCCTTTGAGAATCACTACAGTGGAAGCAGTAGATACAGCAAGATCTCGGTTATAGATTCCATTGTCTAATGCTCCTCAAAAAGCTTAATGTACAAAGGAAATCATCTGGGAATCCTGTTAAAACACAGATTCTGATTTAGTGAGCTGAGGTCTGAAATTTGCATTTCTAACAAGTTTCCTGGTGACATCAGAGCTTCTTTTCTATGGACCTTTCTTTGAGTAGTGAAAGCCAAATACACCCCATCATTCCCTTTCCATATTTCTTTGCTGTATACTGCTAACACTATATTTGTACTTATCTCTATCTGGCTTTATAATACTGTAAATATAATTTAAACAGACATCAACCATGTGCTCTTTGCTTACTTAACAAGAGCTGTCTTACTGGGCAGAAAACAGCAGCTCAATAATCAAGGAATATTAGTAAACATTAAGTATAAGTATGCTATCTGGAGGAATAAAGAATTACAGGCTAGTCTTTCCTTGGAGAATATAAAATCTCCTTGGGAGTGACAGAAGCATACATGGAAGAACATATATAACCAGATAATAAACAGTCAATGCCCAATCCTTGGGAAAATAAATACACACAGGAAAGAATAGTGGGTTCTTTGTAAGGTATGATATTTAAATTGTAACTTGAAGGCAGGGAAGAAAGAGATGAAGGGAGAAAATGTATGTTGGGATGCACTGGGAAAGCGAATTAAAGGTCTCTTGAGGGCTTTGGTGTGAACTGAATTAAGTAATGGAGAACAACTAAAAGGTTTCAAAGTAGGATTATGATGTGTACTGTAGTTTACTTAAAGACCACTCATCTGGTAGAGGAGATTAAGAGATTCCAAGTGTAAAGTGCCAGTCCTCAGATGTGGAGCACTAGTGGTGATGACTGGAATCTGAATAAGGCTTGGGAGCTGATGTGAACTGATGTGGTCTTGAATATGCTATCCTTCTGCCTCAGCTTCCTAAATCCCTGGGATTACAGGTGTGTGCCACCAAGCATTTCTGTGAACTGGAAAGGGTAAAGGAGCAAAGGTAATTTTGGATCTAAATGAAGCCTATGTAACTAGGAGCAAGACCATGCCAAACCCCAAACAGATAACCAGAAAGAGGGAATAAGCTGAAATGGTGATGATTTGTTAATTTTTCCATAATGCCTGACTTTTACAAAAGCACCACAGAGCCGGCGTGGTGGCACTTGCATGTAATACCAATGTTTCAGGAGCCTGAGGCAGGAGGATCTAAAATTCAGCCTACCCTCATCAATTTAGCAAGACCATGTCTCAAAAATTTTAAAAAAAAGGACTGAGGATATATCTCAGTAGTAAAGTGCCCTGGGTTTGACTGCCAGTATAAAACACGCCCCCCCCCAAAAAAAAAAGTACCAAATAGTTGCTCAACAGAGATATGGACTAACTATGTCCTTTCAAAATTCATATATTGAAACCTTATCCTCAAAGTAATGGTATTTGGAGATTGGGGGGGGGGGTCTTTGAAAGGTGATTAGGTTTAGACAAAGTCATAACCTATGGTAGGGCCTTCATAATGGCATTAGTGCCTGTTATAGATTGAATTGTGTCAGCAAAATTCTTATGTTGAAGCCTAACTCCAAATGTGATAGCATGAGAAGATGGGGCTTATAAGATATAACTGGGTTCATGTGAATTTATGAGAGTGAGGACACCAGGATGGTATTACAAAGAAGAGACACTAATACTCTCTGCCACATGTGGAGGCAAAGAGAAGGAAGACATCTACAAGCCAGGAAGACTACTCTCACCAAAACCCAACCATTCTGAAGCACTCTGGTCTTGGTCTTTCAGTCTCTAGAACTGTGAGAAACAAATTTCTGTTGTTTAAGCCACCTAGTCTATGGATTGCTATGGCAGTCCAGGCAAAATAAGACAAATGGACAAATAAAATGCATGTAATTTGGACTGACTTTATTTTACTTTTTGGTTAACTAGAAATTGAACCAAGGGGAGCTTAACCCTTGAGCCACATCCCAGCCCTTTTTATTTTTTGAGACAGGGTCTTGCTGTGTTTGCTTAGGGCCTTGCTAAATTGCTGAGGCTGATCCTCTTGCCTCAGTCTCCTGAGTTGCTGGGATTGTAGGCATGCACCATAGCACCTGGCTTTGGGATGACTTTGTAAGTACCATTTGGTTAAAGAAAGGAAACATTTCTCAGAGGTAATTTAATAACAAGTATTTTTAATCTCACCTAAGTAACAGAAGAAAAACAGTTGTTTTACTATTATCCATAGCCTTAAAATATGGCCCATTAATTTTTAAGTTTGGTTAAACATGAAAGATGAGGACAGAAATATAGTATTGATGTTAAAAGCATGGGCTCTGGAGCTGGCAGACTTGCTCAATCCCTCATTAGTGGTATGATCATAAGCAAGTCAGTTCATATTGCTGAGCCCACTTCCCTATCCATAAAATGAAGAAAACAAGATTTCCTAACTGGGTTGTTAATGAAGATTAAATGAAAACAATCATACAAAGCACTTAATATTGTTCCTAGAATATGAAGTGTGCTCAAGAAATGGAAAGTAATATTGTCTAAGGTACTCTGCAGTTAGTGCAGGTGATCTGGTAGCACTCCAGAAAAGGAATTAAGTTTACTTATGGTCAAGATAAAGTCAAGTCATTAGGTTAGATGAGGACAAAACTAGGTCAATATGAAGTATAGATGATATACTCCTGGGCATTGAATTACTGTGGATCATTGGCTTGCCCTGAGGTTCTATAAGTTCTTTGTATGTAATTAGTTGAAAGCAGAATCAAAGCATCCATGTTAATAAGTATTTGGTTCCCTCTGGAATACTGGGACATAAGAGTCCACATCAGAAATAGCTCTGGGACCTCAAAATGCATTGAAACTGTAATAGAGATTGATTTTATTACATACCCAGACCCTAAGCATTTAGAAGTTTAATTATTTTTAACATTTCTAAAAAATCAAAAACAGAACTGCCATATGATCCAGTAATCCCACTACTGGGTTTGTATACAAAAGAAATTAAATCAGTATGTATAACAAAGAGACATTTGCACTTATTCATTGCAACACTATTCCTAACAGCCAAGAAATGGAAACACCTAAGTGTCTTCCAACTGATGAAAGAACAAAGAAACTGTGAGACATATATGACATGGAATACTACTATAAAGAATGGAATCCTGTCATTTGTTTCAACATGAATGGAACTGAGATCGTTATGTTAAGTGAAAAATAACAAATATGTGAAATAAGCCAGGAACAGAAATACAAGTATAGCATGATCTTGCTCATATGTGAAATCTAAAAATGCTAATCTCATTAGAAAGTAAGAGCAGACTAGTCGTTACCAGAGGCCAGGGAGATTAGGTAGTGGAAGGGATAAAGAAAAGATGATCAATGGGTTCTAATACAATTAGACAGGATAAAAAAACACTGATGTGCTATTGTACAGCAGGGTGACTATTGACAATAACGTAGTATATATTTCAAAAAGCTACATGGATTTTAAGTTTTTCCATTAAGAAATGATGTTTGAGGAGGTATGTTTACTATGGTTTAAACATTACAGAATGTATACATGCAGAACATATGGTAAAGAAACATTATATGGTAAAGTTACTCCACTAATATGTACAATTTTATGTTTTTCATGTATTAGCTAAAAATAAATTTAATTTTAAGAAGAAATCGAGGTAATTTTCTGCTGGGCATGGTGGCACTCGCCTATACTCCCAGTGGCTCGAGAGGCTGAAGCAGGAGGATCACAAGTTCAAAGCCAGCTTCAGCAATTTAGCAAGGCCCTAAATAACCCTGTCTCAAAATAAAAAAGGGCTGGGGATGTGGCTCAGTGGTTAAGTGCCCTGGGTTCAATCCCTGGTAACCCCCGCACCAATTCCCCGCAAAACAAATTGAGGTAATTTTTTAAACCTTGAGAAATGAAGTTTTCTTTTAACTTAAAAGAGAGGTGTAAAGTATCAAGTAACCTCAAATGTGCCATTAGCTAAGCCCTCAGGGAAGGTTTTAACTTATAAAGAAAAAAATACCTGCAAACAGAGAATGGTAAATTATAGAAAATGGAGCCTTCTGCATAAACAGTTGTTTTTTACATCTGTACCAATGTCTAAGTATAAGAAATTGATGTACTTGCTTACTTTTTAAGGCTTCTAGTACTTTTAGGAAATTCATGCAGCAACTTCTTCCGATATTCTATCAACAATTCATGTAATCGATCTTCTTTCCTTTCACTTTCTTCAATAGTTTTTGTGGTGAGTTCTAAGAGTTCAGTGCCAGTTTGGAAAAGACGGCAGGCATAGCATGTGGATTTGGCTGTCTCCATCTTGTCACCAGTAAGCACCCAGACTTTCAGGCCAGCTGCATGCAGAGCTTCAATGGTCTCTGCAGCTTGATCTTGTAGCCTGGGAACACAAGGAAGCCTTGTTATCCTTTAAAATACCTGACAGGGATTCTACAAGAAAGCTTCCTAAAGAGAACATTCTTTACAATTCACTATAATTCTACAGTTGTGACAACTTATCACAGTTGGTTTTCTTATATACCCTTTACTCCTGAGATCGTTATCTTTGGTATAGTTTTAATTATTAAAATGAATTTCAAACAATGAAGTCCAGAAAAGTTCATGCTATCTCTTGAGGTAATTAATACCTAATGGCAAAACTGAGAATCATCACTCAGAAACTCACCATATATTTGTATTCATTGTTAACCTCATTATATCTTATATATTACCATACATATATTTTTATATTATATATACACACATATATATGTATGTATGTATGTGTGTATATATATATATATATATATATATATATATATATATATATATATATATATATATATATATATAAATTCTGAAAGAAAAATTATACTTCTATGGGATTCCCTCCCGCCTTTTTTCCTTATTTTGTCTGGCTTCTGCATATGTGAGTAAACATTCAACCTTTGACTTTCTGAGTCTGGCTTATTTTGTTCAGCATGATGTCTTCTAGTTCCACCCATTTACTAGCAAATGCCATAATTTCATTCTTCTTTATTGCTGAGTAAAACTCAACATTTTCTTTATCTGTTGATGGGCACCTGGGCAGTTTCTATAATTGATTATTGTAAACTGTGCTGCTATAAACACTGATGTGCCTGTATCAATATAGTAGGCTTGCTTTAGTTCTTTTGGATAAATACTAAAGAGTGGGATAGCTGGGTAATTTGGTGGTTCTATTCCATGAAAACAGAAGGGAGATCACTGAAGCAGAAGAAGAGGATTGAGGGGGAAGGAGGAGGGATGGGAAAAGGGAGAAACTCCAGAATGAAACTAACCAAATCATGCCATCCATGTGTGTATGTATGTATGTATGTGTGTGTGTATATATATATATATATATATATATATATATATATATATGAATATATTATAGTGAATTTCACATTTAGATATATCTATAAAGCACTAATTTAAAAATTAGAAAGAAGACCAGTAGAGAAAGGGAAATAGGGGAAAGGAAGAGAAGAGGGAAAGGACAAGCACTAGGACTGAAGTGGAGCAAATTATATTCCATGCATGTATGACTATGTCAAAATGAACCCTATAATTATGTATAACTATACAAACTGAATATATGTTTATAACTTTGTTTGGTTATGTCTCATAATTTGCATTTATATTCCTTAGAAAACTCCTAAAATATTAAGAATCTAACACTTATTCTTTCAAGAAGATCAATGCAGAGTCCTACAATTATGTTTGGCAGAGTTCAGCTTGTATATTTAAAAGAATATGATTTTAAAGTAAGCAAAACTATACTCTGGTCTGTGAAACCAGGTTAGATTAAGCACTTGTGCTGTTCACTTTAGGTTGGATTTTCTTTCTGTTCATCTCTGTCAAAATCTTACCCATTCTTCCAGGTACCAGAGCTCTACTGGCGGCTCTAGCATCCCTCTTTACACATAACAGTCTACTTTATAAATATCTACATAAATAAGTAGTTGGCTTAAATATCCAAAGACTTTAGTACTAACTGGTTCATTCTTCTAAGTCACATGTATTTAACTTAAAAACCATTCCTACAAACAGATCAAAATTTTGTAATTTTTCATACTTGTTAAAAATAAATGAATCTTTAAGCCCATTTAGACAACAAAGTTAAATCAGAGATTTCAAAACATGAATAAATTACTAATTTGGGACAGATGCCACCGTAAATGCCTGGTCATTAAAATAACAAGAGTATCATTTCTAGTTACTTGTCTTCCACTGCAGTGGCTCCAATTAAATTCATGTTTGTCTCAATATCATCAAAAACCTTTTCCATTTTTTCTTCTCTGTCTTGTAAGGCCATTTTTGCCTCTATGAGCTGTCTGTTAATTATTTCATAATCATCTGGAGTAATTTCTTTGAAGGCTACACAGAGTGTCCGGTACCCATCCTAGAAGTAAAGTAGAAGATTTATAATTATCCCCATAATAGCTGAACACACACACACACACACACAGATACACAACCTCTTTAAATACTCTTGCTTTGTATAAAGAGAAATTCTGACACATTTGTAGTTTAAAAAAATGAACAGAATGCAACTGAAAAAGGTAACATTGTTAGGTTTTGAATAAATAAAATAGAGCTTTTAACAAAGATTCTGGAAAAGTTTATAAGGCTGCAAATTCTGATCAAATGTTACTCCAAGGATAATAGTTTATATTAAAATAAAGAAAATAATATTAAAACTGCCAATACAAAAATACACAATAAAAATAAAATTCACTTAAACATCCACTTATTTATATTTATGTGGTACTTGGGATTGAACCCAGGTACATTCCACCACTGAGCTATATCCCCAACCCTTATTTTTATTTTAAGGCACTGACTCTTTAAATTACCAACGTAGATCAAGCTCCCATCTTATTTTAACCTCAAGCGTGTGTGAAATATTCACCAACCAGTGGTTAGCTCTTGAATCCCTTTGCTCAGAAGTCACTCATTTGTCCTTCTCTCCCTCTCTTTAATACCCAGAACTTAAGGTGCTCCTGCCCTGGTCTGCCCAGGAGTTGTGATCAGAAGCATGCATCACTATGCCCAGCTTAAACGTCCATTTAAAAAGTAATCCCATAAACATTTGCGGCACTTCTCCATTTACTTATTGAGGGGAGGGATGTAGGCTCACCATTGCATTACGTTCCACATGGGCTTTAGTTAACTCAATTTCATGGTTTTGCACCCTGGGAAAAACTGCTGAATCTGCTCCTTTACAAAAAAGAAGGATGTCTCCTAAAACAAAGAACCAAAATACTCAACTTAGAATTTTAAGAATGGTATTGATATTTTAATAAGAGAATTGTTAAGGTGACCTCTCCCAACCAGATGCTATGTATTCCAAGACTGCCTTTCAACACACACCCAAATGAAATTAGACATCTTAAGTTTTAGTCTGTCAAGAGAAATTTAGACCCTTATGGACACAATAAATAAGCCAGAATTTACAACATGCGACTCGGTTAAAATACATTTCCTCCCAGTGAATCATGGAGGACCACACTTGTATCAAGGAGAGGCAATAGGATTATTTTTAAAAATGTACTCAGCAATGGCCTAGAGTACACATAGGGCATCTATGAACGTGAAAACCAAACTTAAGTTCAAACAGGCTTCAATTATGAATAAGCTATACAAAGTTAGCTTTTGAAACACTGGCTTGACAGCTTTTACTAGGAACTTGAAAATAGCTTTGTAAAATGCTTATACTGGTACAAGCACAACTTTAGATTAGTTCATATACCTGGGAAATATTCACATTTGAGCACTAAGAGACACTTAACCCTTATAAAGCAGATAGTTGAATTCAACAAATTAAAAAGCAGAGTTCTGAGGAAAACAACCTTTGCAGGCCACTTTTCCAGACATTTCATCATATGTAGGAGAACATATATGTAGATGTGCACACATGAGAACAGTGGGTAATTCAAAAGTTAAATGTGCTTTTTGGTTTTTCCTCATACATCCAAAATGTATTTAAAAGTCATATGACAAAAAATTAAAAATAAATAAAATTATAAAACAGATCCCATTGCCATACATTAAAATCAATTTAATGTCTTTGCATTCATACCACAAGTTATGAGGAAAAGTGTGTCCGTCAGTTTTATTTCCAAGAAAATGCATTTACTATCACACCAGGCATTCTGCCATTGACAATTTGACAAACTGAACATGTTTCCAAATAAATACATGAAGGCATATTTATAAATGCCGCTGTTTTGCAAAACTTTACCTAATCCTAAGCTACTACCTACAATGCTTAAATTTTCTGAAATAGTTTATCCTACAAATGGAAAAAGTCAAGTATGAAGAGGTATACCTCCTTGAGTCTTCACAATTACACTCATACGTCGGCGGATGGAATCAAAGTTTAAGGTGTGAAGAAGTTCATACCTTCAAAAGAATAGAAATGAAAAAAGTAAAATATCTGGGCCATGTTGAGCAAAATAAAACACAATAGAAACATCTAAATATATTTAAAAATCTTAAATGAACAGATAATTCTCCTCTTTGAATGAGGGTAGCTAGTTCTATACACAACTGGTACTTTCTTTCTTTTTTTAAATTTCTCTGCATATAGAACCTGCTGTACAGGATATCTGAGTTGGTAGGTTATTTATATCCTTTTATTATATTACTTAAAATAGTAAGGAGAGCGACTACATACGAATGGAGAACAAAAAGCAGTCCCACCAAGCCATATCTGGAAGGATCTAGAAATAGTTCTGCTCTTCTAATTATTTTACTATGTTCTATGAGTGCCTCTTAAGGGCCAGTCATAGTGCTGTGTGTTGGGGAACAGTGGTGAATCTGCCTGAGCCCACTCCCTCGAGGAGTTTACCACATTTTAAAAAAAATCTATTTTTTAATTGTAGTTGGACATAATACTTTTATTTTATTTATTTTTACGTGGTGCTGAGGATTGAAGCTAGGGCCTCACACGTGCTAGGCAAGTGCTGTACCACTGAGCCAAAACCCCAGCCCAGTTCACCACATTCTAATGCAGAATAGGTTAAGATACAATTACTCTCCCAGTTGTCAAATAGTGAAAAAAAGGCACTTACAAAGGAGAGATAAAACTACAGAAAAAAAAGCCATCAGAAGGAAGGTTTTCTGAAAGAGGTGCCTGAGATGGGTTCTGCAAGAATGATATGCAGAAAGGGGACAGGGCATTCTGATAGTATAGACTAAGATCAGATGCAAAGGCATAGCAAGGACTTTAAAGTTTCCCTTTGTATGGAAAACTCATTCACAGGCAAACAGCAAGAAATGAAGCAAGAAAGGCAAGCAGGAGCTGAAAACAGAACTTTGTGGGCTGGTTAAGAAATTTGGCATTTTGTCTTAAGAGCAACAGGAAGCTAATGAAGGGTTTAAAGAGTGGAATGATATTAAGAGACTGATCAGATTTGTGTATGTATGGCTAAACTATTAATCAGATGTAAGGATACAGAAGAGTTAAAATAAGAGGCAATTATCAAAAAAAAGCATGATGGAATTTAAAAAAAAATAAACAACTTAGATACATATATTTAACATAAAAATGTTGGGATGGACTGTAGTTCAGTGGCAAAGCACTTTCTTGCATGTGTGAGGCACTGGGTTCAATCCTTATCACCATATACAAATAAAATAAAGGCATTCTGTCCATCTACAACCAGAAAATATTTTCTTAAAATGTTTATTATATAGCTTGATTTTGGTGGGAGTGAGTGGACCAATTTTTGCTTTTTGAGGTGGGGAAGGGAGCTGTGTTTAAGACATCTATATGTAGCATTTCATTTGGTGTTGGCCAGACAGAGGTACTGTTGTGGACTGACTAGAATCTGGATGGTCATCATGACTCCAGGTTGCTGGCAATCAGACCACAGAGCTTTCCTCTGGACTGCTGAGCATCCCAACTCAAAGGGGACTATTACCCAAGGGCCTTTACATGTATTATAGGTTTCTGAGATGAATCTCATGGGATTTTCAGGGCCAGAATGGAAGTCAAATAAGATAATTACATTTCAAGTTCAAATGAAAAATTTGAATTAATCACTGAGCCTATTTAAACTCTGTCATTAAGCCAAGGTGGCTTTGTTCCTTGGGGTTTTGTAGCAAAAACAGAAATACTAAGATCCTAAGATACTGCTGTACCAGGGTACTTGCCCTTAGGCTAACACTTGATTTCTAAGAACAAGGCAAAGGTTCTATTGAACACCAAAGCTACTTTGGTGTTTTGAATTGCTGGGCTTGTAATCCCAGAGTGATTTCTTGGGCTCTAGATAGCAGAAGGTTTCATACACATTCTCTGATTTTTCTTGTAGCATGTGTTAGAGAACTAAAATGGTATCTAAATTTCAGGAACAGTCCAGGCAAATTCTCATTCTGGCTACTGGACCTACATGTGAAACACATCCCAGTTCCTGCCATTGTATTAAAAACAGCTTCTACTGCTACATTTATTATATAGAACTCTGAATTGAGAGAGCAGAGTTCTACATTTATAGGTCCATTAGTTTCCTTTGTAATCCTTCCTAAATCCATGTAAAGTTGACTGGGGTTGGGAGTGACGGACATAAGACAACACAGAGCTACTTACTCTTCTATTTCTTTTCTTTGGTTCTCTAGTATCATATGTCCATTCCGATTTCCTAAAAATGTGAACCCGTACCTATCAAAAACAAAAAAGAACCTTTGTGTGTCTCTAAGGAACAATTAATTTCCCCTTGTAATGAATCTATTCATCCTTGTTAATTCTTCTCTCTTACATGATCTCAACCTACAACTGCACTTACCATTCCTGGATCAGTTGATAGAACAGAGCAAGTCAAAGCCTAGTCACAATTATTATAACCAAGGTAAAGACAATTTGTAATTCCAATTCTGCAGCTAACATATTAAGTGACCTTTTACCACTTAATCATCTTGAGCCTCCTGGGGAAAACTGGACTGTCACTTATCAAATGTCGTCAAAATTGCTGGCAGTGCTTTAAAAATAACATGTGTTGTACAAAAAGTGGCCACTGCTATTTGGTATTGGCCAGACACATTATATTGCAAAATATAATGTGAAAATTCAGACTCGTGGCTAGCATACATAAATAATAGGGCAAATTACATCTATGCATCACTATTTTCTATTTGGATGTAACTGGTTATATTTGGGAATTTTTACAAACTTTTAGATAGCACTTAGAGAAGAGGTACACAATATGGTTATCCGAGCAAATGGAAAAAAACTCAAATTAACTCCTGTCATCCTGTGATTTCACTTTCTTAGGAGAAGTACAAGAGTTCTTACTTTTTAGCTCCTTTCACCAAAGCTATTTCATCTGGTGAGGAGGAGATATAGGTTAATTCAGCTGATTCTGTAGCTCCATCAACAGTATCATTTGTTTTAATTTCTACAGTATGACATAAACACAAGGCACGCAGAAAGAGTTCTTCTCGATTCTGTGGAAAAGCAACAGAAGAATAACTGCATTATTTTCACTTTGATCACTAGGCACTGAACACATAAAATGTATTAATGTGAGAGAATATTATAACCTCTAGAGAACTGAGTAACAAAAATTATAAATTCCTAGGACTCAAATGAGCTATATATTCCCTCAACTACTAACAGAATTTCTGGTCCCTAGCCAGTATCCCTAGAGGATGCATAAACACATTCAGGTTACTGTAGTGCCACCTATAATAAGCCACTGACTTCTTAATGGACTAAAGGGAATGCCATATATCTATTGGGTGGGGGGTGGTGTTAACGGGAATTGAATTTGGGGCACTCACCCACGGAGCCACATCCCCAGCCCTAGAGTCTCACTGAGTTGCTTAATGTCTCACTTTTGCTGAGGCTGGCTTTGAACTCACAATCCTCCTGTCTCAGCCTCCCGAGCTGCTGGTATTACAGGCGTGCACCATCAGGCCTGGCTAAGGAATGCCATTTGATACCTAATTCATAATTGAGCAATAGCTCAGGTATAGGGACACTCTGGGTCATTTAATGTCTACATACTCCTAGGACCTAAATGATTTGAAGAGATATCATTCTTTGAAGGAGCTCATATTTTAAAAAATTATAATCAGATAGGCAAGTGAAATTTTTACTTAAATGCTACTTCCCATAATTCTCTCTACTTATGAGTTCTACTAATTTATAAATTCTAGTGGTATTAGTAAAACAAGAAATGGCAAAGCAAAAAGAAAAATCAAATGGTTATTCAAAATTTTAGGTCATTTGTCTACTGGAAAATTGTTTCTACTATGCAGGGGGAAGTACATGCTTATATAGACTGAATTCTCAGGTAAAAATGGTAATGCAGAAAATGTCACCTTATCTGCTTTGTCAAAATATGTTAAAGGTCCATCAGTCTGAGATAATCCATCAACTTCCTGAGTTACACCTTTATATTTGTGCCCATCTATGCAGCATTCAATGAATTCCATGCTATTTTCAGTAAGTGTTCCAGTCTTATCTGTAAATACATAATCCACCTGAAAACAAGGACACAAACATATGTTTCTTTAGTGTGATAATTATTTTAAGGTTCTGGGGATTAAACCCAGGGCCTCACACATGCAAGACAAGTGCTCTACCACTGAGCTGTATCCCTAGACCATGAATTTTTTTTTTAAATATTTGTTTTAGTTGTAGATAGATACAATATCTCCATTTATTTATCTTAATGTGATGCTAAGGACTGAACCCAGTGCCTCACATGTGCGAGGCAGGCGCTCTACCACTGAGCCACAACCCCAGCCCCACCCATGAATTTTTATTAATTAAAAATTATTAGTTTTTTATTTAATTAATAATTTTAGTTATTAAAATTTCATATCTATAGGGGAAAAATCACTTCTAAGACTTCTAGTCAAATGTCAGGAATTACAGAGACAATCCTATTAAACAAATGTGGAATGAATGTTTTTAAAGACACTGAAATAGTGACATATAACTAAGGTAGACCTACTTAAATGTAGAAGATCAATAAGAAGAAAAACCATGACTTTGTTATCAAACTAAAAACTCTTTAATTTAACTATTTAACTTAACCTGTTTCAATGTATAGAAGCTATATTAATTTTCCAAGGGGGAAACGAAAATATACTAATATACTGAGCATTTACTTTACACACACACATATACATACACATGCACGTGCACGACATACACACACACACACACACACACACACACATATTCTTTTTCTCTCTTTATGGGCTGGCATGTAAATAACCCATTGGAAAAAAATTTAATAGGAACCAAAAGTTAACTGGATGTAACAAAATAAAAATAAAAACTGATGAGCTTTTCCCCCCTGAAAACTAAAATTTTCTGTAAAAACATTGAAGTAATATGTATTATATCATATAATACCATAAGAATCACAGAATATAGACTAGAAAAGTAATCTAATTAGGAGACACAATAGGTCAATAGTGATAAAAAAAAAACACTACTGTATTTCTTTCTACACAGTATGAACATTTTTCAGACACTTCTCTTAAGTTTCCAAATTTATAAAAAAAAATTATAAAAACAGTTTATAATAATAGGTTCATGCATAACATAAGCATATTTTAATAAATAATGGGAGAATCAGCTATAAAATAAATTTTCCATTACAATAGACTATTTTAAGCATTTCTATTTTATCTCAGATTTATCTCTTCTATTTATAATATCTGGCTTTGAAAACCCACAATTTTATTCTCCTTTTTGGCAATTTATGCTTAAATAGTTAAAATTATGGGCTGACAGGAACAACCATAAGCACAAGATTAAGGTTTTTATTATGTAAAGGAGAAGGAGATGAACTCCAGCAACAGTTGCTTTCTAATTATTTTTCAAAGCTTTTCACAGTTGTAGCACAGGCACAAATATAGCATTCCAATCTTTCCTTTTTTTTCCCCGTTACCCAGCCAAGTTTGAATTCTCTCTTTAAATTAATCCAAGTGTTATTATTCATGTAGATTTTTCAGTTCAAATGAAATTTTTTGAAGCTTTTTTTTTTCTGATCCAAATTATTAACTTTCATTTTCTCCTGAAGGCTATGCCAGGTTGTTTCACATTCTGCAGGTGGATTAGCATTAGCCCATTCAAATTTTCTCATTAGTGTCAAAGGTGATAACTTCGAAATATAAAATACAATTTCTTCACCTATGTAACAGTTTGGGTAGTAGAGGTCTGAAAACACTGACATTCACAGGTAGAGCCAAATAAACTACACCAGAATACATCAATGATCAAACTAGAGCATGTGTTACCTGTACTTGGATGGCTTATTAAAACTCAAGAGTTTTGGGTTCTGTTTTCCAGTTCTGACTTAATAGGTCTGAGTTGGGGCTGGATAATTTGCTCTCCTAAATTCCTAGGTGATATTGATATTATTGGTCCAATGATCAGACTTAACAACCAGTGCCCCATTATATAACATATACTCTGGGAAAGGAAGGGGGAGACCAGATATGATTCTTACCAATAAAAAAAAATATATTCTTGCCAGACTTGGTGGTGCACAGCAGTAATTCCAGTGTATCAGGAGGCTGATGCAGGGGACTGCAATTCCAAAGCCAGCCTCAGCAACTTATGGGGCCCTGTCTCAAAATAAAATATAAAAAGGACTAGGGACAGGTGCAGTGGCACACACCTGTAATCCCAGTGGCTTGGGAAGCTGAGGCAGGAGGATCACAAGTTCAAAGCCAGTCTCAACAACCTAGTGAGGCACTGTCTCAAAAAAATAAAATGAGATGGGATATGACTCAGTGGGTAAGAACCCCTGGTACATCCTCACCCCTACCACCCACAAAAAATAATCTCAGGCCTGAGGATGTAGCTCAGTGGTGGTATACTTGCCTAGCATGCATGAGGCCCTGGCTTTCATTTCCAGCAACAGAAAAACAATTAAAACAAAACAACAACAATCAAACAACTCACATTTAAAGGAAAGGATGCCCCTTGGCTGCCTGACTCTCTCCCAAGCAACCTCTTCCTCTTTAAGGACAACTTTGAGCCTGTTGAACAGACTCCCCTATATCAGCAAGTTAAAACTTACCATTTTATGGCTATTGTGAAATGTATACTTGGCCATCTCTCCTCATCTCCATTTTTTCCTGATGCATAGCTCCTAAAATACTTGGCATCTCCAGAGTGATAAGACCTTATGTTGTATGCTAATGAAATGACTGATAGCTTATATTCAATAAGAGAAGGACTAAAGAAGTGTCCCCATTAGATTTTCCTTTGTTTTTCTGGTGGATTTGGGGAAGTGGGGGAAGGAGGGTATCCTAATTTGACTATGCAATTCTTTTTGCGGGGAGGGTACTGGCATTGAACTCAGGGGTGTTTAACCACGGAGCCACAGCCCCATGTTAGGTAGTAGCTAGAAATAAGCAGTGAAACATATGGCAAGTGTTCTTTAAAGTACTTTAAGGTCTTCTTTAAAGTACTTTCAAAGTGGAAGAGAAAGCAAAGGGTTGAAGTTAATTTGCAGAAAATAAACAGGAGGCTAGTTGAAAAATATGTCAATAGAAAATGATTAATGGGACTAACTCTTGACAGGATCCATTGAGGCTGGTATCAAGCTAGGAATTATGGCTATAGGTGTTTCCACTTGTCTGGGAAGGAAGATTCCTTTGGTAGTACAGGTGCACTAAACTTCTGACTGGCCACTGACTCCAATTCCCACATTAACATGGGACTGACTGGTAGATGAAGCCTCCCTGAATATGATGGCTGCCATGACAGCTGGAAAGGACCAACTAAGGTCAAAAAATGCCTCTGCTCCAATTACCAAAGTAATCCTCAGCCTTAAACTATACTAGAAAGCTACAGTAACAAAAGCAGTGTGGTACTGGCACCAATGTAGACTTGGAGAACAATAGTACAGAACAGAAGAGACAGATACAAACCCACATAAATACAGTCACCTCATACTAGACAAAGGTGCCAAAAACATATATTGGAGAAAAAAATAGCCTCTTTAACAAATGGTGCTGGGAAAACTGGAAATCCATATGCAACCAAATGAAAATAAGCCCCTATCTCTCACCATGCACAAAACCCAACTCAAAGTGGATCAAGGACCTAGGAATTAAACCAGAGACTCTGTGTCTAATAGAAAAAAATAGGCCCAAATCTTCATCATGTCAGATTAGGCCCCAACTTCCTCAATAAGACTACTAAAGTGCAAGAAATAAAATCAAGGATCAATAAATGGGATGGATTCAAACTAAAAAGCTTCTTATCAGCAAAAGAAACATCAATGAGGTGAAGAGAGAGCCCACATTTTGGGAACAAATTTTTGCCACATACATGTCAGATAAAGCTCTAATCTCCATGATATTAAAGAACTCAAAAAACTTAACATCAAAAAAAAAAAAAAAAAAAAAAACCCAAACAACCCAATCAATGAATGGGCCAAGGAACTGAACAGACATTTCTCAGAAGATGATATACAGCCAATCAACAAATATATGAAAAAATGTTCAATATCTCTAGTAATTAGAGAAATGCAAATCAAAACTACTCTAAGATTTGACCTCACTCCAGTCAGAATGGCAGCTATTAAAAATACAAACAACAATAAGTGTTGGTGAGGATGTGGGGAAAAAAGGTACACTCATATATTGCTAGTGGAACTGCAAATTGGTGCAACCAATATGGAAAGCAGTATAGAGATTCCTTGGAAAACCTGGAATGGAACCACCATTTCATCCAGCAATCCCACTCCTTGGTCTATACCCAAAGGACGTAAAATCATACTATAGTAATGCAGTCACATCAATGTTTATAGCAGCAAAATCACAATAGCTAAACTGTGGAAGCAACCTAGATGCCCTTCAATAAAGAAGGATAAAGAAATGGATAAAGAAATCATGTCATGGTACTTAAACACAATGAAATATTGCACAGCATTAATGTTAGGGTCTGTAAACAAGTCAAGATGGCACCTGGCATTTTGCCAGAGGGAGTGGTTTGTGAAGTAACGCCAGCGAACCATTAAGTGTGGAGATTCCTTATTGGTTGACTGCTGTATCTAGTTTATGTTAATTAAGATAAGCTGTGTGGAATGTATATATACCCCCTCCTGTCCTACAATAAACGGCTCCTACTCCTGCTGTATCAATCTACACAATTTGCTCATCACCCCCGGGTTATTTTGCTGCAGCCGGACTGCGGCACATTACAAGAGAATAAAATTATGGTATTTGCAGGTAAATGGATGGAGTTGGAGAATATCATGCTAAATAAAGTAAGCCAATCCCCCAAAACCAAATGCCCAATGTTCTCTCTGATAAGTGGATGCTGACCCATAAATGAGGAGCTCAGAGGATGATTCACTCTCTCCCTTTAGTGTGTTCTCTGCTTGAGCCTTACTTAGCTTTTACTTTATTTTCACCTCACTTCTACTCAACTGTTGCTTATAATAAAGTTGTCTTGCATGGCTTTTGGTGTCTGGCTTAAAATTTTCTTTCATTAGAATTAAAAAGCTGAGGTTTGGAGTTTCAACTCCCTGCTTTCCTGTGACACCCAGTCCTTTTTATTTTTTTTATTTTGAGACAGGGCCTAAGTTACTGAGGCTGGCCTTGAACCTATGATACTCCTGCCTCAGCCTCCCTAGTAGCTGGGATTATAGGTATGTGCCATCACACCCTGTGCATGACTATGTAATTCTTGTCAAGGGAAAAGTATGCTGGTGTAACAACTATACTGCTTTCCCTTTTTCCTCAGATCACTTCAACTTTTCTTCTTCTTCTTCTTTTTTTTTTTTTTTACTTTTCCCTCTACCTGATACAGTGGTCATAGGACCAGGGATACAACTGTAAGTGCTGGAAGCAGGGATGATCCCTAACCAAGAAACTGTTAACTCTTTTTTTTTATTATGATGCTGGAAGTAGAACCCAGGGCCTCAAATATTCTAGGCAAATATTCTATACCTGAGCTATATGCTTAGCCAGTAACTATGTTTTTATAAACCCTCTGTCAGAATTCCTAAGGCCCTGATGGGTGTGGGTTATACCTTCACCTCATCTAGCAAAAACAAGGTTAACAGTGAATGCAGCAATATTATCTGGGGATGCAAACAGCCCACTAGTTCTTTTTGTAACTCTACCCTGTCTGCATGGCAGTGGACTGAGTGGAGGGTGGTTCCTGCTAGATTAATACAGCCACAAGACTAGGAGAGGATATACAGAAGAAGGCTAGTCTCATAATTTTTTCAAGATGGACTGAAACCATTTGGTTGTATAAGATTGGTGTCTAATCATAAAAGACCCCACTATTTTCGAATTAAGCTGAATAATCTAATTTATTTGGTTCTCACATCAAACACTGTCCTAAACATATCTTTCTATTCATTTTTTTAATACCAGTACCTAATTTTCCCTCCTGGTACTGGGGATTGAATCCAGGGCACTTAACCACTGAGCCACACACACACACACACGCACACACACACACACACACACACACGCACACACATTGGAGACAGGGTCTCGTTAAGTTGCTTAGGGCCTTGCTAGTTGCTGAGACTGGCTTTAAACTCGAGATCCTCCTGTCTCAGCCTCCAAAGTCACTTGGATTTCAGGCGTACACTATATACCCTGCCAGTAGGTCACTTTTTAAAGAGGTTAAGCAAATATTTGACATGACATTGGTGGGAATGAACTGATACTGCCTTCAGTAACATAAAAAGCCATATAGATATTAAATTATGACTTATCAAGGAAGAAACTGGTTACACTTAATTTTGTGTATACCGGTATACACAAAATGCTAAATTGTCTAAGAAACTATTCAAAGACTTCTCTGTATTTTCATTCAGGTAGTTTCTACACAAACAAGCTAATAATGATGGCAGGTTGTTTAAGACACTGGGTGTGATCTGCTATTGAATGAATGATTTGATTAAAAGATAATCACACCCAGACACACAGGGTCTGGTGGGCAAAGGGAGTGGGCACTGAAACAAAAATCATAGCTCCTTGGGCTGGGGATGTGGCTCAAGTGGAAGCGCGCTCGCCTGGCATGCGTGCGGCCCGGGTTCGATCCTCAGCACCACATACAAACAAAGATGTTGTGTCTGCCGAAAACTAGAAAATAAATATTGAAATTCTCTCTCTCTCTCTCTCTCTCTCTTAAAAAAAAATCAGTTCCTTTTCACAAGCCCTACTTTACTTTTTACAGTCTTAATAAAGTCTATATGGTAATATAGAATCTGCTGAAGTAGAGATCTGAAAGAGATGAGTCACATCAAGGAGAACCTGGTCTGGAAATGCTGTCTGTCTCTGCACAGCATTGAGTGTCACACATGGAATGGTGGCTAGTCTGTTTGCAATAGTTACTAGAGGCTATCCCCAGGCTACTTATGCTCACCCTTGGTAGGTGAATTCACACAATGAGGCACCAAATAGAGAACAGGAACATTTACTCAGCATCTAGGATGAACCACTAAATTAACTGTCAGGGGAAAAGGTTCATCAGAGGTGGCATGTACACTCAAAAATATTTTCATGCAATAACTGATGCCTTTTATCAAGAACAGAGTACTTTTATTCAGATAGCTCTGTCCATGGATGAAAATTTGTAGCTTAAAAAGGTTAGGGTCAGCTATGGAAGCTCAACTCATGAACAAAAGAATCTTCTAGGAACAATAAGAGAAAAGCCATCGGTTCTTTCAATTCTTGTCTTATTCTTAGTGCTTCAGTGTCTATATGGAATACAGGTTCTAAGGTCTGGCTTACTAGTGTTCTGAAGTCAGATCTAAACAAAATAGTATCTGGAGAGTCCTTAGTTATTAAAAGGGTACTCTGGTTAGGCAAAAGATTGTGTCAAAAGCAGAAATAGAGAGTGCGGGGAGTGGGAGGGCTAAATTCAGGGCAAGGGAATTTTAAGGTATTACATGCAAATCAGCCCCATTTAAAACAAGTGTGAGGCACTGTTCCAGCCCACAGTTTCATTAATAGAGTTTGCATTTCCCAATCACAGAAATGACATTTCCACATCCTTGACATTCTAAATATCATGAGAATTAAATGCATGCCAGAAAATTCCCTCAGCCTGTGATGATCATTACATGATACACTGTAAATTCAGACAAAAGGGGGAGAGTATTTCAATATTAATGAGCAAAGCAACTAAGAGGTCATTACTTGGAATTACAGTTAGACAGCATCACAACAGAAAATAAATGCACCTGGGTTAGAAACGAGGCCACAGACTTGGCTATATTGGTATATAAAACAGAAAGCATTTTAAGGAGTACGTGCCTTCACATTTTCCCTTCATTTAAATTCACATACCACAATAATTAACTCTTCTTTCTAGGTCTATATTCCTTCTAATCAGAAATATACCAAGAAAAGGTCAATAGCACAACTCCAGTCAATTTTGTTTATTGAACAACATGCATTTATAAAACAGCTATATTTACTACTCTGTATTCTATCCATAAATGATTATAGATAGTAATGAAGACTGTATGTTTCCTATTCTAAAGCAATAACTTAGTAATCTAACAACATCACTTGGTGAATTTTAAAAAGAATTTCTGGGGCTGGGATTGTGGCCCAGCGGTAGAACGCTCGCCTAGCACAGGCAGGACCGGGGTTCGATCTTCAGCACCACATAAAAATAAAGGCAATGTGTTGTGTCCATCTACACCTAAAAAATAAATATAAAAAAAGAATTTCTGCAACATTCTGATTTAATATATAACTTTCATCCTTATCAAAAATGCCAGCAAAAGAACTGATGCTATGGTGATGAAAACACTGCTTACCTTTATTACATGCCTGCATAAAAGAACTTTTAATCACATTTCTAAATGTGAAATGGGGACATATATTGATAATCTATACTACACACACACAAAAAAAGGAATTACACTACATCAATTATTGTAAGCAAAAATGTGTTCTAACCTGACCAAGTTCTTCATTAAGGTCTGATGTGTTAACCAAGGCTCCTTCGTTAATTTCTTCATCATAAAAGTCTTTATCCCATGAAATGAAGAAGGAGCCCAAGAATTTCTGCATTTCTACTGTGACATACATGGAGACAGGGATGATAAAGTTGAATAGGACCATAAATGATAGGAAGTCGGTGAACATTTTCAGAACCTAATAAAATAAAAGAGACCATTAATGCTAGTTAGATGCACAGCTCCATCAGATGAATATAATGTAAAGAAACAGCTGACTTTCTTTTTATCCATCAATGCTGAAAGCATTGCTCTTGCTATAGAGAAACTTACCAAAGATACTACATCATTGTAGTGAAAATTATCACAATGTGAAAACATTTAGGAACATTTTCAATTTTATCATTGTTGTTCAGGGTATGTACCTTCTTTTTTAAAATATTGTTTTAGTTGTATACGGACATAATAACTTTATTTTATTTATTTGTTCTTTTATGTGGTGCTGAGGATTGAACCCAGTGACTCAGGTGTGCTAGGCAAGTGCTCTACAGCAACAACCCCAGCCCCACTACCTTCTATCTTTACACTTTTTTCACTTTCTTAAGTCCTCTGCTCCCTTCATCCCTATATATGAATGTGAGATAAAAATTTATATACAAATATCCATTATGCTATCATATCTCACAAGCTCACATTGTATTAAAATGCCAGCATTTCTTGCCAGTTTACTTCAAAATCTTAACTAAAGAGCTCAAATCAAGCATAGATGTCAGGTGCAGTGACACACTTCAGGGACTCAAGAGGCTGAGGTAGAGGCGGGAAGAGTGCAAAGTCTGAGATCAGCATGGGTAACTTTGTAAGACCTTGTCTCCAAATAAAAGGTAAAAAGGGATAGGGACATAACTCAATGGTAGAGTGTCCCTGGGTTCAATCTCCAGTAATGTAAAAAGAAAATTAAAAATCACGGATGATTTATGTAAAATTTTAAAAATTAAAACTTAAATATTTAATGCCATAGGGCTTTAACTAAAAAGAAAACATAGAAGCTAACAAAGGTATCATTTTTCTGACTAGTATTTCCATAAAGGATGAATGGTTACAAAATCCTTGAGCTACAATTTTCAGTGGAAAACAAGTTACCTTTAAAGTCTCCCGTTCTTTCTGAGTCTTTTGGTTATACCAAGGTTCATCATTATATGGGGTACTCTGCCATACATACTTTAGAGTAGTGCATACTGCAGCTTTGGTCAATAAGATAAATAAATAAACCATCAAGAAGGCATTAATAGATCTGAAAAAATAAGAGTATGGGTTTTAAAACTATCTAATTAAGACATCAAATATAAATTCAACTGTTCAGTTATTTAACATTTCTCTGTGAATGATGTTCAAACACAACACAAACTTTTACATATGAAACTCAGTTATCATAGCTGCAGCATGGCTAGAGTGACAAAACTTAAAAGCTAGCCCTGAACTATTTATTATTATCACCAGTGTTCCCCCAATCAATGGCTGGCTAGATTAACACACTTTTAGTAAGGTTCCTATAAAGGAATAGGAGATGATGGAGACACACATAATTATCTATTCAGCCCATAAGGAGTAGCTTGTCTCCATGTCCCTAAATTCTAAATATTTGGAACTGAGGGCAGGTAGCCATGTGAAATCCTCAAGTTCAGATTATATTCTTTCTCAGCATAGTTTGAAAGTACAGCTCTGGAGAAGGTGCCATTGAGATACTGGATATCCATGCCCATGATAGAGAGGTCTCTGTCAGTTGTACCTGGCTTGAAGGTCTACTTTATTTGCTAGGAGATTATTATCTATATTGTAGAACCAACTTGAACATAGCAATGAGACACCTCCAAACCACTAACTACAATAACGAAAGGAAATGAATTTATTATTCAAGTAAATTCTACCTTTAATAGCTATGTAAGCTTAGGTAAGTCACTTATTCTCTTAAAGACCATTTTCTGGTGTGTAAAGTGGAGAAGCTAATACAAATTACTTTTTAAGGAGTTCTTCAGCAGATTAAATAAAATCTGACATATAAACTATTAAGGACAGTTTCTGGAAAATAAACACTCAAAATGCTAGCTGCTATTATAACTGAAATAGTTTTTTTGTTATACTAGTTTGGAATTACTGAGGAAGTAACTATGTCAATCAATAATGACTAAAGAAATCATGGTGCACACTAACTTTTCAACAGCAGAACGTTTTTGAGATTTCCCTTGGTAGTTCAAAGCCATTTTGGTTTCCATCCCAGTGTAAACAGCAACTCCTAAGGAACAAAAAGTAGGTTACAACTGAATTTATCAACCAACTTCCTACCCCTTGGTTCTATAAATTTTCAAGTCTATAAATGTAAAAATCCTAAGTCCTATTCTACTCACTAGTTAATACATTATTTGATATAATCTTAATTCTGTAAATTATGTATCATATTTCATGTTTGTTTATCATCTTGTAAATTCCCAACACATAAATATAGCTGATAATAAATACAACATCTGCCATGTTCATTTTTAAACATGGACTATTTATTCACAGGCCTTATATAACTTATTTCTGGTAAGTATATTTTTAAAATTGTTTACCATATATCTTCTTGGTATTTTTTAGTGTAGCTCCTTTCAGCAAGAGATTTTCAGGTCCCAAAGACCTAATCAAAAAAAATGAACACAGCTTATTAAAAAAAATGCATGGCATCATCAACTGTGAGGACAGATTTTGCCCTGACACATATCTATCTCCAAGGGTTTCAGGATGTATCTGTCTACTTCTACCATATGTTTACTCCCCAGGACAAGCTGAAAGATCCCTCCCTCTGAAGTGACTTGAGGGAACAGCACAGATGGAAGCACAGCACAGGAGTAGCTAGCAACATGCACAGGTAAAGAAATGCACAAAGGGATCAAGTGATTATGAGTCACAGATAGCAGGACAAGAACAGGACAGAGCAACAGACAGTGAGGAACAGAAACAGAGGGTCACGAATAAAACACTGTGAAGACAAAGTCAAGGTGAGAAAAACACTGACATCTTTGTAGAGAGTAATAATCCACCATTTGCAATATCACCCTTCATTTCCTTAAGTCTCTTTTAAGCATGACTAAAATGGCCAAGTGGAAAAGTTGAGGTAACTAACTGGGTGACAGAAGAGGAATAAAATCAACTTCCTTTTTATGAATTGGCTCATTATAAATTACTGGCCTATCATTTTACTTAGGTCCAAGTAATGCACTCTATGATTTATTTACTGCATAGTTCTTCAATTACTCTCCTTTAAACCCCTGTTCGCCATGTGTATTTCCTACCTTGTCAGCCACTATATAACCAAGTACAATAAACACAGAGCCTAGAACAGGTCTAGGAATATTAGTCAAAGGGTATAGAGGTCTGCTGTTTTGGAAATCCTAAGCATTAATTTTCAACAACCCCTACCTCTATACACAGAGACCCCACAACTCTGCCAATCAGAAGGTTAGTTAATTATTTATTTTTATATCCTTTTCTATTAAAGAAAGGTAGTTAACTATTTTAGTAAGTTTAAAAATAAATATATCTCCCCTCCCATAAGAACAGGTTAAAGGAATAACAAACTAACCTGGCAACAGCCTCAAGACTATTACTACAGATATTGATTCGCCCAACAAACCTGTAAAAGAACATAATAACAGGTGTATTTTCTATGTCCAGGTGAAGTCCAAATACCACCAATAAGGAAATAAATCAAAATACAAATAATGCAAAAGATAAGATTCTGAATAAATGACAAAATCCTATTATATTTCTGAGGGAAAAGTTATATTCAATCAAAAGATGTACAGCATTTTAATCTAATCTCTAAAATAATATTATGGATTATAAGAAAATAAACAAAGATTCTAAATTGATTTTCAAGCTCTATTTGGCACTATGCATGCACAGGATATCTCTCTTCTTTATGCCTTTATATAAATAATGTGACTTCTATTTTAGATTCATGTGAAGAAAGGTTTCTGGTGCTAAAACATAACTTTCAAAATCATTAGTCAGTAGTTCTTACACAGGAGCATGCCATCAAAATTACGGGAGCGTTCACCAGATGTGGTGATCTCACCACACATCTCATCAGGTGTGGTAGTGCATGACTGTAATTCCAGCAACTTGGGAGGCTAAGGCAGAAGAATCACAAGTTCAAAGCCAACCCCAGCAACTTAGCAAGGCCCTAAGCAACTTAGCGAGACCCTGACACAAAAATAAAACAAAACAAAAACAAACATCTATGGGCCCCCATATTTGAGTTCCTAATTCAAGATCCTAGGTGATGCTGATGCTGCTGGTCCCAGGACCATCTTCTGAACCATGGCAGTAGTTTTTAGACAATGAATACTTGATTGCCACCTTAGAAATATCCAGCCTGCATCTTGTAGCTGATCTCAATACTGAGCTTCAGCCAATCATTTATATGACTGGACACATGGTAATCTGCATTTCTGCCAAATTTGGTAAAAATGCCCAACTTCTCCTTAATAAGAGTGCTTTACTGTGTATTATTTTTATTTTTAATAAATGTACTTTACCTTTCAAAAAAAGTGTTTTGTAATTTCCAATATAAACATTGTTTTCTTTATAGAACAAGATAAATACTTTAAATTACTATAAAATATGAAAATCTATTCCTTCATTCATTGTATATTAGTTATGCCAGTACTGCACTAGGTGCTAAAGATATACTAATAAGTGAAAAAGACATACTCCATTGTTTTAATAAAGATAAAGGAACAATCAAATATATGCAAGTGATTATTACCAAGAGATCTAATTTTGTCTAGGGAAATTAGGAATAATCTTATCTACCCTAAAATTCTCTTTCATATTTAAAGCAACTTTTCAGTTTCTCAATAAATATACAAGAGTATATATATATTGATCTTTAACTTATAGGCAGAGTAAGTCACTCCCTTTTCTGTGATTCCATGGGTTTTGGATTATATCTATTATTACACTGTAAGCTTAGCTTTACTATTTTATCTACTTTGCTCATTGTGAGTTCCTTGAAGACGGAGAATAGCTGTTTTACTTTTGGCTCTAGTTCTTACTCTCAAGGTGAATATAGAAGATAGGAAAGGAAGGAGGACAGAAGAAATAATGGGAAGGAAGGGGGTAGTATTCTCACAGTAGGATATACTTTGTTTTCCTCCTATTAGGTGTCAATATATTCAACCATATGGTCCCCATTTTAAACAGTGTGCACTAACAAAGTGGATGGCCTAGGTAATGGATGCCATGTGTAATAGAATGACATTAATTGGACAACGTGGGGATAAAAACTGTTACTATATCCTCATTAGCAACATGTTCTAATCAACCCAACTAACCAGTCTTAAAATAAAATATCAAGTTTTTAAAATCTACAATAACTGTTAACCAGCAAATCTATTCCAGAGAGCCTAAGTATAGAAAAACAGAAGAAATTATACCATTTTACTACTCCTTCAACTTAACTGTTCACTGTGATCAAGAAATAGCATATTTGCAATCCTCAGTTCATTGTGATCACTTCAAGAAAGGACAGAGTGCCTACTAATTGCATGGCCCAATATTGTCTTCTCTTTTTAACAGTGGATGGCATGTAAAAAAGGGTTTTATTTCTATTTTAATTAACACTGGGCACTCCATTAGTCTGACAGATTAGCCCTTTGGGATAACATCATTTAAAATTTTGATAGATGGTCATGTTTACAAATAACAAAAATAAACAATAGAAAAAATATAGGATGCCCGGGCTCACAATAATTTATCTTAGGCTGGTAGTGAACAAGGCTGACTTAATTCATTTTCCTGCCATAAGGAAGAACAGCTCATAAAAACATACATGTGAGTAGGCTGGCAAGTGGTGGGCGTTTCTTTGCAATACGGGTGGTGAAAAGCATCAGAGCTAAGAAGAAGCAGTATAGAGAGACCAGGTGATTCTTACTTGTACAGGTCAGGTTGAGGCTGTTCACATTCAATTGCTGCTCGGAGGCTATCAATGGACTCGGCTGTACACATTGCAATGGTATCCCGCACGGCATAATGTGTCTAGATGAAAGCAGGGGAATAAAGCAAATTAAAAAAAAAAAAAGTGTTCCTTTTCATTATCCTACACAACTGTGTTCCAGAAATGGTATGTTTTAGTAAGAGGCTTTGGCAAAATATTACAAATATTGATGCACATTTCCCACCAAATAAATTGTATGGAATTAATCTTAAAATACACGATAAATAATTTAAAAGATAACCCTGCTATAAGGGGATTTCGAAGATAATAGAAAAAAACACAACTAAAAGTTCTTCTTGATACTGACGTCAAGAGCATTCCATTTTCGGCAGGCATATAATTAACTAAAAAAATGAAAATTTAATACATTTATTCTTCTTCCTATTTATAGAACTGAGACTTATTATTTTGCTTACTATAGTGTATAGCTATGCAGATTTGCACATTTGAATGGAACACAACCCTTTTTGGTCATAGCAATGTAAAAATTTTGTCAATAATAAGAAAAAACTCATTAATGTTCCATTACACAAATGCTCAAATCACTACATTTGGTATGAGGGGCAGGAAGAGGATATCTTGTTAGACAGAATATTCTACTAGAGTATATCACACACTTGATACATCCAAAACTGAAAGTAAGCTTCAATGAATCCATATATAAATCATCAAACAAAGGCTAATACTGATTTAAGGAGTACACTGCTTAATGCAGAAGGAAATGCTGTTGACATATAGTCTTTAGGGAATATTATGGCACTTCCTGAACAATATTTAAAACTATTGCCTGATTTTTGAAAACTTCTGTACTTTTAGCTGATGTGATCAAATCAATGTAATAGGAAAAAAAACTACCTAAAAGTTTTCTTTTTCTAAGTAACTTTTTCACTATTAGGGAATCTTTAGGTAGATTTACTGATTTTATCTTGACATTCCCTAAAATATAGCTCTTTTTAAACAGCTTAAATGCTACTAGTTCATCTCATAATGTCCTTGAAATACAGAATCAGCCATTTAAATGGTAAATTTCCTTTTTCACATACTAAGTACTAGTCTTCAACTCCAGAGGGAATAAATGAGAAAAGAAATTCTCCAAGGATATACTCAGAGGTCAGCACTTTAATATCATTCGTTAAAAGCAGCACTGAGAGGAGTTTAACTCCCTGTTACTGCTCATCATTCTAGATGACGGCCAAAAACTAACTGCACCAGAAAGTACCAGGGAAGTAACTTATTACTCATTTAGATGTGACATTTCACCACACTTAAAATTCCTCCTGGTTGTAATAAAGCAAATGTTTGCCAAAGTATATCCTAACGTATTTTTTAAAAGGCAATCAAATTATTCCAGGTTAGAACTCCTAAATCCCAGGAATAAACATATTTTAAAGAAAATATACTTTGTCATTACGTTAAAAATAAATCAAGTTGTAAGGTTAGAGCTCATAAAGTTATTTTTATATAGTTTCAGCCTAAAATTACTTGCATTTTAAAAAGTCTAAATAAAATATTGCGTGGATTATGTTAACATTAAATTCAAGCAGTGATATAAAAATTGTGGTGGCTTTTATTTGGGGCATGGTTTTTCCCTGCCCAACACCATCCCTATCCCCAAAGATGAGAATATACTTAGGAGACACAGACAATTATATAACAACTCTCTTCAAATATAAAACCTACATGAATAGGGAAAATAAAGAGTTTAGGAAGCGTTTTTTTGGAAGCACTATTGTATGATTAACTATCCTGAGCTCAAAATGCTTAGGCAAGGTTCAGTCTCTTACCTTACAATTAGATTCCCCATCAAGACTAGCTGTAGTGACATAACAGGTTCCATCAGTGGTACAGGATGATAGAAGAATAAGATCGCAGGGAAAGGTTTCATCTGCACTAACTTCTACTACATCACCAACCTAAAATGGAGAGTAAAATAAATATAAATATAAATGTTTTGAATTCCAAACTAAACATCATTAAAACACACACTAAAGTTAAAACATTAGTAGGACACAACTCCAGCCCTTATGCTTTGGGGGTATCTCAGGATCCTGCACAATGTAAAAGGTGATAAAAAGAATATTACTTAACATCCAGTATTCTCTTTAAGGTCACAAGGATTTAGGATGCTTTCAGATTACCGTAGTATTGACCTTTACCTCTAATAAACAATTCTGACACCCAATTGTTCTGATATTTCTGGAACTAATGTTTAATAAGTAAATGACCTTATCATCTCATGAATGGATCAAGAAAATGTATATATCACAAATTAGGCAATTCATGAACAAAACCTCAGTTAATTATAGAGGCATCAATCATTTCCCCATAATATTTAAATTTTTTTCTATAGGTCAACCTAAAAATCCATCTGCTATCAGAAGAATTAATCAATAGAGCAATGAAAAACAATTTCCTATCAGCAAATATTCAAAACTCAAACTCGAGAAAAAACCCAAGAGAAGAAATCAGGAATGATTTTATAATGTAAAGAGTGAATCATAATAGTTAAAAGCTTGTACTTTTTAATCTCAATTCACGTCCCAGATCCGACACTTAACTATATGACTTTGGGTAAATGTCTTAGGTAAGCTGATTACATCACAGGATTACTGTGAGCATTGATAAATAATAATACAAGTAAAATTAAGGTGCTTGGCACATGTTAATCAGTTAATGGGTGTTAATTATAACTGTTACAATATCATGCAAGCAAGTACTTTACTCAACTTATGAATAACTTATAACATTTATTTTGGAAAGATGTAAGAAATTCTCCAAGCACAGCTGGGGTTGTAGCTCAGTGGTGGAGTGTTTGCCTAGCATGTGTGAGACACTATATTCGATCGTGAGTACCACATAAAAATAAATAAATAAAATAAAGGTATTGTGTCCATGTACAACTTAAAAATATTTTTAAAAAAGAAATTCTCCAAGTAATACTTCTCAATATTTTTAATGGATGGCATACACAGAAAATGATAAATAATGATTTTGTACAGCATAGTCAGATAAAGGGAGGCGGCTCCTGGTGGCAGAAGACAACTCACTTTAGGAAGAAATTGTTATTGTTTGGATGTGAGGTGTACCCCAATCCCAATAGCTCATGTCTGAGATAATGCAAGAAGTTTTAGATGAGAAATGACTAGGTTAGGAGAACCTTAATCCAATCAGTGAATTGATCCCAAGGTGGGATTAATGGAGTGGAAACTGAAGGCAGTTATGGTGTGGCTGGAGGAGGTGTGCTTTGGGGGTATATATTTTGTATCTTGCCAGCATAGTCTCTCTGCTCTCTGATTATCATGTGAGTCACTTCTCTCTACTGCCATGATGCTCGGCCTCACCTCAAGCCCCGAGGAATGGAGCCTGCTCTTCATAGACTGAGATCTCTGAAACCATGAGGTCTCAAACTTTTCCTCCTCCACAATTGTTCCTGTCAGGTCTTTTAGTTACAGCAGTGAAAAAGTTGAATAAAACAGAAGTCAGTATCTGGCACACCAACCAAGACACACTGGCAGTGAAGTGCTGAACTACATGAAACACCTGTCTTCTATGTGCAATATTTTGAGACATAGTCAAGAACAATTTTATTTTCTTTGCCAATCTTAATTAGTAGCCAAGAACAACAGTGTCAATATCTAATTTGTAAATAATATTTTATATTGTTGATCTTTCCTTCCTCACTTACATAAACACTTATGTTTCTTACAATAAAACTATAAACTATGCTTAAAGTATGCAAAAGAAAAAAAGAATCAACAAAATCTTAACATGATGACTGATAGGCACTGATAAATAAAAACCACAAAGAAAACATTTTTTTTCTTCAACACTTAGAATTTGCTCAGATACAAAATTTGTGTATCTACAATACAAGTTGAGGCTGGTGAGGTAGGCAGGGGCCAGATGGCAAAGGGCTTGACCAGCTAGGCTAAGGGATTTTGGCCTCACCCTAAAGGCAAAGGTAAAAGACAATGGTAAAGAAAGGGAATGTTATGACCCAGTTAGACAATCAACTCAAGTTACTTGTTTCCATTCACTATTTTAAAAGCCGCAAGAGAATGTCACTACCACTCCCATCACAAATATTAGGAAAAAATAGATCTACAGAATAATATTTTTAGAGCATCAGAGGGCTGAGAATGCAAGGCAACCAAGTGAACTGAATTTCAAAGGGTCCCTTTGAGGAGAAACAGGACAAATCAAATATTTCACAACTGACAGAGCACAAGGTAAAAGATGGCTACCATAAAAGTGGATGAGAAGAAAACTGTGTTTTCAACCAATTCTTAAAGGCTAGGAGTGAATCACCATGAAAATTTTGAATATCTACAAGACTGAGAGACAAAAGAAAACCATTAACACATGCTAGCTCTCTCTACAGGTTTCCATTGGTGCTCACGAGAAAGCATAAGGTCGGAACATTTAAAATTACCCTTCTCACTGGTACAGGCATACAGATAATGATCAACTACTGTGGAAAGACAGGCCAAAACATGCCAGAATGGTGGACTCCTCTCTCATATGAAGCAAAAGAAGAAAAGCCACCTGCATTGGGAGAAAGGCAGGAAACCTTCTTTGGCGGAAAATGACACTGGTGCTACAGAGGAGACAGAAACAAAAGGGAACTTGCTTGCAGAGACAGAATAGTAAAGACATTCTTATCAAACATTTGACTGCCATAGGAGGAGGTGGGGGCAGCAATAGAGAAAATCCCACATTGAGGCTCAGGTTCATATATCCTAATACAACTCAGGTTCATATATCCTAATATGGAGATTGGAATGGGAGAATGATTAAACCATTCTGTTCCCACCAGGAGCCAACACTGAATAACAAACAATAAATAGCAATCTACTATAGGGTGAGAAGCAACAGAAGAGGGTGAGACAGACACTCTTTGTAGCTCAGGATTCTAGGATGTGTTAAAAAAGGGTGGTGGGACAACAAACCTGGCAAAACCACTAAAGCACACCAGGTCTCACACAAAGTTTAAGGTAATAGCACAAAGAATCTGAAGTACAGTGATACACTGAAAATATCAATAATGCAATAATTACAACAAAAACCAAAGTCAGCCCATCTCCTGACTACATTAACTCAACCCTCAATAAATACTAAATGGCCTGATGGAAGAAGCAGGCCCATTTCAGAACATACATAGTACTGACCTCACAGTCTCTGCCATTCTTTTACGTACAATGTCAAAACTCACTGAAAACAAATGCACAAAAATCACAAGAAAAAAGCAAGTTATTATTGAGGGGAAGGAATCAACAAGACCAGTTCCTGAAATGTAGAAATTTTTAAATCATCAAGAAGGGTTATAAAAATAGCCATGATTAAGATATTGAAATACTTAGTGGAAAAGGTAGGCAACATGTAAGAGTGGATGAGAATTTTGGCAGAGATGAATTTTAATAACAAAAAAAGAAAGGAAAATGGAAAGTTAGAAATGAAAAAGCATGGTATCAGAGATGATTCCCTTCAACCAGCAGACAAGATACAGCAAAGGAAATAATCAGTAAACAAGAAGACACATCGATCAAAATTATCCAAAATTATATTCAATGAGAAAAGGAGTAGTTAAAAAAAAGGACAGATCTTTAAGAGGTATGACAAAATATCAGTCTTATAGTCATGTAAATGGAGTCAAAAATAGGAGAGAGAAAATGATCCACAAAAAATATCTGAAGAGATAATGGTCATGAATTATCTAAACTTAATCAAAACCAACAAATAATAGTTCCAAGAGAATTTCAAGGAAGATAACTAGAAAGAAAAGCCCAAGGCATAACGTAGTCAAACTGCTGAAAACTGAAAAGGAAAGACTTAAAAGTGATTCAAGAAATACCATATTTGGAGAAACAAAAATAAAAATGACAACAAACATACCAGGAAATATGCAAACAAGATGACAATGGAGAAACAACTTTTTTTCAAATTTAGAATTTATATATTATTTAGTTGAATTATATACCTGACCTGAGAAAAGAAGCTTTTCTATGAAATTTGGTGCTATTTATGTTTTTTATTTTGAATATTATTGGTTCTTTTTAGTTATACATGATAGCATAATTCATATTGACATGATGATAGTGGGTGTACTCAGTGGTGAGACTGACTGTGGTACATTCATGTATGTACATAGGAAAGATACATTCTATTATTCTTCCTTTACCCATACCCCCTTTCTTCCCTTCAATCTCCATTGTCTACTTCACTGAACTTCTATTCTCCATCCCCCCATATCAGTGAAAACATATGACCTTTGGTTTGTTAGGACTGGCTTATTTCACTTAGCAAGATAGTATCTACATCCATCCATTTTTTGGAAAATATCGTAATCATTCTTCTTTATGGCCGAGTAATACTCCACTGTGTATATATACCACATTTTCTTTATGCATTCAATTGTAGAAAGGAACCTACTTTGGCTCCTTAGCTTAGTTACTGTGGATTGTGCTGCTATAAACATTGATATGGCTGTGTCACCATAGTATGCTGATTTAAAAATCATTTGGATATATACTGAGAAGTGGAATAGTGGGTTGAATCGTGGTTCCATTCCTAATATTTTTCAGGAATCTCCATACTGCTTTCCAGAGAGGTTGCACCAATTTGCAGTCCCACCAATAATATGTGAGGGTACCCTTTTCCCCACATCCTCGCCAACATTTATTGTTACTTGTATTCTTAAAAACTGCCATTCTGACTAGAATGAGACTTCTGATTGGAATGAGATGAAATCTCAGTGTAGTTTTAATTTGCACTTCTCTGCTAGAGATGTTGAACTTTTTTTTTCACATATTTGTTGACCATTCATATTTCTTCTTTTGAGAAGTGTTTGTTTAGTTAATTTGCTCATTTGTTATCTGGGTTATTTGGGGGGTTTTTTGGTGTTAAAGTTTTTTGAATTCTTTGTATATCCTGGATATTATCAGCCTATCTGGTGGCAAAGATTTTCTCCCATCTGCAGGCTCTCTCTCTTCACATTCCTGATTGCTTCCTTTGCTGTGAGGAAGGCTTTTAGTTTGACACCATCCCATTTATTCTTTTTTTAAAAAAAATATTTTCTTAGTTGCTGATAGACCTTTATTTTATGTATTTACATACAATGCTGAGAATCGAACCCAGTGCCTCACTCATGCCAGGCAAGTATGCTACTGCTGAGCCCCAGCCCCCATTTATTGATTCTTAATTTTACTTCATGTCTGTTTTGGTACAAAACCCATGCTGTTTTTTGTTATTATAGCTCTGTAGGATAATTTAAACTCTGGTATTGTAATGCCTCCTGTTTTACTTTTCTCGCTAAGTATTGCTTTGGCTATTCTGGGCTTCTTATTTTTCCAAATGAATTTCATGACTGCTCTTTCTATTTCAATGAAGAATATCATTTGGATTTTAATAGGAACTACATTAAATCTGTATAAATTTTCCTGTAACCTCCTGGTGCAGTTTCGGTAGGTCATATGTCTCTAGAAATCTGTTGGTATCTTTAACATTTTCTATTTTATTGGAGTACAGATTTTCAAAATACTCTATCATCTGTATTTTGGTAGTGTCCATGGTGATATTTCCTTTTTCAATATGGTATGAAGATTCCTCAGAAAATCTGGAATGTAACTACCATTTGACCCAGTTATCCCCTCTTCGGTATACACCCAAAGGACTTAAAAATCAGTATACTACAGTGATGAAGCCACATCAAAGTTCGTAGTGGCTCAATTCACAATTGCTAAACTATGGAACCAACCTAGTTCCCCTTTAATAGATAAATGGATAACGATGTGGTATATAATGCACAATAAAATATTATTCAGCCATAAAGAAGAATGAATTTATGGCATTTGCCAGTAAATGGATGGAACTAGAGACTATTATGCTAAGTGAAATAAGGCGATCCCCCAAAACCAAAGGCTGAATGTTTTCTCTGATACGTGAATGCTGACTCACAATAGGCAGGGGTAGAGGTGAAGGGGAGGTTCATGGGATTGGACAGGGTGGAGTTGGGGGAAAGGTGAGGTGATGGAAATGGAAAAGACAGTAGAATGAATTGGAAAGACATAAATTTCTATATTCACATATGAATACACAACCAGTGTAACTCCATATTACAAAAAAATACAACCACAAAAATAGAAGTTATACTCCATACGTATACACACACACACACACACATACACACACACACACATACACACACACATTCTACTGTCATATAAAACTAAAAAGAACAAATAAAAAATAAAAGTATATTATAAATTCTGGAGAAATTTAAAAAATTACAACAGATATAATTAGTTAGCCAAGGGAAATGACCCAATGGAATAAAAAAAAAGTTCAAATAATCTAAGAGATGAGACAGATAGCCAAACCATATCAACTATTACATTAAAAGTCAATGCTGAGCTACCAAATTAAAAGCAAAGATTTTTAGACTGGGTTTAAAAAAAAAAACAAAAATAAAACCAATAACCAGGACCAAACTAGAAATGCAAAGATATAGAGAGATTAAAAGGATGGAGCATACCATGCAAACAACAGTTAAAAGAAAGCAGGATTTACTATATGGGATTGATTGTACTATCAGAAAAAATTACGTTCAAAACTAAGATTACTACCAGGGACAAGGATTACACAAGGATAAAGGGGCCAATTCACCAAGAAGACATAATAATCCTAAATAATTTTGCACTTTGTACTATAAAGTACATAAAAAATTGATGGAACAGAAAATAAAAATAGGCAAATTCATAGCCATAGTTGGGAATTTTTTTTGTCTCCTTTCTCAATAATTGATAGAGCAAGTAAGAAAATATTAAATGTAGAGAAAACTTGAAAACATTATCAATGAACTTGACCTAATTGACATTTACACAAAACTCCTCAACAGCAGCAGAATGCACATTCTTTTTTAAAATTCTCAGGTGCATGTGGAACATTCACCAAAATATACTATATTCTGGGCCATAAAACATATCTGAACATATTTAAAAAGACTGAAATGATACCAAGTATGTTCTCTGAATACAACAGAATTGAACTAGAAATCCATAATCAAAACGTATCTAGAAAATTCCCAAATATTTGAAAATTATAACCAATTGTAATGCATGAATCAAAGAAACATATGGAAAAATGGTCCACATCATATGTTATCAAGGAAATGCTAACTGAAGTAAAAATTAATGAAATACAGCTATACACTTATTAGAATAACCAAAATCTAAGACACTGACAACATCAAATACTGGTAAGGGCTCATTCAGTACTGGTAGAAATGCAAAAATGATACAGCAATCCTGAAAGACAGTTTGGCCGTTTCTTATGAAATGAAACATACTCTTACCATACAATCAGTCCCTCAACCTTGATCCCTTATATTTACTAAAATGAAATTAAACTTACGCCCCATAAAAACCTGAAAACAGATGTTGACAGTAACTGTATTCATAATTGCCAGAACTTTAAAGTAAAATGCACTCCAAGAAGTGGATATACAAATAAACTGTGGCACACTAAAAAAATGGAATATTGAGCTGGGGATGTGGCTCAAGCAGTAGCGCACTTGCCTGGCATGTGCTGGGATCGATCCTCAGCACGACATAAAAATAAAATAAGATGTTGTGTCCACCGAAAACTAAAAAATAAATATTAAAAAATTCTCTCTCTCTCTTTAAAAAAAAGGAATATTATTCATCACTAGAAAAAAATGAGCTATCAAACTATAAAAAATGGAGGAAAACATGAATATACATTACTAAGTTAATGAAGTCAATTTGAAAGGATTACATATTTATGATTCTAACAATATGATATTCTGGAGACAAAGTATCAGTATTTACCAGAGGTGAAGGCCGGGAGTGAGATAAATAGGCACAAAAAAAAAAAGATTTTGAGGGCACTGAAACTATCCTATATGATATCTCAATGTCAGATACATGACATATATTTGTCAAAACCCATAGAACATAACACAGAGAGTGATCACTAATGTAAACTATGGGCTTTGGGTGAAAATAGTGTGCCAAAGTAGATTTATTGATTGTAAAAAACATCATTCTGGTGTGGGATGCTGATGGAAGAAGAGGATATGAGTGTGGCTGCACAGTGGGCATATAGGTTACTTTCTTTGCTTTCTGTTAAATTCTGCTATGAACCTGAAATTCCTCTAAAAATAATTGATTAATTTAAAAACTCTACTGAGAACCAAAAAGATCTGATACGGACAAGTCTAAAATGCTGACAGGGGTCCTACTGGGTAGTAATAATAATGACTGGTTTTAATTTAAAAAATGAACTGCCTGGCATCTTAAAAATATAATAGTACTGTGGAACTCCCATACATTGCTGTGGGAATGTAAATGATACAGCCACTATGGAAAACGGTTTGGTGGTTCATTAAAAAGTTAGCCATAAAATTACCTTAAGACCTAGCAATTGTCTTCTTAGGTATATATCCCAAAGAATAGCAAATACATGTCAAACAAAAACTTGTCCTAGAATGTTCTTAGCAGCAATATTCTGAATAGCCCCAGGGTAGGAACAACTCAAATATTCATTAGCTATCATAAGTAAACTGTGGTATATCCATAGTGGAATACTATTTGGCCATCAAAGAAATGAATTGTTAATACATGCTACAACACAGATGCATCTAAAAAATATTATCAAGTGAAAGAAGCCAGATATAAAAGGCTACATAGTATATGTTTCCATTTATAAAAATTATTAAATATGTAAGTCCATAGAGACAAAAAGTTGTTTTCCCAGGGCTTGGGTGGAGGGAGAAATGTGGAATGACTATTTAATAGGTATGGGGTTTCATTTTTGGTTGAAAAAAATATTCTGGAACTAGATAGTGTTGATAGTTGCACACCATTGTGAATGTTCTAAAGGACATTGAATCATACACTTTAAAATGTACATTTTGCCACAGTAAAAAAAGGATACTAAAAAATACCTTAATTTTTTCACTTTCTTTTTGCACTCGCTTTGCATTTTCAATAATGTAAACAGTGCTCTTGTTGACTTCATTGTCAGCTCTGTGTCTCAGCCAATCCTCATATCCCTAGAAGGATAAAAATAACTATATAATCAAGTTCAAACAATAAAGTAAACTGTTAATAAATCCGTATAATCCTCCCATGAATCAACAGCAGATATTTAAAATTAGAGTATTAATTTCAACTCAGAATGCTAAAGAGACAATGATGCATATTTTAATGGCAAATCTAAGACACTTTTTTTTTCCCCTTTGTGAATGCAAAGCAAATACTCTACAAACTGGAGATATATCCCCAGCCCACACTTTCTTTCTTTCTAATATTTTTTAGTTGTAGATAGACAATACCTTCATTTTATTTATTTTTATGTGGTGTTGAGGATTGAACCCAGTGCCTCACATGTGCTAGGCAAGTGCTCTATCACTGAGCCACAACCCCAGCCCCATAAGACACACATTCAAACTATCCCATAGGTAAATAGCTTTATGGTATTAAAAGTTTCCTCCATTATTCAGATAAATATTAAAAGAAATGCAGGCATTAGAGCTTTGATATTCGTTATCTGGAGGATTAAAATTTATTCTTTTATTTCTACTCTTATTCAAATTAATGTTAAGTATCTCCACATTTTTAATATGAGAAAGAGCCATTTGAGTTTTTATTTTCTTGTATACCTAATCTTTCAATATTTTGAAGTAGACTGTTGGGCTGATTACCTCCAAGGAAATATTATAATTCTTTTCCACAAGCCAAGAATAGTAAAAGCAAGTTAGGATTGGTTTGGCAGAGAATCCACTATAAATTGTAGAAATTAACAGCTAAACTTCTCCGCTTAGTGAGAAAATGAAACGTGGTGCTCAGTTTTTTAGGGTTAAAAGTAATCAGAGAGTGCTGAAATTCAATCATTAATGTGGTAGCATTAAGAGATGATCCTGCGGCTGGGGTTGTGGCTCAGTGGTAGAGCACTTCCCTGGCATTTGTGAGGACCTGGGTTTGATCCTTAGCACCACATAAAAATAAACAAATAAAATAAATGTATCGCATCCATCTACAACTAATATATATATATATATATATATATATATATATATATATATATATATATATATATATATATATATATATTTTTTTTTTTTTTAAGAGATGGGTCCTTTATATCATTAAGCCATGCCAGTAGATCCCTGATGGATTGGATGAGGATCCTTACAAAAGGCTTGAAGGAGTGGATTCACTCTCTTTTGCTCTTCCCATTTGAGTATACAACATTCCTCTATTTTGACTGTTTCGCCCCTTCTGCCTTGTGAGGCTGCAACATGAAAGCCTTCACCATACCAGCACTTTGATCTTGAACTTTCCAGCCTCCAGAAGCATAAAAATAATTTTTTTGCTTTTTGTTGTTGTAATAATGTCTGTACTTTTTTTTTTTTAAAGACAACTGAAAATCTCTTGATCACCTTCTTTTCCTTGTCTCTTTTTATGACAAAGCTAGTCTATCACTTCATAGGGTATATTCTGTAATGGTGGTGAAGAAAGAAAGGCCCTACAATGAAGTAGTACTGGGAGTAGAATGAAATCTGTAAAAGCCTTTGCAAATCATACATACTATTCTTAGAACCAGTAATTTTATGACATTAAAGAAAATAATCCTAACAGCCTGAGGAAAAGAACATTCCAAGTCTTTATTTACCAACCAAACACTTGATAAAATATTTTTACAGTTCTTGGTAGGCAAGATTCAAGACCAGATAACCCCAAGAAGAAAGGTAATCTTATTCCTAATACTGTTAAATTGACCTTCATTCTGCAAGTCTCCATGGGGTACTTTTTAAAAGCACTTTGATAAGTACTATCTAAATGTATGTTTTAAATAATCAGATCCTGTGGACTGTCCCAGTACATGATAAATACTTTTAACCCACCCCTTCACCTCCAATTTCTTGTTCCATTTTCAATTTCACGGGCAAGTTTGGTACTAGCAAACAAAATGCTCAAAATACTTCAAAGAAGTCCACATCACCATCTGTGGCATCTCATCACCTCTGACTAGAAGTAGGAATAAAAGCTCTCTTTACCCACCCATGCCTATTAGCACCATCAGGAAATTATAAAATTCAAATATTTGTACCTCAAGTCCTGTGCTATAGGCTACAATGACAAAAAAAAAAAAAAAAATCTACTGGTGTGGGAAATTTTCATTCAGACTTACTACACTAGAACAATTAATCCATGATAAAAATCTGCTTCCCATTTCCCAACTGAGCTATATCTTCTACCCACTCTTTTATTTTCACATACCCCCACACAGATATAGAGGAAGAAAAGAGCAAATAAATTAAGGATGTGCCTTACTATCATTTAACTAGGTTTTCAATGAGAACTAAATATAAACTAAATCTATCAAGGATACTGCCCACAATATATAAATATGAAAACGAGCCTTTGACAATGAAATTCAAATCAACATAGACTGAAATGCAGACATAAATGTAAATAAGAAAGTTACCTGCTTGATGGCTGTAACAGTTATAACAAAGAAAAGTGGAAGTCCACTGGTAACTGGGCTAGTTGGTGTGTCTACTGTGACCTAGGTGAAGAAATTAAATTGAAAGTAAAATGAAAATTAGCTATTAATTCACATGCAGCACTTACATGTTGTAAACATTTCAGACAGAAATGCAGACAAAACACAGTCCAGTAGCAGAGTCAATGTTAATTTTCATTAAAACAATCCACATAGCAGTTAGTTTTAAGAAACTTGGTCCTTTATTGAAATACATCCATTTATTTACCACCTATCTGTTGAGTAGCACTGTGTCGGTCCCTGTGCTTCAGCTAGTCTCCAGAGATCCTACTTTAAATGAGACAGAGACAAGTCCCTGCCTTCATATAGCAGAAAGCTCACAGGGAAAATCAGACATTAAAATAAGAGTGCAGATGGTGAAATCTGAAGGGGAAATCAAAGTTAACTAGATCAAAGTTGGTTTTTCAGGTACAGCAAACAGTATATACAAAGTATCTATGGTAGGAGGGAGAAGGGCATATGTAGGAAAAAAATAAAGGAAGCCATTAGCAAGAGAAAGTGTGGCATGAGATGAAGCTGGAAGAGGAAGAAGGGGCCAGACTGTGCAGGGTCCGCTGGGCCAGGGTAAGCTGTTTATTCTTCATTCTGTGAACAGTATGAAATCCTTGAAGGTTTGGGGTAGGGAGATATCACATGAATAGAACTGCATCTTGAAAAGATCATTCTCCATGCTTTGTGTATGATAGATTAGAAAGAAACAAGAGTAGAAAGACAGTCCATTTGGGAGGCCACTGCTATTATCAAATGAAAGATGATGGCTTGGATTTCAGTGGAAACAACAGGCATGAAAAGAAGTAACAGAGAATTTATGAAAATAGCAAAACTGGTAAGGAACTAGATGTAAGTATTGATTAAAGATGTCTGCCAAGAATCTGGTTAACATGCCTGTGTGGATATTGTCATTCACTGAAATAGGATATATTGAAAGAGAACTAGATTGGAGGGAGAGAGATCATGACTTCAGTCTGCTCTCACAACTCACTGACTCTTATCTCCAACCTCCAGCCAGGCCTGCCTCTGCCACAAAGAAGTGTACATAAGAGGTTTTTACATGGTTCCATGTCTTTATGTAACCTTTTCTCTACTAAATCTTCAAGGCTCAGTTTGGATACTAACCTTCCTTTTGAAGCCTTCTCAAGCTCCTCTTGGGTAGGGAAAAAATCATAACTCCTACTGTATACTCATACCATTTTGATCATTCACATAAATGATCCTTACTACATTAAGCAAATTCATGACTGTCTTCTCAGCAATAAAATTCCTTAAGAGTAGAAAAGTCATAGCTTGATCTTCATCATAGCTGCAATCACTTTTGTTGTCTGGACTGCTACATAGCACACAATAGGTGCTTGGTACACATTTACTAAATGAAATTGAGAGGTACTACCCACCAAGTAGAATGACTCTCATAAGCAGAATCCACTATGTTATTTATTTTAGGTCCTTAAGACATCTGACTGTGGTTCTTAAGTACCTACTTTTCAAATATTCCATCGTTTGTATTCAAATTGGCTCTTTCGTATATTATGTCCCAGACTGGTTTTAAGTAGCAGGGCTAAACTCAATTATAGTATCATAGACTCAAAGCCTAAAAGTGGATGAACAGAACCACTTAACATCAACAAGTATTTGAGCAATTTCATTGAAATTTTTTGGCTTTATTTAAAAATGAGACAAGAAAAACACAGCACCTTTAATGCAGTAAAAATTTTCAGAGGTAAATACGGTGACCGAAAGAGTTTAAGAGTTTATAGACTTAAAGACAGAAGACACAATTTAAAATTCTAAAATTTAAAATGCAAAAGCATAGTAAGAACACAGAAACAGATCAATCTACTAGGCTCTCATGCTTCAAGGGAGTAAGTGAATGAGGCAGAGCAAAACTGGTAATTATGATGATAAGTGATTAAGTTTTCAATTAGGCTGGCACTGATGTTTAACAAAACTATTAATGTAAATGAATTTTGATTTTCATGTATATCAACTTGTTTAATGATATGAGATATATCCTTCTTGGATGAACAAATATATGAAATTAATGAAAATTTAAAAGAAAGAACAATGAAATAAAATCTCCATGAATTTCCTAATAAAGATGCAACTTCAAAAATCTATAAAATCATATAAATCTTTAGGTAATTATTTCTACTTTAAAACTGCTATTATAATCAGTTTTGGAACATCTTTGTTTTTAATCACAGGGCATAAGGTTAGAAATTGTTTGAATCAATCAAGACTCTCAAATTCTCAAAGTTGAACAGTTGTTTATGGAGTTCTTACCTGTACAAGGAAAATGATGAGAAAATAAAAATTTGCAATCCTTCTAAACTGTTCAAACAGGTTCTTTGGGAGGAAATTCCAAAGTGTATACTATAAGCAAGCAAGAAAAAAAATATTAGAAAGGAAAGTTGAAAAATCCTAATAGTAAGGACTTATATGGGTCCAGGTCATCCTGTAAACTGATATTTAGTATATACAACACTTTGAAACCCAAAGCTCACATATATGCCTAAGAATATAGATAAAGATATGGTATATAATTTTTTTTTTCAGAAATGAAGTTTCATTCTGAGCATTACAATGGCCATTTAGTTTCATACTTTTGGTTTATCTAAGCCAATCTAAAATAGGTTCCTTATTATATGCTCTCAGATTATCCTATAGTGATACTTCCTTAAGGGGACTCATTACAGTGAATTATAAATGTATACTTTTTTTATTTAAGTTTCTCCCTCAAAAGACAATGATTTCTATGGAGTAGACTGCTTATCTGTCTTATTTACTAATTTTTCCCCAACACCTAGCACAGTGCCTGGTACAAATAGATTATTTGAATAAATGAATGAACAAATTCCCATGGCTTCATTAATTTTTGGAGTCTTGAACATTATTAGAGATAAAACTGTCCTTACCAGTACCTCCCGTCTTCATGACAGCTGAGGAGATGTACAGACACATAACACTGAATCATACAGGGCTGTCACTTTAAACAATAGCATTCTACCCTTGGGTTTTTGTAAAGTTTTCAATGCCAAATTCTACATGGAGAGAAGGACAGAATGACAGAATTTTTTGGCCAACTATCAAACCACATATATTTTCTCACTGATACTTTAAGCTCAAGGACAAGGTCATATAAAAGTCACCTTAAGAAATGGGACTTTATAGATATATTTTTTTAAATTTTTTTATTTATTTTGAGACAGGGTCTTATTAAGTTGCTTAGGGGCTTACTAAGTTGCTGAGGCTGGCCCCCAAACTTTCAATTCTTCTGCTTCTGCCTCCCAAATTGCTGGGATTACAGGCATGAACCACCATGCCTGATTCTAGATATCTTAATAACGACCAGAACCTAGAAAGTAATGATTCTTAACATAAAAGGCTAATTCTAGACTTGAAACATGTCCACATCAATTATTTGCATAATATGAGAACAGATCCATTAATAAGGTGAAAAGCCACTCACAAAGCATGAGACAAGGAGAAACGTACTATTTATAGTTTTCTAATTAGAAATGCAAATAATTAGGAAACTATTTTTTATATGTTCTCTTCTCTCCTTCATCAGGGCATTAGCTATTTAGACCTCAGGGTGCCATAAGTTCCCTCATCAAAAGTGCCTAGCACAAAAAACAGAGATTTTTTAATTAAGAAAAAAAAAAAAAAACTTCTATGGTGCTGGGGATGAGACCTAAGGTCTCACACATTCTAGGCAAGTGCTCTACCACTGAACTATATCCTCAATGCCCCTTTAATCAAGAAATTTTGATCAAAACTTGTGCCTTGGCCGTTTACTAACTTAACTAAAAGGCAAATTAAGATTTAATCACACCTTTTTATATTGTAAACATAATATAAATATATAACATATTGTAAACATAATATAAAATGTAATATTATAACAGAGAAAGGAGAAACCTACTTTTTAGAGTTTTCTAATTAGAAATGAAATTGCATCAGAGTCATGTACACCAAATTATTCAAACTGTTTATCTAAAAAGTGGACTCTCAGGCTTATTGAGTTGCCACCAACCATAAAAATATGTTAATCACAGCAAGAAAATGTGAATAGGAGTTGTTTAAAATACAGTGATGAGAACTGAGTGTTTCTGTCATAAGTTCCTTTTGAACTTATGACAGAAACACAGGGACACTTAACCACTGAGCCATATCCCCAGCCCTTTTTATTTTTTATTTTGAGACAGGGTCTTGCTAAATTGCTTAGGGCCTCCCTAAGTTGCTGAGGCTACTTTCAAACTTTTAATCCTCCTGTCTCAGCCTCCTGAGTCACCAGAATTAAAGGTGTGTGCCACCACACCTGATGTAAATTCTTGCAAAGAAACCAGGTGCCATGGCCCATTCCTATAAACCCAGCAGCTTGGGAAGCTGAAGCAGGAAAATCCCAAACTCAAGGCCAGCCTTAGCCACTTAGCAAGGTACATTAATTGCATCCATAATTATTTTTTAAAAGGGGCTTTGGATGTGGCTCATTGGTTAAGTGCTGAGAGCCATAGCTAAGTAGGAATGACACATGGAAATTTCCTTGTCAACCTACCCCATGTTGCTTAGAGGAAGGACTCTCCATTGTGGAAATGGGCTTGCCTTGGACCCAGGTCATTTGCAGTGACATTGCATGAATGTTTGAGAAAGGTGACCCTGCTCAAGGACCAGGGTGGATCCGGGTTTAGGGAGGATCCTGCTGGATTAAGGTGGGTCCAGGTTTAGGGTGTATCCTGCTGGGAATAGGGAGTATCCCCCTCCTTGGGTTTAGGGCGGTTCCAGGTTTAAGGTGGACCCTGCTGGGAATAGGGCATATCCTGCTGCCTCAGGCGCCCACCCGCTCCTTGGGATGCAGAGCCTGGTGGAGGTGTGGATTTTCCCCAGAACCTGCATGTAGAGTGCCGGTGAGAGGTCATGAATAAAGACTTGCTGTTTGAATCTACAAGGCTGTGAGTGGCGTGATTTTGTGCCCAGCCAGACTGTGGCAGTTAAGCAGCCCTGGATTCAATCCCTGGTATTGCCCAGGGGTGGGGGAGGGGGGAGAGGGGGGAGAGGGGGGAGAGGGAGGGGGTTGAGGGAGGTAGAGAGGGGAGAGGGAGGTAGAGGGGGTGAGGGAGGTAGAGGGGGTGAGGGAGGGACAAAGGGGTGAGGGAGGGAGAAAGGGGTGAGGGAGGGAGAAAGGGGTGAGGGAGGGAGAGTAGGGGGGTGAGGGAGAGCAGGGGGGTGAGGGAGAGCAGGGGGGTGAGGGAGAGAAGGGGTGAGGGAGGGAGGGGGAGAGGGAGGGGGAGAAGGGGAGGGAGGGAGGGAGAAAAGGGGGAAGGGAGGGAGGGAGAGAAGGGGGGAAGGGAGGGAGGTGGAGAAGGGGGAAGGGAGGGAGGTGGAGAAGGGGGAAGGGAGGGAGGTGGAGAAGGGGGAAGGGAGGGAGGTGGAGAAGGGGGAAGGGAGGTGGGGAAAGGAGGTGGGGAGGGAAGGAGGAAGAGGGAGAAGGGGGGAAGGGAGGGAGGGAGAGGGGTGAAGGGGAGGGAGAGAGCGGGAGGGAGGGGGAGAGAGAGAAGTAGAAGTAGAATAAATTCTGTTGATGATTTTTTTTTGATACAAGGGATTGAACCCAGAGGGGCTTAACTTACTGAGCCACATCCCCAGCCCATTTTTAAATTTTGAGACACTGAAGCAAAGCCAGTGGAGGCACCAGCCAGTTTGCTGCATAAGAGAGTGGTAACATTAATAGATTAAAAAATACAGCAGACAAACTTTCTTAAAAAAAAAATGTAGAATATCAAAACAGTTTGAATTTAGCTGAATCAAAGGTTGTACAGCAAGCTGGGGTCTGAAAAGTGCTGTTTCTCAACTGGCAAGTAGAGAGCTGAGGTGGGAAGCCATCTTGAAGATCTACACTGCAGTTTGCTGCTACAGGAGCCCAGGACATACCAAACTTTCCCAGCAAATGCTTACCATATGCCTTGGATGCACCTATAAGAATGTGATTAAAATAGGCACAGAGAAGACTATACCCTAGGGGCTTCAGGTCAAAGATATTGATGGGAGTGAAACTCACTTTCCCTTTGACTCTGGTGACTCACATGACCAGGTGAAGAAGGTCAGGAAACTGAACAGGTAGATGTAATTACATTCAGACACTGACCCTGGAAGGCCACATTCAAGGGTGGTACAATGTGCCAGACCTGTGGAGGTTGGTTACCCTACCCTATGAGTAGAATTCTCAGTAGAATCCTGAGATCCAGATGCCCAGTAAAGATCAGCACTGGCCCAGCCCTAGAGATACCACCCAAAAAAGTTCCAATGTTCTGATCAGTGCTAAACATCAGCCACAAAAACCTCTCATTAGGAACTCTGCATCAGCCCTGCTCTGGGAGCGCATGAATCTAGTGTGTCCAGACAAAACTCCAATTGACAATACTTCCCATTCCCTCCTACCTTATACTAGTGAGAAGGGAAGCTGAGAGCTATTTCAACCAGCTTTGATTCCAGGAGGCTCCAGCTGGTAGTTGCTGAGCAACACCAAAAGAGGAAAGGTTTAATGACCTCCCAGCCTTTGCTTTCTCTAAGTGTTATACAGTGCAAGAAGAAATAAAAGGGCAGTCTGGCATAAGCAGTGAATATCCATCCTTGTCAACAGCTTTAACCAACTCAACACATGCAATGTTTTCAGTAAGAACCCCCCACCCTTTTGGTGTTCTTGCTGTGCTGGTTGGTTCATGCCAGTACATTCAAAGCTCAGTTCAGCACATTATTTTTTGCTTGTTTTAATCTTTGTGTGTGTGTGTGTGTGTGTGTGTTATTTTGCTTTATTTTCTCTGTTGGGTATTAAGATTTCTTATTTCTTTTGTTTTTGTTTCTCTTATTACTCTCCTCCCTTTCTTCTTCTAATAGCCAAATTCTCTCTTGAATATACAAACAGCATAATATGAAAAGGGCTCTTTTTTTTTTCAGAGCCATTAGACTTTATAAAGTAGTTGTGTTCCCAGCTTTATCACTAACTCTCTGTGGTGACCATGCCACTAACTTAATGTCTGTGGGATTAGTTTCTTGTTCTGTAATTCGGCAAGGTGAACAAGATGACATCTTAGGATCTTTCAGCTCTGTAAGTCTGATTCTGAGTCAAAGGTTTACACTAATTGTTTACTTGGATAGCAAAGGATGATTCAATATTTCCATTGAACAGGCTATTTATTCTCTTGAGCATAAGTATGTAAACCTCTGGCTGATGATTAAATTTGTGCCATAGGGTTTAAGAATAGCAGGAAGCAGACATTTTATCCAAATATATTTATATTTTTTCTATAGGCCTATAGATCTGCTCATTAGACAATAGTTTTCACACGTCCTGTCTACATTTTACATGTTGATCTTCCAACTAAACAATCTCTTATATATTATTACCCAAAAGAGAAATCAAACGCATGTTTAAAAATCAAAATATTATATTTTTTAAGGAAAGTATAATTCTGTTGTTTTAGGTCATAAGTGGTTGCAAACACACAAATGTCACCAACATTTTAGCTCTGCCTTGCCAGGCTGCCTGAGGAAGTAAGGGAAAATTTCTTTTTTTTTTTTTTAATTTTTTATTGTTGGTTGTTCAAAACAATAAGGGAAAATTTCAAGATCTGTTCTATGCTGTAAGAGACAGCAGTGGGCCAGCCATTTACCACCTAACCCAGTCAGCCAGGAGTACAACTTAGCAAAATAATGCTTGTAGAATGATGACTCCTGTGTACCAGTACAAGAAGTGTTTTTACATATGGAGTATTTACATATGGAGTTTTTACATATGGAGTATTTCACAAATGAGGACACTCAGACTCAGAGCAATTAATTTGGCCAAGGTGAAAAGCCAGTAAATGGATGGGTCAGGATTTAAATGCAGGTATACAAAAATTCCAGACCAGTGCTCTTAGCATTATGCTATTCTGAAGTAAGAAGATTATTCAAATGGTGACACAGCTATAATGACTGAACTCTCAGCAGGTCACAGGTCAAACCGCATACTGGGCAGAGTGCACCCTTTTATTGAGCAGAATGTACCCATGAATGTATGTGAGAAACAAGACAGGGGAGGAAGGGGAAAAAGAAAGAGATACAAATGAAAAACGTACCAGAATAGCACACTCCAAAAAGAATGCAAATCATTTATATCCTAGGCCAGCCAATTTAGGACGCTTTGCACAAGTGAATAATTACTACCCATCCTGCCCAGTTGCTAGAGATGAAACCCAAGGCCTCACACATTCTAGGCAAGTGTGCTATCACCGAACCCTACAGCCAGCCCAATAATTACTACTTTTAGCACACTTTAAGGCTTAACATTATATGCATAATCAACAGGCACTGTGAATCATAATGGGAGGCAAGTGAATGAACTTTCAGCTATAATAAAACAAAATGATGAGCTTTAAAAAGATAAGCTATCTTTCGGGGAACACTTACCTGAAATAAAATCTGTATAATTATATAACCATGTATGCATATATAAATGTACCAGCTTCCTAAGAATAACAAATAATTATGTAAATAAGTACATTATCCATGTGAACATCCATTGAGTTAAAAAAAAAAAAAACTTACCTTAGATGAGACTATTCTATTATCACAAAATCTTTGTGCAATGTAAGCTTCTGTTTCTGAAACTGGATGATTGCCAACAAACACTGTGCGTGTACCAACTCGTTTTTCCTCTCCAGCACACTGATCAAGAGAAAGAGGGAAAAAGTCAACTTTATATCACATTTTTCCATGCTTCTACCAAGCTTAAATTCTTGTCTAAGCATGTTTGGCTATAATCTGGGGAGAGACAGTAGTAGGGAGAGGAGAAATCCTTGTTAGGAAATTCAAAATCCACTAAGCTTTTAGTTGCTGATTTTGGGAAGATTAGTAAATGTGTTGTTTGAACCCAACACATTGTGAGGCCAACAAGTATAATTCTAAAATGATGAAAGAAAACATCCAAAGGAGTTCAGGGAAATTCTCCCCAAAATATGGCACAGTTCCTGAAAGCAGTAAACAATACCTTTACCAGAATAGTAGCTTTGATTCATTGACTGTCTTCTGTCTGCAACCATAATATAGAGGGTCTAAAACAGTTTACTGATAAAAGCAGTAAAAATTTCCCATAATATCCATTTTTCACCCCAAAGTGAACAAAACTGCAAGATTCATACTTCATTTGGCTTCACCCCTACTCCTGTCTTCTGTTGTAGTCTTTACAATAGATCTGATCCTTATAATGCACCAATTAGAACTACAAAGAAGTCAAGTCCATACATACAATGTAATTTGCATTCTTTAATAGTCATATGGTTGTTTAGTTTTACACACAGCAAGCAGTAGCTATGAAGAAAATAAGGAAGAGCTGCCTTTCAAGCAAGTTCTCAGGTTATTCTACAAATGGAAAGGAGCAAAGGAGGTAAAGTGTCAGTGAGGCAGGATGTTTCTTGCACTGCTAATATAGATTTCTCTCCTTGATTACAGTGGCCACCAACTGACTTAAAATAAACATGAACTAGTACTTTTCCTGATTCTTAATCATCTATGATTTCTTCTGTGCCAGAGAACATAGAAAGGAAAAGCCAAAATGCAATTTTCCAGACATATGGTTTTGTTTATGAATTCCCTACATTTCAATGGCATTTACAGAATAAGGCCTAAGTGACCTCCATCTCAATAAATTGGAGAAAATGGATTGAAATTACTATGTTGATAGAGGTGTGTATGTTTGAGTGCAGATCCTGGCAGTGACTGTTGTTTGATGATGATATTGAGGTCTGAAGGAAGCTGTAGAATGACCACTTCTGAGCATTATTCAAAATAGGGCAAAACAGTTCAGGCAGGTTTGCGTTTGGAGCTGCCTGGGGACTGGGGGTGAGGTAGCATGAAGTAGATGACTTTCCCATGCCTGTTTCACCCTAAAATCTGATGAACATGCAATCTCTGGGTAGACTTTTCTACAACTATTTAAAATTGTTTGGTTTACATAAAAATGGAAATCCTGAACTCATAAGTAAATTCACTATAATTTTCCACTTGCTTCCAATGTAGAGTGTTAAAACAGTGACATTAGTTTCTTTGATTTTGAACAATACAGTACCTTTGCCAGGTAGAGAAACTCCAAGGAGGAAGCATTAAAAAAAAAAATTCCCATTTGGATGGTACCCAATGTAGTCTAGTGAAAGTGTATGTATGATTCCTGCCACCTCATAAACACATTGTAATTCATTAGTAGAGTCCATCCTGGACTGATTCCCATTCAAATGTCCTTAGAAACAGCATTTTTTAAAAAAACTGAAGTGTTAGCAAAAACTTTTTTTTTTTTTGTACTGGGATTGAACTCAGGGGCCCTTAACCACTGAGCCACATCCCCAGCCCTTTTTTTGTATTTATTTAGAGACAGGGTCTCGCTGAGTTGCTTAGGATCTCACTAAGTTGGTTAAGGCTGGCTTTGAACTCACGACCCTCCTGCTTCAATCTCCCAAACTGCTGGGATTACAGGCATGCACCACTACAACCAGCACAAACTCGGGTTTTTTTTTTTTTTTTAATTTTTTTTTAGTTGTTGATAGACCTTTATTTTATTTATTTACATGCAGTGCAGAGAATTGAATCCAGTGCCTCACTCATGCCAGGCAAGTGCACTAGCACTGAGCCACAGCCATAGCCAAAGCCCCACAAACTCGGTTTTAATGACACATCACGTGCTACATAAAAAGTATCAAAAATATTTAAAAGTATACTTAAGATATAGGAATTAACTGAGAAAGTTATTTAAATTTCTTTGTAAAAGATAAAAATCAGGGGCTGGAGCTCAATATCATCAAGGTCCTCAATATCATCATCTAACAACAGTCACTGCAAGGATCTGCACTCAAATATACACACCTCTACCAACATAGTAATTTCAATCCACTGGGCAGGGTGCTTGTCTAGCATGTGTGAGGTACTGGGTTCTATCCTTGGCAGCACCACATAAAAAAATAAAATAAAATAAAGGCATTCTATTAAAAAAAAGATAAAAATCACCCTCTTGTGTTCTTGATGTGTATCTTTACAGTATAATCTGAGTATTGTTTTTAAAAGGCAAAAAATAACCTTTCAGTAAAAATCAAATGGTACTCTTATTCAACTATTACCACCTTAAAATCCCATGTATTCACTAATCACAAAAAATGGACAATTGTTGGAAGCACAATTTGTTTCCTGATTGCCTCTAGACCCATAAGTAGAAAAGTACTGAACAAAAATAGAGTCCTAAATACAAGATCATCAGACACAAGATTTTAAACAAAGCCTACCTCTTCATCCTTTCCAGGTGTTGGCAGAATTAAGGGCAGTTACCCATAGAGTCTTTCTTCTTTGGGGGAGGAAGGGCTGGGGATTTAACCCAGGAGTACTTTACCACATCCCCATCCCTTTTTATTTTGAGGCAGGGTCTCACTAAATTGCTTAGGATCTTGCTGGCCTTGATCCTCCTGTTTGGCCTCCCAAATTGCTGGGATTACAGACATGATTCACCACACCCAGTTTATAGATTCTTAATCCTGGCTATACACTCCCTTTAAAAACACTGATGTCTGAGTATTTTAGCTAGTATCTAATTTCTCTGGAAGCTCCTCAGGTGATAATCCTAATTTGCAACCAGGGCTGAGAATTACTGGCAGACTCTGAATTAGTGATTGTCAGCAACTAACACCCTACAAAATTTTAATGTATCAGTCATAATCCTACATTTTAGCTGTGATTAAAATAATTCAAACAATTTGCTTTTCAATGAATAAAAATATAAATTACCCCTAACCATTTTAAACTGTTCATGAATTAAATTCTCCTTCACTGTTTAATTTTGCATAGTTAATCTCCCTTCAATTATTTAGATCAATGCTAATGAAATTATAGGCCCTGATAAAATACAAAGCTACTTGAGTTATCAACAAAAAATCTTAACTGATGTCTTCCTCAGCAATTACAGCATTATTTTTATTGGTCATCAACTACTCTCATTGAATTCCTATAGAAAATAAAAGTGAACCAAAAATCCTTATTAAAACCTAAAGACCTGGCAATGATTTAAGACTGGTCATACTCCAGGTCCAAAGATATTCTTTTCTCTCAAGCACTAGTGTTTTTGAACTGCATAATCAGTCTCAAAAAGAACAAATGAACTTAAAATTGAAAGAAAGATAGGACATTTCATCAAAATTTCATACGTCTATTAAAATGCTCCCAAAGTCAAATTACCATATTAGGATTTGGAGGGCTGGGTTGTGAAGGGAGGAGAGTGTTAAAGTGTCAGGGAACATTTCCAGCTTAGTAAGCATCTTGGTTAAAATCACTACCAAATAGACACTAGTATGTATATACGTGTCTGTATAACCAATGTGATTCTGCAACCTGTACACTCAGAAAAATGAGAAATTATACCCCATTTGATTCAAATGTATGATATGTCAAGATCATTGTATTGTCATGCGCAACTAATTAAAAAAAAATCACTACCACATATTTGGTGGTCAAACTGCTCAGGTTTCTAAGCCCGAACTCCATTATAACAAGCAAGATGAATAATCCTGATACACAATTTTATTTGTAACTCTAAAATCTCACTTTTGAGATTTTGCCTTTACTGCAACTTCTTAAGTAATTAAGCTGTGTCTCCCTCTGTGGCCAGAGAAAGTGAAAAAAGATGAAGAGGGCATTTTTGTGGAGACAGGAAATTTTCTGTCATTTTCCCTTTAAACTTTAATATGGTTATATTTACTGAAACTCTTAGACACACAACTAAGACAAATATACAATGTTAATCCCTATACACAAAGATTCTCTCTAATTAGATGCTACCTGGTGGCAGTATATTTAATTGAATAAAAACTACTATAGGAAATAGATACTAAGCTCCAAATACTTAAATTAGCAAGCACAATACTGAGGAAAATGCACAGACTGTTAGAATTGGGTAAGAATGACACCTTTTTGGAAGCTCAGAATTATTTGAGATTCCATTATATCAAAGTGATCCACTGAGCCATTGAATTTCACCAGGGATAATCAATTCTAAGTGTTTCCAATTTGATCCTCCCCCAAGGTCCTCAATGGCTATAGAAACATGTCTCTAAATAATGAAATGCAGCTTTTCTACAGGATAATAATCAATAACTAAAAAATGTAAGCATTTTTTGATTAAAAATTCTAACAGGGATTTTTAAAAAATATTTATTCTTAAATTTTAGGTGGACACAATATCTTTATTTTACATTTATAGCACTCTACCACTGACCCACAACCCCAGCCCCAGGTTTTTTTATTTTATTTTTTTAAGATTCAGAGGTTCTTTCATTTATAGAAAGTAACCTGAAACCTGAGACTCTCAAAATTTCTACCAAGACTCAGCAACTCAGCTTTCCTTGGTAACAGTATCTTTCCTAACCCAGAGACTGACAATATGCATACAAGTACACAAGTCTAGGAGGTCCTAAAGTTACTTTTCACTTTTGCTACAAATATCTCTATACCACCCTTCATTCCAAATATGTAACAAACTTTAAAACTCTAAATAGGAAGGTACTCAATTTCTATTGATGGGGAGCAATTGAGAGGAAAACTGACAATCCAGCTAAGCATTTATGATTGTCCCCAGGAAAGAGATAAAAATACATATAACCCTGTAAGCCAAGAATAAAGAAGTCCCTAGGACCTCT